GTTAATCTCAGTTACCGTCGGTTTAACAGGCGTTCAGAATTCCAGATAGATTCAAATACTACAGCAACCAGACATTTGCTTAACGTAATGTATCAAATGGTCAATAACTTTCAAAGTAATGGACCTGTGTGCAGTGTTTTTTCCCAGGCTTTCTGCCTCCGCTAACTGATTCTAACTGAGATATACACCATGTTCTCCATCTTTTCAGCCCAGCTCTCGTCTGCCTGTTCGGTGGACGTTAAAGATCCCATGGGGCTATCTGAAGAGAAGGGAGTTTGTCTCTCTCAGAGTCCTGGGCAACAATCCCCCAAACTGGTCACTCTCTTCACAGTTGTTTGTGGGACGGTTCTGGGAGCAAATTGGCTGTCCTATCGCCCACAAAATACAGTCACTTTACTCTAAAATCCTGTCCTTTGAGACGTCTTGACAAGATGATAAGGTGCTATATCGTATGCAATGATTATAATTATTGTGTTGTGGATGGTGGATGATTAATGAACTGTACTTAAAGTGCAAAACTGCTTTGCAATTGGACAATTTGAGTATCTTTTGACAAATTTAAGCATTTACGCCCTATCGAGTTGAATCGAATTAATGGTAATCAATTAATTGTAATATGTGCGCAATTGGTTGCCATGTTTCACCCACAAAATACAGTCAATACACTTTACATTATATTCTGCGAAGCAGTTTGAGACGTCTCGAAGACACGATAAGGTGCTATATCAAATGCAAGGATTATTATAATGATTGAAACGTTACACAACATAATTAATGATAATTGCAGTGAACTAATTTTGTAGGCAAACACTTGTCACAGCGCTTGCTCACTGCGAGGTCCCAGGAGGTGAATGACAAATTAATCTTGAGCCGCTGAAGGAATCTTCCCTTTTCAAATACTGTATTTTCATAGGATCTTTAACGTTTAATCTGAAAACAGGTCAGGGCAGCATCTATGGAGAAAGGAAAGTGAGTCAACGTTTCAGGTCCACGACCCTTCGTCAGAACTGGGTCATATTGGGAGGGAGAGGCTTTTAAGGGCTAACGGAGAGAAAGCGTGACCTGCTGAGTGTTCCCAGTGACTTCTGTTTGTGTTTTCAGATTTCCAGCAAATGCAGTATTTTGTATTTTGATTGTAGGATAGTCAACTTGGCCTGAGTTCCAAATTATTATTATTAAGTGATTGTCATCAATGACATGGATAATTAGTACACAGACTTAATATCTTCATGCCCAGCACATCCATCCGTACATAGTCCAAGAATTGTTAGACATTCGGAGGGGGTGTGGAGTGGGGGGGGGTAACATGGATTTCCTAGATGCAACATTTGCGTTGAGTTCTGGATTTACACGTCTGTTTTGAACACCTACCTTGTATCACCTGGTCTATTTCATCTCCAGAACTGACCTGAATCTGTAAGCATGCGAGATCTTTGCTCCTTTTTCTGCCCGTTCTGTCTGAAGACTCTCCTGCATCAGAGGAGATGGCTGGAGATGTCTGTTTGGCTTCACTTGATGCCTTTTCAATGTTGAAGGATACCCTTGCTGCTGAGCAGTGTGTTACAACAACTTGCATTTATAGAGCTCGCCTCACGTAGGGTAGTATCCCAGAGCGCTTGACAGTGGCGGAGCACGATGCCAAGCCGGGGGAGGTGACTGTAGGCACGGTCGAGAGGGAAGGTCTTCAAACACAAGCTGAAGATGTGGAAGGAAGGGGCAAGGCGGAGGGATAGAGGAAGAGTGTTCAAGAATTTTGGGGTGCAGTGGCTAAGAACGCAGCCACAAATTGTGGAAGGGCGGAACATGCAGGAGGCTGGAGCCCGTCGGAGCCCTAACCCTTACCCACCCCTCCAACCCACTACCCATTGCAGGAGGCAATGGGTAGTGGGTTGGGGGGGTGGGTAAGCAGGTCGGAGAGGTAGGGAGCTGCCAGGAATAGAATCTTAGAGCACTTGGAGGCTTGGTCATACAATCCATCGTGTGTTTATCCCAGGAGAAATCACATGCTGATGATTAACTTTCACTAACTGGCAGCAGAGATAGCAATAACTTTTGAGTTAATTCACTGGCATTCGGCCTAGTAGAAGGCAAAAAGCTCCGCAGGTGGCAAACAGATACACAGGAGAATTGTTGGTATCTTGGGTGGTTTAAGTCTGACCCAAGGCAACTTCACACAGATGTTAATTTTATTCCGACTTCTATCAATAATAATAATCCTTGCATCTGATAAGCACTTTTCATGTCTTCGAGATGTCCCAAAGCTCTTCACAGAATATACTGTAAAGTGAACTGACTGTATATTTTGTGTGCGAAACACGGCAGCCAATTGCGCACAGCAGTGCCCCACAAACAGTCGTGGATTGAAGTGACAAATTTATTATTTTTTTTGAAGGAATTATTACCACCGGAAAAGTGATCCACCAGTAATAATAATAATTACATGTGAGAATTTTTTTTTGGGGGGGGGGGGGGGGTCAGCCGAGTGTCTGACACAGGTAGAAATCCATCACCGTGCTTAAGAGCATCCAATCCAGACTGAGAATTCCATGCATCCCACCTACACATGAAAATTCCAGTTAGATTGTTGGAATGGAATGGATCCCATCTCACAAGGACCTTCACAGGATGCACTGTAAAATGTAGTCACTGTGCATTTCGTGGGGGAACGTTGCAGCCAATTTACACACAGCAGTGTCCCACGAACAGTCAATTTTATTTGGGAGATTGTTGGCCAGAGCCCCGGGAGAAACTCTCCTTCTCTTTTCGAAGAGTGCCATTGGGATCTTTAACGTCCACCGGGGCAGGCAGACGGGACCTCAGTTTAGAGTCTCATTCCCAGCACTGCAATGGAGTGTCAGCTTAGACTGTGGTTTCCAAGTACCGACATGGGGGCTTGAACCCACAACCTTGTGACTCAGAGGCGAGAGCATCACCCACTCCAAATTTGCTGCATGTGACATTGCTGCGTGCAAATTGGCTGCCGTATTCGCCTACAAAAAAAAATTCACCTTCACTACACTTCACCTTAAATCAAGTAATTCAAATCAAAATTGAGATGTCTTGATAACGCGATACGATGTTGTAGGATTGTAAGGTCGATTATTGCACAAGAGCAATCATCTTAAGAAAGTGGTCGATCTCCTGTGGTGATGTTTTTGATTTAAAGTGGACGTGCTACTTGATCGCGCTGACAGACAGGCTTTTAAAATCCTCAGTATTGATTTCAGAGATTTGAGGATGCTCAGTGCGCTGATATTAAATGAACATGTACTGCTTTCAAGAGCAATTTACGATGAGCAACAAAACAAAATTGAAGGTTACAGGGATAAGTGTAGATGCTACGATCTAATACTCTTATGGAACACGATTCTGCTGGGACCTAGGGAATGTGATGTAACCAGGAGGGTTCAATGTGCACTGTGATAGCAGATTGATATCCTGCAGTTTTAATAATAATAATTCTTGCATTTGATATAGGGCATTATCATGTCTTCGAGACATCTCAAAGCGCTTCGCAACATATCCTGTAAAATGAATTGTGTATATTTTGTGGGCGAAATGCAGCGGCAGATTGCGGACTGAGTGACCAAGTTAATTTCGTTTAAGGGTTTATTATCCCCGGAAAAGCGATCCACCGGGTTCCTACTTACTGCTAGATAAACAGAATGGTGTGAGGTAAACAAACTTGCCTAACATGTCCCCCTGCCTGGGAATCTAACTCAGATCCTCTTGATTGAGAGGTGAGCGCTCTAGTCAAGGATTCTACTTAAGGTCTTGGGAAAAGGTTTCAATAACTTTTATCGTCTTAAAAGTTTTATCCATGATCAGTGATCTTCCAGTGGAGATTAAATAAGTCGAATGAGAATCCACAGCAGTGTACACTGTTAATAGTCACTGGGGACAGGGAGTCATCCCACTCAGCTACTGCTAACACTGCAAGCCCAAGCCCCAACGGGTAGGGTGGTCCTCCCTGGGCAAGCAGCAGGAAAGCTTGCCAGACAGCGATATCAATGGCAAGCTATGCGGCTTCAGCTGGTCAGACTCACAGCAACATCTCAACACACACTCTGAGGTCCCCAAGCCTTGGTTCCAAACAACCTGCGCCTAATACTTTATGGAATTGAACAACAAGGATGCATCCCTCCAGGGAGAGAGTGCGCTTTCTATTCTAACAATCTATCTCTGGAATTTCCATGTGTAGGTGGGATGCATGGAATTCTCAGTTTGGTTTGGATAATCTTAAGCTTGGTGATGAGTTTCCGCACGTGTCAATCTACCAACTATTGTGTAATACTTCACTTATTGCAGCCTTAACTTTCATTTGCACGATTATATTTCTAATGTTGATTCCTTGTTGTGCATGTTTATGTGACGTCCGAAAATAACATTTGCATTTGAGATAGCAGCTTTCACATCAGGAGGACGTGCTTCACAGGATTTTACTGTGAAGTGTAGTGACAGTGGCCGATCGTGGCAGCCAATGTTTGCACAGCAATGTCCCACAAACAGCCATGAAGTGAGTGACCAATTTTATATGGCCATTTCTTGGCCAGGACTCCGGTAGAAACTTCCTTCTCCTTTTGAGCAGTGCCGGGGGATCTTTAACATCCACTTGAACAGGCAGACAGGACCTTGATTTAACATCTTATGTGAAGGAAAGCGTCACCGGCAATGAAACACTGCATTGGGGTGTCCACCTAGACTACGTGAGTTTCAAAGTCCTGACGTGGGGCTTGAACCCACAACCTTCTGACTCAGAGATGTGAGTGCTACCAACTGAGCCAGGCTGACAGCGCAAAGCCCCATTGCCCCGTTGATTTCCCGAAGTGAGCTTTGTCCAGCCTTACTACGCCTTCTGACCCAATGTTAGCTAAAAGTTCTCCCCATTCAGTCCACCACCTCTCGAGGTGTTTGTTTTCAGCATATGTGGTTAATTTGCTCACGATACTTGACTTTCAATTTCAAAGCAAATAAAGCGGCAACGTACCACAAACTTATTTTTTTTGTAAAAATTTATTTACCTTAAATATTTTTGCGTTTAAGTCATATGAATGATTCTTTCGCTGAAGTACGCTTTGTGGGAAATAATAAAACGTGTTAAATGGTGGCAGACGTCTCACAAAGCTGTCCTCGCTCCTCTGTGAATACATAAACTCGATCGTTTTTATTCAGTGTCGTACTGGGGGAGAGGGGGGGTTGGGGGGGTGGGGGATGGGGTTTATCGGAGCTGATTTAACCACAGGCATTATTGAGAAAGGCAAAACGTACGTAAAATCATGTAAACAGACTGACGCTGAGCACAGAGGTTTTAGTCGAAGCCCGGTGTTAAACAGCCACGGGAAGCCAATTACTTAACCAGAAAAATTGCAATGCTTTGGAATCACAAAGACCTTTCTCACCTTCCCACCCCCACCCCACCCCCACCCCGTCAGACCTAATAAAATCCCTTCCGCAGAGCCTTGCTCTTCACCATGGCAAACTTGCTCACAAACACAGCCGCACAGTGATGATCCACCAGGTACTGGTATGTCTTGGTCCTGGTGGCGGGGGGATCCGCCACCACCACTTGAGATGCCGTTTGCAAGGCTGAGCTGCTGGGCACCATGTAATGTGACGTCCTGGTAACGTAATCCACCAACCGCTCGTACTGCTGTTCGGACAGTCTTTCTCTCACCCCGTCTCCCTGGATAAGAGGAATAGCTGAGTCAGTGATATTACATTATTATATTATTATATATTATATTATGATAATAATAATCCTTGATTTGACATAGCGCCTTATCACTTCTTTGAGACGTCTCAAAGCGCTTCACAGATTATATTGTAAAGTGTAGTGACTGTGTATTTTGTGGGCGAAACGCGGCAGCCGATTGTGCACGCTAGATATTAACCTCATGTAGTTTAATGCTGTGTTTCGCCCACAAAATACAGTCAATGCACTTTACAGTAGATTCTGTGAAGTGCTTTGAGATATTGCAATGACATGATAAGACACTGTAACAAATGCAAGGATTACTATTATTTTTGTAAAAATTAATGTTTCATGTTACACGTCAAGTTTGTCTTAATAATGCACAATCACTGCACTTTCCATCCCATGAAGGGCAGTAGGTATAGAGTGTCAAAGCTAAATGGGGATAAGGCAGGGCAGGGAGAATGAATGAACACCTTGCTCTGAGAGACAGCGCAGACTTAGGTGGCCAAAAGGTCTCCTGCTGTGTTGTAAATTTCTATGATTCCGAGCGCTTCAGACATCCTTTCGCAATGAAAGGCGTGTGACCTTAATGGAAGGATTGTTACTAACAATAAGTTCTTCCCCAACCCTGCCTCCCATAGGAACCAGATAACTTGCTTTACTTAAATAATGCACTTAAACCATAAATGTTTAACGTGAAAACACTTAAACCTTGCATTTCAGCCTTCTCAATCCATTATTGGAGGGGAAGGAAGGTTAAACCATACAAAATCAATTTTTATTTGGTGGGATGATTACCCCCGAAAAGTGATCTGCCAATCGACTAACAACTGGATTCCCATTACTGCGAGGTAAACAAAGGAATGTAGGATAAGGAAACTTGCCTAAGGTTTCGCCCTGCCCAGGAATCAAACCCGGGTCCTTTTGCTTGCGAGGTGAGCGAGCTAACCACTGCACTACGGGACTCCACAAATGTATGAAATGGATTATTATGATGATGATCATCATTCCCCTGTCCCACCTCTCCTTAAGGAGGTGTCGGCATGGCATGATTATAAGATCACTTAATCCTGAGAGTTTGAGGAATTCCAGGCGTCAATCGCTCACCTCTGCATCGTAAGACACCCTTTGCTGTTTGAGGACGACTTGGAGCTGGTTTTGCTTCTTTGGGATGAAGTCGCACTCGATCTCGGTGACGGGGAACGCTTGCTGCTGCGTGTCCTCGCTGACACTGACCACAAACAGCACGTCAGAGGTGAGCAGCAAGCAGCCTTGGTGCTCTTGGCCCGAGTTGCTCACGATAACTACATCCAAGGCCATAAAGACTTCAGGCCTGCCCAACGATTGCAGCATTTTCCTGTCGGAATGCAAAATGTTGAGCAGATACCATTAATTTTATTTAAATTCCAGAACCGAAGCATTTCATGGAAGAAGCAAACTTTTTTCCCCCTCCACCCCCGCCCCACCACCACTAAGATAAATGACCTGTTAGTTTGATACAAAGCCAGAGCAATGTAATGAATAATACCATCATAAAAATGACTGACTGCCAGAACACTCTTACCAGACATATTTGACGTGGCTGTTTGGTGCCTGGTCAGCGAGCTGTTCAGCAGGGTGAAACCTCTGTTTGGGAAGTTGAGAAAGTCCAGCTCCGTGTAAAATACCTGGAACAATAATAAAGAGAAGATTCTTGCACCGACTTAACCAACCCTGCACTGCAGTTCAGGGCTTGAAATGATGTAATGAGTTTGGAACAGAATGATAGGGTATTTCATCTCTTTTAACCGCAAATTATGGTAAAAGACAGAACTGTTCATCTTTATAACACTGGACCTGGACTCCTAAAAGCCGAAGGGGAAAGCAATTGAAAGGGGGGGGAAGGGGGGGGGAGAGAAGGGGGAACGCCACATGACTACTGAGACTTTCTAAATAACAGTACAAACACAGCCATTTAAAACTAATGTAACCTAATGCAGTAACAATTGTTAATTTCTATACACCATGACAACTACATTAGCTCAGCATCCAAGTATGATAATTTCACAGGGCTAGGATTTCCAAGCAACATTATTATGACAAACAATCTTTCTCTGCGAGTATATCCATTACTTATTATGGTCAGAGAATAATCTTAAAACTAAATCAACAGAATTGCACCGTTAAAAAAATAAAAAACATAAGGTGCAGGATTTGAAACACATGTGAATTCGAGTCTAATGGATCGAACGATTTCCCTTCCCCAACCCACCCCCCCCACCTCACACACACACACACAACCACAACCACCATCCCTCCCTCAATAGTTACAGTAGTCCGTGGTGCTGGGTTATATCAGTCCTGCTGTGAAGGGGACACTTTAAATACCTCAAAGTGTCGTTCAGAATTATTAGGGGTTTATGAGCATCAATGGTTTTGTGGGTGAGATGTGGCTCCTGTGGTGGCTTGCCCTGTCCACTGTGAAACCTGAATTATATTAATGCTCTTTACATTTGATATAGCACCTTAGCATGTAGGGAGGACGTCTCAAAGTGTTTCACAGGATTGTACTGTAAATCGCAGTGACTGTGTATTTTTTAGGCGAACACGGCAGCCAAAGTGCGCTCAGCAATGTCCCACAAACAGCGTTGAAGTGGATGACTGATCTTATCGGGGGTGGGGGGGGGGGGGGAGGGAGGAGGAGGGGGGTAATTGTCAGGCAAAGCTCTGCGAGAAACTCCCTTCTCTAGAATTGCCTGCGGGAACATGGGGATATCCATCAATGACGATAATTACGAACATGGGGACAGCCTCACTCTCTCCCTTGCCTCCTCCAAGGCCCGTCTCAAGACATTTCTCTTTGATCGTGCTTTCGGCCACTCTCCCTCCCCCCAACCCACCATCCCTCTTGATTCCAACCCATCAGGTCAGGTCCAAACCCCCAACTGTCCAGCAAGTTGGGACGTCCTTCCGTGGGACGTGAAAGGCGCTATGTAAATGTAATTTTGTTGTTGTTGATGATGAGCTAAAAACTCAAATAGTATGTCAGGATTTCAACCACTATTTACAAAAGAAAACAAACTAAGGTCACCTTCAAGATTCTTACAATGATAACTATGGGAAAAGACTTTCAAGAGATATTTTCTGAAAAAACATCTGTTTAAGCAATGGGGTACCGATGTTTTTTGGGGGATTTTTCCTGTAATTGCCTTGCTTTAAAATGTTCCAACACGCATGTTTTCTGTTAAATGTTTTGTCACAAAGCACCTTGCATTCATTTTGAGGAAATAAAAGTATAACAAAATAAACGTTTAGTATCACAGCAATCGTGGGTTTCAAGTGTTTGAGTGTTCAGAGCATTGCTCTTATAGACATATAATATTTCAATTTCATCCACAGGCAAAAAAACTGTCCAAAAATAATCCGAGCCTCACTGATGGCTGAGTGGCTATGTGCACCAGATGGTGTGGTGTGGAGCCAGCCACTGGAAGCTTGTTACAGTAGCTTGGTGGTGATTTTTCCCCTGAATCTTACCTCCTTCAAATACCCAACCCACCACTGGCTGCCTCCGTTCAACTGGTTCTGGCCTCCTGCATGTCCCTTGTGTCCTCCGCTCCACCATGCTTTCAGCCACTACGCCCCGAAACTCTGGAACGCTCTTCCTCTAGCCCTCCATCTTGCCCTTTCCTTCCCCATCTTTAGATTGCGCCTGAAGACCTTCCTCTTTGACCGTGCGTATGGCGACCTCCCCGCTCCTCCCAGCTTGGCGTCGTGCTCTGTCACTCTGAAGCGCTCTGGGACGCTACCCTGTGCGAGGGGCGCTATATAAATGCAAGTTGTTATTGTTGTTGTTCCATGAGACAAAGAGATTACAGATCTCCGATTTGCTCCTCCCTATGTCAGAGTGGATCAAATCTACAACCTCCACTAACAGGTTTAGTAGGTTCTACATCAGAACCACATAATAACAACAATAATCTTTGCATTTTGATGTAGCAGCATCTTTCACGTCGTCGAGGCTGCTACCAACTGAGCCAGACTGACATGATATAAAGAGAGAACTGAAAAGTTAGGATGGTTTCTTGACAGCTGAGAAGGTTAAGGGGTGACCTGCCAGAGGCCTTCTGTATATTAAGCGGTATGTGTAAACCACGTGCAAACATCTGTTGCAGAGGAAATTACAGGTGTCTTTAATCAATCATCAAAATTGAAGAGACCTATGATTCCCTTTGTTGCAGACGTTTACACACATATACGCAGAGTTTACACAAGGCGCATCACAGATCCTGGTTACCACAAAAACACAAACTTTCTTTTCTCGCCACGTATTTTCTGAGCTCGGTGCTGATTAAAATACAAGACTTGTTGACTTGCCATAGCCAGTTTGTGAGACCAATTCAGCTGCTCCTCCGATGGGTTTGGTGAAAACGCCCACAATGCCCTTCCCCACCCCAGAGATGACGTCCTTGGCTTTGCGGCCCGCTGACACCTGCCCCTCGGACGTCCTCTGGAAATTCTGCATCGGCTGATCTATAATACCGGCAATTGCACCTAGGAGGGGAGACATGGAGAATGAAATAATAATAATAATAAGTCTTGTATTTGATACAGTCCCAATCATGTCAGGAGGATGTCTCAAAGCACTTCACTGGATATACTGTGAAGTGTAGTGACTGTGTATTTTGTAGGCAAACACTCCAGCCGATTTGCACACAGCAATGTCCCGCAATCAGCCATGAGGTGAGCAGTGCTGGACAAGTACACAGGCCAAGAAAACATTTAGCCCATCGAGACTGTTATGCCTATTTATGAGAATCTGGCAGATCTTTAAACACCTACCTTTCATCTTGCTGTCTCGAAAGGCATTAAACACTCCCAAAAATGTGTCCATCTCTTAAAATCAGGTTTCAGCCAAACAAAACCTATTCTGAAAGTTTTGGTAGGTGGGTGCCGGAAGAAATAAGAATAATAATTCTTGCGTTTGATATAGCTTCTTTGAGATGTCTCAAAGCGCTTCACAGATGATACTATATAGTGAATTGACTGTATATTTTGTGGGCAGCCAATTGCACACAGCAGTGCCCTATAAACAGTTGTGGATTGAGTGAGCAAATAATTTTTTTCAAGGAATTATTACCCCCAGAAAAGCGATCCGCCAATCGACTAACAATGGAGATGCTACTGACTTGTTAGGTAAACAGAGGCGTGTGGAGTAAGCAAACTTGCCTAAGGCTTCTCCAAAAAAGAATAAGTTAAGAATAGATGAGACAATGGAATAAATAACGCTGCATATTCACCTCTTGTGAGCACGTCGAACAATGCAGCACACTCTCCAGCACTGCATTGGAGTACCAGCCAAGACTGTGCTTAAAGGAACAACGTGGGGCTTGAAACCACAACCTTCTGATTCAGAGGCGAGAATGCTACCAACTGCAACGATTTTAGCCGGATAAACTCCAGCAGAAACCTAACGCGCACTCTGAGGTGCCCAAGCCTTAGCCCTTGCCAACCTGCACCTAATTCCTTTCAAAATGAAGTAAGCAGGGTGCGTCTCTCTGAGGAGAGTGCGCACACCATTCCAGACATAGGGAAATGCCCACGTGTAGGTGACGTGCAGAGGTGGAACTCTCAGAGGTGGAGCCCCAAGATGCTACCTGGTGAAGGGTGTTAAATAAATACAAGTTGTTGTTGTTTTCTGGTTTGAAAGCTCCCGTGTGTTGATTTTTTCCACACGTGTCAAGACCCCCGGCTGACCAAAAGAAATAAAAATCAATGCACTGCGTTGGTTTACTCTACGTGAGGGTGTACCAGCTCGATGAATTTTATCAAAAAATATTTTTTCCTCCATTTCTAGAATCTTGCTTGGTGAAATATTCATTCAATGGCTTGAGACTGCAACTCACACTCTCATTTTCACCTTGGCACATTCTTGGCTGTTAGTCTTTCAACTATTCGGACCGCTTTAGCAGATCATTTTTTAGCTTCTACAAGTCTAGACAGTTCACATATCATATTCTGAATCCTTAAGCAGCCCTTAAACTGCCCTATTACAGAAAATATAAAACAGATTTATCAAAATAAAAAAAAATGCTTGTGTACTACATCATAATATACAATGTGCACCCTTCATACAGCGGAAAACCTTAGTGAGAAGCATCTTCCACTGCTGTCTGAGATGTGCTGCACCACAATGGTGGCAATGGACACCACAGCTGCCTCTCACCAAAATATCAATCAAAACAAGTGGCAACCACAGGGCTCGAGAGCAAATATAATACAATACAAAATTATATTTACGCAGCGCCTTTCAGGTTGGGAGAACGTCCTAAGGCGCTGGATAGTCAGGGATTTGGACCGGAGCTGGGGGTCGGGATCGCAGAGGGTGGAGGGCAGAGAGAGTAGGGCTTGGAGGGTAGCTGAAAGCTTGGACACAGAGGAGGGCTTTGAGCCGTGCCTTGAAGGAGGCAAGGGAGGGAGTGAGGCAAAGGGAACATGGGATGCAATTCCATAGGGTGGGGGCAGAAATAGTGAAAACCCGACCGCCAGTGGTGGGGCGAGCCCGGTGCGGGATGTGGAGCAGACCAGAGTGGAGCAATGAGGTTACATCAAGACTAGGTGAAGAATGGATATTTGGCGTGCACTGTATTAAGAGACAAATAAGTCCTAACGAAATAAATAAATGAATAAAAACGTACTTTTTTCCTCCCGATCACCCGATTAGTACTTGTGGGCATGCCACGCTATGCACAGGTCACAGCGCAGCAAAATCACAGACAGAGAAGTAAATCTCTTCCACAAACAGAAACTGTGCAAAAGAGCTGCAATTTCATATTGAGATTAATAGATCCATTTCCCTGAAACGGGTAAGAGTCACTCTGGGTGAGGCGAGCCTGGATTCCTTCATTATAAATTGATTTTCCCTTTAAGTTTACATAAAACTTAAAGCGTATAAACAAAGCTGAAGTGCTTCAACATAAATGGCTGACACATCAGGGGCGCATTTGCAATCGTCAATAAACCCGAACCTACATTAAAGGGCATCAATAAAGCCCAGTCTGCTCCGTAATGCGCTGGGTTTGGCGAAGCGTTTGCTTATTGGCTTTGTAATGCTGTACAGATTGAGGAAAGCTATAAGCGTTCTTGAGGTCTACCTTCAGAATTTACTGTGATGAGCTCTTGTGTAATGCTTCGCATTTATCATGCTCATAAAGAGCCAGTTGATATTGCCTTACCCAGCAAGCTGATTCCCAGGCGCGATAGACCTTGCCTCAGGCCTTCCCCCAGGCTGTCTGGAAGCTGTCTCCTCCACTCCTCTTGTCGATTGTAGTGCTCTTCGTCCAGGGATAGACGATCCATGTTGCGAGCCAAACTTGTCGCCAGGTTGGTAATTGACGTCAGAGTACCTGAATGCACGTAGCACACAAATTCAGAAACGACATTCACTTTCATTTCTAGCCAAATACTAAGATATATTTCATAAAGAGAGATTCATTTTACAACAGTAGTAGCAGTTACACATCGTCCTTCACATAGGGTAACGATGCAGAGAGTTTTAAGGGCCATTCTGGTCCTCACCACTCACCTTACCCCCAGCTTGTGTGCCAAGCTGGCACTGCCAAGGGTCTTGGGATGTCCTTCCGACGTGAAGGGCGTTATACAAATGTAAACTTGTATTGTTAACGTATCCTAATGGAGCGTTAGCCTAGACTGTGAGCAGCAATTCCGAGGTGGTACCCCACAACCTTAAGGCACAATACCTCACGGTTTTATCAAGTGCTAACATAAAAATCCCTGAAAGTACTCACTTTCCTACAGATCACTGGAACAGGAAAATTGGAGTAAAATTTACGGTGTGTCTTAAGGAGTTCCTTAACTTATTTAAGGAACATCACAAATTTTAAACCCAATATAGGATCGCCAGGAGACGTTCTGATTGACATGTACGATCTTGGAATGCAAAACTTTGTTTGATCAATGAAATCACATCTACCTTTGGAAATATGTTTGACGAACGAAGTTGTTCCTCTGGAGACTCCGCTGACAAAGGCACCTGGGCCTCGGGTCAGCCCCTCATAGGGAAGCCTGAAGAAATCGGCTATTCCGTTACCTATACTTCTCACCAAATTAGCCGGGCTTCCAAGGATCTCCAGGGAACCGACAACCCAGCCTGCAAGGAACAAACAACAAAAGGGTTAACGACAATAAAGGCTCATTTGCTCAGAGCAAATTAAAAAAAGGTTCAACAGTTACAAATGTTAAACTTCGATAATGGTAATAGTAATAATAATAATAATCCTTGCATTTGATATAGTGCTTTATCGTGTAGTTGAGACGTCTTAAAGCTCTTCACAGAATATACTGTAAAGTGGATTGATTGTATACTTTGTGGGCAAAATGAGGCAGCCAATTGCGCACTGCAGTGTCCCACAAACAGTCGTGGATTTAAGAATTCTCCATGATCCCGGCTCCACCTGAATTCTTTTTATAAATAAACCACACAAGATGGCTGAAAGGCTAAGACAAGGCAAAAGTCCAGGACTCTGCAAGGGACCTGCGAAACACCAATACGGATACCCGTAACTCAACACAGAGATACAGACCAGCCCCGGTATTCGAGCTGACGTAACCAATACAGTAAACGGTGTCACGCTTACACAGGGGAGTGAGTGGGTGGGGACAGGGGAGGAGGTGTGTGCGTTTTCTGGCTACCAGAAAGAGGCGGTTTTTGTGTGGGCGTGGAGTGGGGGGGGGGGCGAACCATGACAAATTAAGATCAACCCCAAGTTAAAGCGGGAGCATGGATTTCTGTCACCTCACTCTCCATCCTTTTCCCCATCAACCCCTCCCACCAATCGTGTTTGTTGCTCCAGAGAGAGAGGAAAGAAAGAGAGAGATTCAGGAAATATATTTTGAATTTAATGGTCTTCTGAGACAAGGATTTGGGGTAGGTAGGGAGATGGGGAGGGAAACTATCAACTCATTGTGACATTGTGTGAGAGGAACTTATAGAGGAGTGCAAAAATGTAAACGGGATTGAACAAGTCAAAACAGAAAGGAGACAGTAGAGCAAGAGGAAATAGGATTGGAATTGTAAAGGGCAATTTCAAGCCAGACGCCAGGAAGTTTTTACTCAGACGAAGAGGTTGCCAGAAAGGGTGATTGAGGCCAGGACTCATTTATAAAACAGCTTGTTGGGAGGACAGTAGGGTGAGTGTTCTGGAGAGATGAGATCAGATGGACCGAAGGGACTTTTGCATCCAAACCAATATTTTAATCTTGTACTGTGTGAGTGTAGGACGTGGGAACATTTCACTCGCTTCCTCTGTACTGAGTTGTCAAACCTAGTTAGGTCCATGTGAGAAAGTGGCTTCGGCGCTCCCACCATATACACATTGTCTGGGGACTTATATAATAATATAAATAATAGTATAATAATCCTTGCATTTGATATAGCACTTTTCACGTCTTCTAGACGTTTCAAAGCGCGTCACAGAATAGACCTGTAAAGTGAATTCGTGAAACGCGACAGCCAATTGCGCACAGCAGTGTCCCACAAACAGTCGTGGATTGAGTGACTAAATTTTTTTTTCCCCCTCAAGGATTATTATCAGGCGTATGAAGTAAGAAAACTTGCCCAAGGTTTTGCCCTGCCAGAAATCGAACCCAGGGCTCTCGCTTGTGAGGCGAATGCTCTAACCACTGAGCTGCAGGACTCCACTGATCGGGAAAAAAAAGCAGGACAGAAATTGCCATCATTGGCCTCCCTGCAGCCTTCTCAAGGTAAATGAAAATTACAAAAATGTATCTGAGTGTTCAGTGCAGTGGTCTCTTTAACAACTACCTGATCTGTCAGACGGGACCTCGTTTAACAACAATACAAACTTGCATTTATATAGCGCCCTTCACGCAGGGTAGTGAATTGACTGTATATTTTGTGGGGTGAATTGATACCGGCTCCATGCTGTACAGGTGAGTAGTGTTTCATAGCAACTTGAAAGGATTTGCTACCATATCACAGCCTTGCTCCCCACTACCTCTGTGACCTGTGAACTCCACATCGGCCCTCCTCTTCGATCGACACCCTGCTGTATTCCGTGCAGGTCAGCAAAATTACTTCTCGGGTTAAAATCTAAACTGCATTTGGGAGCACTGAGGCAATTGGGTGGGTAGGGGTGGGGGTGGGGGGGGGGGGGGGGGGGAGGAGAGAAAAGAAACCAAGTGTCCTCAGGGAGGACAAATTGAAAGATTATCCATCTCTCAGTGTGTTTATATATCTCTCAGCAACAGCGGCCGGAACAGGTCACTTTCTAGTCTCCAGGGGTAAATGAGTACAACAGAGAGGGTGGGAGACACACATAGAGATCGGAAAGATAAAGACATGCAACGTGAAGTGGGAATAAATGTTGAACTCTGGAGGTATAAAGGTCCAAACAAGCATCATAAATCAGAACTAAAAAATGATAGCAGATGGTCCATTAATTGAAAACAAATTTCAACATGGTTGCAAGTTTCCAAAAACAATGTAAGAAGGCGATGAAAAGTGTACAAGCCATCCGTAATTGTCAGTCACACAGCAATGCAAAAAAAAAACTGGAGTCATGTGAGTGCACTGAACATTGCCTTAAAGCCTCTTAACTTGTCCTCAACTGCACATTCGGGGTTGAAAATTACAGGATTCACAACACGGACTTGAGAACCCGCTGGCGTGGGATTGTACTTAGGCTCCAGTGAATTTGGAAAAGTCTGGCAAAAGTTATAAAGCAAAATTAAAAAAAAAAAATCCTTATATTTGCAACAGCGCTTTTCACATCAGGATGACGTCTCAAAGCGCTTCACAGGATTTTTACAGTGGCTGTGTATTTTGTACGCGAATGGGGCAGCCAATTTGCACACATTAATGTCCCGCAAACTGCCATGAAGTGAATGAGGAATGTTATTTGGTGGATTGTCGGCCAGGACACCTGGAGAAACTCCCTTCTCCTTGCTGTTTTCGAAATGGACTTCAGAGAAATGATTTCGTCCTTATTTATTTAGGGAACATGAATATCCCTCAATTTTAGCTGCAACCCAGGACCTGCCAGTCACTTGGGAGTCCTGTAGTGTATTGATTAGAGCACTCGCCTCGCAAGCGAGAGGACCTGGGTTCCATTCCCAGGGAGAAAAGTTTCTTTATTCCACACGCCTGTTTGCCAAGCAGTAAGTAGGAATCCAGTTGTTAGTCTATTGGCGGATCGCTTTTTCTGGGGGTTATAATCCCTTCCAAAAAATAATTTGGTCACTCAATCCATGAGCGTTTGTGGGAAACTGCTGTGCGTAATTGGCTGCCATGTTTTGCCCTCAAAATATAGTCAAATTCACTTTACAGTATATCCTGTGAAGTACTTTTGATACGTCTCGAAGATGTGATAAGGCGCAATATCAAATGCAAGGATTATTATTATTACTATTATTGACTTCTGTCTGGTGTATACTACATTTTTCCAACCCTGTTAATGTTCAAGCTACTTTCGGGCACAAGGTACCAACCTGCACGGAATAGAGCCCCAGCAGCATAGTGCATGGCGAGTGCGTGGATCAGCTGTCTCGGTGTAGTGTAGATGGATCCCCGCTCAAAAAGAGAGAAGGAAAGGGGAGCGTGGTCCGAAGCAATGTACAGCTTTATTGAGGCGTGGACACTGACCAGCAAGCTGACTGGTTGGATTGTGAGCCTCTGCAGTTTGACCGGATTCACCAAAGCATTTGTTGCATTCAGCACCTGCTCGGGTACAGCAAGCTCCCCCAGGCAGCGAGGTGTCCTGCCCGGCTTCCTGCCCAATCCAGTCTCGGGGATATATGTGTTAAAGAGAGTCTTGACATAGTAAACGAAGGTGTCTTCTACGTACAGCCTGGCAGGTTTCAATTCAAAGTCTGTTTCGCTCATGGTGAACACGAAGTTCTGCTCTCTTAAGAGGACGCAGACTTTCAGGAAACAGCGCTGCCTGTAGTCATCGAGCTCCTTTGTTGACGGTGCAGAATTCGGTCCCGCTTTCCACTGGGGGGTGTCTGGTTTGAGCTCCTGGCAGAGCAGGGCGGGGAAGTGGAAGCTGGCTTTGTGATAAAGTTGGTTGTCGACCTGCAGGTCCCCGGTGCAGAACTCTAGCATGTAGAGCTCCGAGACCCCGTCGCTGGGCTCGGCCCGGAATTCCCGGGAAGGGGCCGGGAATGGTTCACCACCGGCGCGAGGTTCAACAGCACGTTGTCCAGTGTCAGGCGTAGTAGCTCGGATGATTTGCTGTGATTGGTCACGTCGTCATTAACAGTGAGGCTCGCCTGAGAGACCAGCAACCTCATCACAATGGTCTGCTTCATCATTCTGTGCAGAGAAACACACACGCACACAGACACACACACACACACACACACAGACACAAACATACACACAGACATGGTGTTAGAGAAGAAATTAACTTGCATCTTTCATGTTGCTTATAATGTCGGAAACCTCAAAAATCTTGACATTAATTAGCATCGTATTTTTGTAGGCAACCCACAGCCATTTTTTTTTTACAGTAACAGTCCTGTAGTGTGGTAGTTAGAGCGCTCGCCTTGCAAGCGAGAGGACCCGGGCTTGATTCCCGGGCAGGGCGAAATGTTGGGCAAGTTTCCTTATTCCACACGTCTCTGTATACCTAGCAGTAAGTAGGAACCCGGTTTTTAGTCGATTTCCATGGGTAATAATCCCTTCTAAAAAAGCTAATAATAATAATTTAGTCACTCAATGCACGACTGTTTGTGGGATGCTGCTGTGCGCAATTGGTGGCTGCGTTTCACCCACAAAATTTACAGTCAATTCACTTTACAGTATATTCTGTGAAGCACTTTGAGACATCTTGACGACCTGATAAGGATTATTATTATTATGCCCAGTCCTACACTGATGCACTCTCCAGCACTTTCCTACACAAGATGCACACTAGCCAGAACCCTGCAGCCCATGTCCTTTCCCACACCAGGCCCCACAACAAGACAATCACCCCCCACCCCATCCTCACTCGGCTTCACTGGCTCCCATCCATCCGCAGAACAAATTCAAGATCCTGTCTTTACGTTCAAAATCCCCCCATAATCTCACCCCATCCAACCTCTGCAAGCTCCTACAACCCTACTGACCCAGACCTCTTTCACTCCGCAAATACTGGCCTATTTCTTGTCCCCTCCCTATTCCCAACCCCACACACACACACCACTGCTCCAGGTCTGTAGAACACCATCCTGGGGTCCCTCCAACTCGCTCTCTCCCTCACCTTGTTCAAAGCCCAGCTCCAAACGCACCTCTTTGACTGTACTTTTGACCATCATTCCCCTTCCCTCCACCCACCCCCCCCAGCTCAGGTACCCAAGCAGCAGCGTTAAGTGCCTCGAGACATCCTCCCGACGTGAAAGTGTAAATATAGACGTATAGGAGATGCTTAGTCAGATGCTGGCTGGGCCACTAGATGGAGCACCTTGCATTAGCAGAGAAAAGCTCTTCAGTAAGTTAAGGGGAGGAAAGGGACATTGCTGGCACCTTTTCATTGCAAACACCACTGTTATTAGACAATGACCCAGCTGAATCACAGACTACTCTCTGAGGAATTTGTCGTCTTGCCTGTTGTGTGTAGGCAGCTGGAAGCGAGGTTACGTGGAGGTGAAAGGCCTTGTGGGGTTAGAGGAAAGGCAGAGGTATTTGTTTTACTGAAAAATGTACATAAGCAGATGATGATTGGGTGATGGATCAGCTTTGAGCCTGGTTCAGCGTCATGTTTTCCGCTACTGATATTGGAGTGAGCATAAGCACAACTGCTGTGATGATTCTGCTGTATACTATGACTATATCTGTTGCATTAGCCACATCTCCTCCATCAGCTGCACCTCCCAGCTACAACTACTTATCCATGTACAAGTCAAACCCTTTAATAATAATAGTAATAATTCTTGCATTTGATGTACTGCCTTATTACGTTTTTGAGGTGTCTCAAAGCGCTTCATAGAATATACTGTAAAGTGAATTGACTGTATTTTGTGGGCGAAACGTAGCAATCAATTGCACACAGAAGTGTCCCACAAACAGTCATGGATTGAGTGCCCAAATTATTTGTTTTTATATTTTGAAGGGATTATTACCCCCAGAAAAAAATTGTAAGAACATCGCAGACATACACCGAGGTCGCAACAAAATGTAACCTTGGTAAGGTTAGATGATAACAAGTACCATCTAAACGTTAAGGAAAGGAACAGGTGTCAAGTCTAGTTCAACGGATGGAACCTTTTCCTCTGGGTCAGAGAGTTGTGGGTTCAAGCCCCACATTGGGACTTTGAGCTCATCGTCTAGGCTAACAATCCTGTGCAGTGTTGGGGAGATGGGGGGTGCGTTCTGCATTGTTGGAGGTGCCGGCCTGCGATGACATGCAAAACCAGGACATTGATGTGGGCAAACTGGCTGCCTGTGTTCACCTACACATACAGTGACTCCGCTGTACAGTAAAATCTTCAAACGTCTTTGAGATGTCTTGGTGACATGATAAGACTCTATATCAGATGCAGGGATTATTAGTGTTATATCACTATAATGAAAGAGAAGATGTCTTTGGTGAGGAATTACCACAGAGAGGCACGATAGACCAAACGATAGACTAACTGTCTACATTCTAGGTTTATGGTAAAAACCTTTGCCGTCCAAAAAAGCATTGCTCCAGCCCTCCCTCTCGTGGCAGAAGGCAGGAACTTCAGCATTTTAATTCCCTACACAGTTCTCAAGGCAGTTATACTGTACATATAAAGCAGTGAATGTCATAGAAAAAGCAAAATCCTGTGCCGAATGAACTAAAAAATAATCTCCTTTCTCCGAGTCTAAGGTACGAAATTCATAAGGACTTTTCTGAGCTCCAGTTAATCCAGAACTCCGCTGCTGCCCACATGTTCACACTAAACTCTGTACCCCCATCAGACCAGTTCTTGCCAGGCTCCACTGGCTCCCTATCACCGAATAGATCGATGTCAAGATCCACATCCTCATCTTCAAATCCCTTTATGACCTGGCACCTCTCTACCTTCCTCTTTGATCGTGCTTAAGGTCACCTCCCCCCGGTTCGGTGCTGTCAAGCGCTCTGAGATCTACCCTGTTTGACGCCCGGGAATCAAACCCAGGTCCTCTCTCTTGTAAGACAAGTGCTCTAACCAATACGCTACAGGACTCCAGTATTGGTGTGCCCAGCTTTACTTAGCAGTTCATTATGACCAAAGCTAATTGTAGATCAATTACCCATGAAGACTGGTCAGTACAGGCCCAGCTCTTCCTTCCGGAGCCAAGGTCATAGTGATAGTGCTTGAGTAATGAACGATATCCACGTATACGCAACCGTAACTTGGTAGAAACACCACCTGAGTGTGGAAAGAAGAGAAGAAACAAGGTTAGATTCCAGCTTGATGACAGAAGGGATCGAATTTGTGATGTTCTCAATCGCGAGCACCAACGTGAGCCACCCTGATCCATCCGAGAGATAGGGATGGCAATTTTCGAACCGGGATCAGCCTGGCTCGGTTAGTAGCTCAGTGTCACCTCAAAAAGTTGTGGATTCAACCCTCAATTTGGGACTTTGAACTCACAGACAAGGCCAATACTCCAGTACACTGCTGGATTGTTGCAGAGGCCGTCTTTTGGATGAGACTTTAAAACCGAGGTCCCGTCTGCCTATTCAGGTGGATGTCAACAGTCTGTTGGCGCTATTTGAAAAGAGAAGGGAGTATCTACTGGGCCAGTTCCCCTTAACAAAATTGGTCACTCACTCCATGGCTGTTTAGTGGACTTTGCTATGCACGAATGGACTGCCACAATATCCTACAAAATACAGTCACTACACTTGACAGTAAAATCCTGTGAAGCTGTTTAAGACATCTCCACAATGTGATACAGCACAATTTCACATGAGAGGATTGTCATTTATTATAAACATAGTCGTGGGAAGGTGGTATTTCAGTCTCCAGACGTTTCGCATCCAAGAAAAGACCCCCAAAAATTCAGAAAGCAGGAGTGTGGGATACAAGTCCAACAATGACAACAACAACCACCACCAAATTACATTTGTATAGTACTTTTCAAGTCGGGAGGACAGTCAGAGTTTTGGACTCAAGCTGGGGGTCAGGATCGGGGAGGGTGGAGGACAGTGGGGGGAAGCAGGGTGATGGAAAGTATGGTCAAAGAGGAGGGTCTTGAGATGGGTCTTGAATGAGGCAAGGAAGGGGGCGAGGTGGAAGGCCTGGGGGATGGAGTTCCAGAGGGTGGGGGCAGAGTGGCAGAAGACCCACCCGCTAATAGTGGGTGGGGTGTACAAGGCGGGGTACGTAAAGCAGGCCGGAGCCCTCTGAGTGGAGGGAGCGAGCAGGATGGTAGATTAGTAGGTCGCAGAGGCAGGGGGGAGCAAGACCGTGGTGGGTTTTGAAGGACCAGGATCTTGAACTGTATCCTCTGAGTGATGGGAAGCCAGTGGAGTCGGGCGAGGATGGGGGTGATAGGGTCACGGAGCCTGGTGTGGGAGAGGACACGGGCTGCAGAGTTCTGGATGATCTGCAGCCTATGGAGGGAGGAGTGGGGGAGGCCGACAAGGAGCTTGCATAGTCAAGAGCTGATGTAATGAAACTGTGTATGAGGGTTTTGGCGACCTGCGGTGTGAGTGGCAGAGGCAGGCGATGTTGCGGAAGTGGGGGAAGGCAGAGAGGGTCATGGTACGGATGTGGGGTAGAAAGTCTAGTCAAACAAGTTGCCAAGGTTCTGGACTGGCTTAGCAAGGTAGAGTGTGCAACCATGGATGGTGATGCTGTCAACGCCTGAGATGAGGAGGCGCTGACAGGAGCCAATCAAGAGAGCCTCGGTCTTGCTGATGTTCAACTGAAGAAAATTAGCTCTCATCCAAATTAGAAACATTTTACATTCCACCATCCACCAACGCCAAATTAACGGCAGTAGTTTTTGTGCAGTGAACAAACATGCACTGGAAATTGGAGGCTGCTCATATTCACAAAGGATCCTACTGCCAAAAAACACATCGTGTTTAAATACATAATAATAATAATCCTTGCATTTGATATAGCACCTTATCATGACTTTGAGACGTCTCAAAGCGCTTCACAGAATATACTGTAAAGTGAATTGACTATATTTTGTGGGAGAAACACGGCAGCCAGTTGTGCACAGCAGCGTCCCACAAACAGTCGTGGATTGAAGTGACCAAATTATTATTTTGAAAAATTGTGGAGTAAGAAAACTTACCTAATGTTTTCCCTGCCCAGGAATCAAACTCAGATCCCCTCGCTGACAAGGCAAGTGCTCTAACCACTACGCTACAGGACTTCACATACATACAGGTAAAATAACTGGGTGGAAGCTTTGCTAATTTACCTGAGTGCCAGGACTATTCAGATCAACGGCATCGCTCCATTCCTCAGCGAGCTCAGGTGAGGGTATCATGCTGATGACAACACTGGGCAAAGTCTCTTTAGCCTTGCAGTCAGGGAAACTCCAGACTTGATGATACAGCTCATGGTGAAGGGAAGACTCGCCAGGAATCATTTGCCGGTGAACCGTACATTTTGGAGTATCTGAAATAGCATTACAGAAATTTAAATGACAGATTTACTATGGTACGCATGGTATATTTCGCTAGAAACTACATATTCTAAAAGCACATTCACATCCGACACTCAATGGTGATGTAGAATGGACTGACCACCAAGACACTAAAATGGGACTAAAATCTTGATAGACACTTCACCTTAAACAGTCCCCTTAAAATACAGTGAGATTGCTGTTTCTTATAGTAAAAATCAGAACTAATGCTGCATATATTTTCCAACTTCTAACAAACAACAGAAAGCCTAATGGAAACTTGGCCAGCAACCTCTCCGCCACCCTCCTGCCAGCTGTTTCACACAGGGTTTGTTAGACTACGCAATGCTTTACCACAATCCATCGCAACGTTTAAAAGGAAATTGAATAACTACTTGAGGAAAAGTTAGATTAATGGTGCAGCAAAAGAGAAACAGAATAGGATGGGAGTGCGCGCTCAGGGGAGGAACCTGGCACCGACCCAGAAAAGATAGGTCAACCCGGGGCTCAGAGGGTTCTCTCTCCATTCTCTCTCATTTTTACTGACTGGTTCTTCGCTTTTCTGACTAGTCACTGGGGGCTGGGAGTCATCCCACTCAGCTCCTGTTAACCCTGCAAGCCAAAGCCCCAATGGGTAGGGAGGTCCTAGCTGGACAAGCAGTGAAAAGCTTGCCAGACACTAATATCAATGGCAAGCTATGTGGTTTCAGCTGTTTAGATGCCAGCAGTACCCCCAAGACACTACAGCATTATTCTACAGTAAACTCCTGAAACTTGTCACTGCCGCTTAAGTCATCATGTTGTCAAATTATGTATTTATACATATATCTCCGGTTAACTTGTCACTGAGCCCTTTTCCCTTGGAGTAACGAGTTATCAGTTTACTGTACGTCTTTTTCAATCCAGTTCTATCCCTGGCATCTCCTCATCTCTCCGATCTTCGCCTATCCCATTTTTCCGCTCCTCCAATCTGCTCAGCTAATTTTGACTTGCTGTGCAACCCCCGGCTCTCTGTGCCACCATCGGTGGTGGCTTTCAGTGTCTACAGTATAGCAACATCCCACAATCAGACATGAAGTAAATCACCAATTATATCTGAGGGATTGTTGGCCAGGACACAGGAGAAACTCCCTTCCCTTTTCAATGTTGCCATGGGATCTTTTACAGGATCTCTTGGACAGGACCTCTGTACTTGCTATGGGACGCTACCCTGGTGAGAGGCGCCATATAAATGCAAGTTGTTGTTGTTCAACATCTCTAGCAATGCAGCGCTCCCTCAGTACCGTATCAGAGACACAACCCACAAACATCTCCGACCACACCTTTAAAGCTTGTCTTAACATCTTTCTTTGCAATCACAGTTTTGGCTCCCTTCTCCATGTCCCCTCTCCTCCCTCACCTCCAGCTGGGGATCCCAGACGATTCTATAAAGCGGTTTGAGGTGTCCTCTCAACATGAGGAGCGGTAATACTCACATAAGGCGTATCAGTCAGGGCCATGACGTTTAATATGACTCACACAAAGTATGAGTTACAGGCAAACTTGCACAAGTCATACAATCTCCGACTATTAATCAATAATCTACACTGCACATGCGTACTTCAATGCAGCCAGTAAGTGCGCATGCGGTGACGGGTCAAGACTTAATTTCCCCCAATTCAATGCAGCCGGTAAGTGCAGTCGTGGCGTTACAAGTTAGGTGATAATTTACATGAAGGTTTTAGGATGTATTTGGACAAAGAAATCGTTACGATTTAGCCATTTATCCGATTTATAAAATATGACCAGTGCTAAGAAATTCTGAGGTAGGAATCCGAATAGGACTCGGGTGCATGCACTACTTAAGGGATTATACGATTTATAAAGATAAAGACTTATGTGAGGTTCACTGTATAAATGTAAAATCGTTGTTGTTGTGACTGGAGGCGAGAGTATTATCTGTTGAGCCAAGCTGACACCTTGTTAAAGAGGGTTTCGAAGGCGGGGAGAGAAAGTGGAAAGTGCAAGAAAAAGGAATTTTGGAAGCGTGGCAGAAAATTGGGATGGGGTGGGCATTGTTGGCTGAATACCTCTGATATTCTCTTTCATTATGATAGTGGCAGAACACCTGTTGTGGATAAACATCCTGGGGCTGGGGTCTTCATTCACTGTCAGGTAGGTGACTCCGAGATGTTCTTGGTGAGTTATCACTATGGCTCTGCAAAGGAGAAGGTACAAGGAAACAAGGTTCAAGTGAATATCGACTCCTATGGTGTGGACGATAAAATAATAATAATATAATAATAATAACAACAGGAACAATCTGAATATCCGCCCATCTACACTGCATAATGTTGAGAAAACAGTCTTAAATTGAAAGATTTTTTTTCAATAACTATAAAGAATTGCTGCAAATCAGCCTCAAGAATAAGACTATATATGTTGAATTTTGTTAATAATAATAATCCTTGCATTTGATATAGCGCTTTTCACGTCCTCTAGACGTCTCAAAGTGCTTCATAGAATATACTATAAAGTGGATTGACTGTATATTTCGTGGGAGAAACGCGGCAGCCAATTTCGCAGCAACAGCGTCCCACAAGCAGTTGTGGATTGAGTGATCAATTTTTTTAAGACAACCATCAGAAGTCTTGGGGCCCAACACACAGGATGACTAGCTGTTGACGGTTTAACATCACTGTTAACTTTGCTAAGACATACTGGATGTTGGATCACTGAAGATCTCTCTCTCATTGTCTCTCTGTGTGCAGTGACTGATAACCAGGATGAGATTAGCAACTTATTGTCAGAAGAGTCTAAGATTCCCAGCTGTGAGGCAGCACCAGTCTATAGCAAGCCATTCAGCCACCTCCCCTGCTGCTTCTTGATTTATACACTTTTCAGATTAAAAAAAGACTTATTAAAAAACTTAACCACTATTCATTCCCTCCCTAAAACGAAGATCTGAGAGGTTTCATTGAAACCAGATTGAAGATAAGAGTGAGGATAAATATGCTGCCTGTGTCTGTGCCAAATGGTGCGAGTGCAAAGTATGAGTGAATTAGTGTCAGACCCAACCTGACACCATTGTAAAGTGCTGCACGAGAATCTGCAAAGAAAAACAGTGTGCGGAAATCTGGTTGACCTGCAAAAAAATAAAGTGGACTTTATATGCCCCTGTAACAACCAACATCGAAGTAAAATAGTACAAGTTATGGAGACTGGCTACGTGTTTCAGTTCCCATAACATTCTCTTGCTTATCCTGTTTCGTATTGGTTAGAGCACTTGCCTCGCAAGCAAGAGGACCTGGGTACGATTCCTGGGCAGGGCGAAACGTGAGGAAGTTTCGTGCTCCACACACCTCTCTTTACCTAGCAATAAGTAGGAGCCCAGTTGTTAGTCGATTGGCAGATCGTGTTTCCAGGGATAACAATCTCTTCAAAGAAAATTGAAAAAATAATAATCTGGTAACGCAATCCATGACTGTTTATTATTATTATGAATATATTATTTCTAAAATCAGCATCTATTGTGGTTAAATGTAGGAACGACTTCAGATGCTCCTGGTCATCAAATAATAGATATCCACCCCAGGCAACTGTTGGTGACAACACTAATGTTGAGGTGCAACGGTTACACAACAGAATGTATCTACAGATCTCCAGGGGATGTGGGGGGGTGGAGGCGGAAGAGAGTGGGGAGTCTTACTGTTATTATACCTGGTACAAAATCCATTTTCACTGAGATCTGCAAGGGGCACTGCAATGCTCTGCCTCGGGAAATCCGGTCGAACCATCGCTGGCAGACTCCAGTACTGGCAGCTGCTGGCACTGACGTTGGGAGAAACACCGAGAAACAGATGCTTTTGGGGTTGTGGGAGGTTTAAATCCGACTGGTTCACATCGATGTTGAAGTCCCAGCAAGGAATGGAAACTGGGGTTGGAGGGATGCGGTCTCTGGCCGGTCCGATGCTGAACACTGCACTGTCTGCCGTGTAGACGTACTGCAAATGACAACAAGAAAATTGCATTAAGGACCGAGACTTGTGGCAATGGATTGGCATCTCTGGAATGTCACAGACTTGCGTCACTCAGCTAATAACCCTGAACATCATATATATTCAAAGAAAGGGAAAAAAAGTAGTCACAAAGCACACAGAATCTTCATGTGGATTTTTGAAATTTTGAAAGCGTTTTTGGTTAAACAACAAATGCCTTGTCCAATGTTTTCAATCAATCCTGGTCAACAATAACCCAAAATAAAACTGGTCAGTCACTTCATGGCTGTTCGTAAGACATTGCGGAGCACAAAATTGGCTGCTGCCTTTGCCCACAAAACACAATGCCCTGTGAAGCCCTTTCAAATGTCCTCCTGATGTGAAAGGCGCTGCACAAAATGTATTTTTCAGTCCTGCTCCCTTCCTTTAGGCCTCTTTGATTCACGTGTCATTCACTGACTAAGAGCAAAGGTACACAACCTGGCAACACTACCTGTGCCTGATCTCCAGGAGGTGGAACGAGCTGCTAGCATTCTTACATAAGAGAAACACACTATATTATTCCATGAAATGTAATATGCTCCAATATAAAGCTCATGTATATTTAATGTAATGATTAATTCCTGGAAGAGAGGCTAACGTTTTTCACACAGGGAGCAAGTTATCAACTTCATTGTTTCAACGGCAAAACATTAGGTTCCAATAGTTAGAACTGAGACCACAAAGCACTGCTTCACACAGAGGATTCTCAAGATGATAAGAGCGGCTTGGATGATGAAGCACCTTCAGCCCATCTGATCTCAATCCTCCCAGAACCCGGTTGTTTGTTGATTGGCAGATTGCATTCTAGGGTAACAATCCCTTAAAAAATAATAATAATATCTTTGTCATTCAATCCTTGATCGTTTTCGGGGCACTGCTGTGCGCAATTGGTTGCAGCGTTTCGCCCACAAAATATACAGTCAATTCACTTGACAGTATGTTGTGTGAAGCGCTTTGAGATGTCTCAACGAAATGAGAAGATGCTATATCAAATGTAAGGATTCTTATTATTATGATAAAAATTATTTCGCACGCAAATGTGAAGAACACACAAATTCTGCTTTTCCCCTCAGCTGTTTGCAAAGCAAACTTTTGAACCAACTCCAGATGGATGACCAGCGATTATCAAAGTCCAGCACCTAAACAAGCAGGAAGTCAGTGTCCAGATTCCTAGCAAGAAGCAAACCTCTCAACAGTGCATCAAGCTCACTGCCAACATCAGAGACGCAGCAGAGGGGTGGGGTGGGGGAGAAACAACATAATAATAATCCTTGCATTTGATATAGTGCCATATCACATCTTTGAGGCACCTCAAATCAACCTAAAAGAAAGGTGCGTTCGCCATCGCTGAAATCAAGGCGACTTTATAAGAGGTTCAACAACAACTTGCATTTGTTAGCGCCCCTCACGCAATGAAGTGTCCCAGAGGTATAGGCTATCAGTCTCCAGCTGTGGTTTTCTCCTCTCCCCCACCTCCTCCCACTCTAAGCGAAACGCAAGCTTGGGAAGATGCTAAAGGTCATTGCTATTTTCACTACCCGTGGAGCCTGGCTTGCGATCAGAAAAAAGGTCACGAATATGAAAGGGATCAGCAGCAAGCAGCGGTCACTCTTTGCAGAAGGCGATGGATGGTGGGCCAACTGATACAATCACCAGAAGCAATTGCAGAATTGTTTGGACTGGAAAAACTTGAGGGAGTGAACGCAACAGATGTGGGCAGAGTGACTCATGGTACGGTCTCTTCCCTTCTCTCTCAGGTTATATGGGATATATGAAAACAATCCCGTAACTCTACCATCTCCAATTATACTTTGCTTAGCAAGCACCAGCCTGCTTCATGTGCCCTGCCCTATCTGCCCCACCATCAGCAGATGGGCATTCAGTGATTCTGTCTCTGCTATCTCCCTGCCTCCCTCTCTCCCTCTCTCTTTCTCTCTCCAACTCTCTTACTCCCCTCAGTCAAGTCCTGCCACAAGATCTCTTCTGACCGGACTTCCGTTCATCATTCCCTTCTTGGCTCCCACCAACTAGTTTGGGTGCCTAGCCAGCTATGTCAAGCACTTTGAGACGTCCTCCAGACGTGAAGCACGCTTCTATAAATTTAAATTGTATTGTACAACTCCAGTGTGCGGCGGTTAGACCGAGTGGCGACTCAAAACAACAATCCAAACATACTCTACAGTATAACCACATGATCTCCGCCTCAGGATTATTATCTTCAAACTTAAAAAACAATTACAGACAATTACGGTTTCCATATCAAAGCTGAACTTACGATTTTTCAATAATTCTGCACAGCTTTAACTTTAAGGCAAAGGTCTTAATGTTCACGGAACATTGCACTGAAGGTAATTATTGAAAACTCCTGGTTTGTCATGACAGCACTGGAGGTTCTGTGGCCACTACAACTCGCAATGATGCCTAGCAATCTCACTTCTGCGTCTAAATCTTTTGGACAGAGGACATCAGAGTATAAGACAATACAAAATTACATTTATACAGCACGCTTCACGTTGGGAGGACGTCCCAAGGCGCTGGACAGTTGGGATTTGGACAGTCATATACTGTGGATAACCTCAGGATTTTCGCTGTGCTGGGGCTAAATAAATCTCACTGCTCGACAGTGGGACAGCAAGACTGCCTTAGCTGTAAGCATTACTTCGACTAATATGTGTCATCTTTTGACATCGAATTCAAGATCCTCACCCTCACCTACAAGGCCATTCACGGCCTCGCTCCCTCCTACCTCTCCGACTTACTATCCCCCTACCTACCTGCCCGTACCCTCCGTTCCTCTGGCTCCGGTCTGCTCCACATCCCCCGCCCCAACCGCCCTACCATCGGTGGCCGGGTCTTCAGCCTCTCAGCTCCGAGGCTCTGGAACTCTATCCCCCAGTGCCTTTGCCTTGCCTCCTCCCTTTCCTCCTTCAAGGCTGGTCTCAAGACCTTTCTCTTTGACCGTGCCTTCAGCTCCCCTCTCGACTCTCTACCCCCTCCTCGCTCCCTCCCTTCCCTCCCCTCACCCGGACCATTTCCCCCCACTGCTCGGGTCCTGACCCAACTGTACAGCGCCTTGGGACGTCCTCCCGACGTGAAAGGCGCTCAATAAATGGAATCTTGTTGTTGTTGTTGTTGCTAACAAGGCAACATCATCTCCTTTGAGGTAGTTGGGACAGGAGAACATCTGCCAACTTGTTGAATTGAGTCAAAAAAATTGTAAGCGATTTCTTAAGTAACAATAATATTCCTTGCATTTGATATAGTGAGACGTCTCAAAGCGCTTCACAGAATATACTGTAAAGTGATTTGACTGTATATTTTGTGGGCGAAACGCAGCAGCCAACTGCGCACAGAGTGTCCCACAAACAACTGTGGATTGAGTGACCAAATTATTATTTACATTTTTTTAAGGGATTATAAGTAAAGACCAATGTAACAAGTCACCTCAGATCACATCAGAGCTGTTGCCTTTTTATTAACAAAATGTGTGGACGGAGTGATGAGAAATCACTTGTAGAAATAATCGTTAAACTGTTAAGAATCCGCTCAGGTTACTGAAGCTGCAATGAAAACCTATGTGACTGAGAGGAAAGCAGCTCAGGTTATGAGAGGAATTCAGAGGTCGTCCATTCATGGCTAAACATCAAAATAGTTGAAAGCCTGTAAAAGATTTGGCACTTTTTTTCCCTTTCCCACCCGGTCAGTTAGCAAGAAATGGAATTTCTATTTTGCAGTTATTTATTATACAATTTATATTTTACATGTGTAAACGTGTGCACTGAAAAGGAATTGGAGGTGCCGTTAAATGCGTGTGCAGAAAGGGATTTAGAGGTGCAGTTAATTAATAACCAACGAACAGGTGGATGAGTGATTTCTGAAGGATTTTAGCCACGTTTCCATTATCCCTCCTGTACCACGGATGGTACCAACAAAGTACAGGAGCTGAAAATCCCAACCACTGTTCTCGCCCAAACTTTTGCATTCACAGACTTTGCCTCGGCATTTTTGGAGGAAGAAGTCAGTTTCGTGCACTGTAGGCAAACTGATAGCCAACTGCAGTGATGATATATTTATGGGCAAACCTGGAAGCTAATCTGTGCAAAGAAAAATCCCACAAACAGCCATGACATTAAGTTATCCGGGGGATTGTGGGCCTGGAACTGGGAGAAACTTCTTCCTCTTTTCGGTTAGCGTCCTGGCTCTTTAACATCCCCCTCAATTAGTAAACGGGGCCGCAATTTAATGCCTCGTCGAACGGACAGCATCTCTAACACGTGCTGTGTATCACAGTGCTGATACGCACTGACGTTGCACTTCAATACAATCTCTGTTGAGTGGTACGCAGAAGCAGCAAGTTTGATTTGAAAAAGAATGGAAGTTTACTGTAACAATAGTCCCTAACGTTTCACCCTGCCTGGGGAATAGAACCCAGATCTCAAATTGATGTAGCGCTCATCACTTCATCGAAAAATCTTAAATCGCTTCACAGGGTTTACTGTAACGTCTAGTATCTGTGTATTTGTAGTCAAATCCTTAAAGGGAAAGGCATTGTGAACATCAGTTCAGACAGAGATTTGAGCTGGAGACTGGGGGCGGGGGGAGAGGAGGTCTCAGTTAAAAATCGAAAACTCTTAACATTATAGTTGTCAGATTAAAATACAAAGCAATACAATTCACATTCATGTAGCACCTTTCACATTGGGAGGATGTCTCAAAGTACTTAAGAGTAGAACTTAGGTTGAAGACTGCAGAGTTTAATAGTTATAAATTCGACTCATATATATGTTTACCCCAGCAATTCAGTAAGACGTACCTCCTCTCGGTTAGCCATCTCCGGGAAGACCAGCACAGGCCTGTAGTGGATTTTATGCTGAGTGTTGTTCACAATAACTGTCTTGTCCTCAATCAGAAGGATCTGAATGCCATGTCGGACCACTGAAGAAATGCAGAACTGGCACAACTGCAGGACACAGATAAAGTGCATCAGTGCACAGGAAGCAGATAAGCTATCAACAACAACAACTGGCATATATATAGCGCCACCCACACAGGGTAGCGTCCCTGAGCGCTTGACAGTGGTGGAGCACGACGCCGAGCTGAGGGAAGGGGAGAGGTAACCATAGGCACGGTTGAAGAAAAGGTCTTCAGGCACAATCTGAAGATGGGGAAGGAAGGGGGCAAGGCGGCGGGACAGAGGAAGAGTGTTCCAGAGTTTCGGGATGTAATGGCTGAAAGCGTGGTCACTGATGGTGAAACGGAGGGTACGAGGGACATGCAGAAGGCAGGGCAATGGGATTGCAAGTACAGTTTGTCTGAGAGCCGGTGTAGACTCGATGGGCTGAATTGCCTCTTTCTGTGCTGTAAATATGATATAGTGCCTTAGCAAGTCTTTGAGATGTCTCAAGGCATTTCACAGAATATACTGTAAGGTGACTGTATACTTTGGGGTTGAAACACGCAGCCAATTGCACACAGCAGTGTCCCACAAACATGAATTGTGTGACCACATTTTTTAATATATGTACGTATGTATTTGAAGACAAATGTTTATTAAAAGGAAGCTGGCATCTTATTAGGATTTCACTCGAATCATCTCAGCCCATTTCTACACAAAGGGAGAGACTCTATTACCTACTGCGGCAAAGTCCAACAGGTTAATAATAATAATCCTTGCATTTCATTTAGCGCCTTATCATGTCTTCCAGACGTCTCAATGCGCTTCACAAAATATATTGTAAAGTGAATTAACTGCATTTTTGTGGGCAAAACACAGCAGCCAATTAGACACAGTGTCTCACAAACAGTTGTGGATTGAGTGGCCAAATTATTATTTTTTAAAATGTTTTATTTATTTATTTTGAAGGAATTATTACCCCCGGAAAAGCGATCCGCGAGTCGATTAGCAATCGGGTTCCAATTTACTGCGAGGTAAACAGAGTCGTGTGGAGTAGGGAAATTTGCCTAACGTTTCATCCTGCCTGGGAAATAGAACCCAGATCCTCTCGTTAGCGAGGCGAGTGCTCTAACTAATACACTACGATGACTCCTACAGGAAGAAGTGTTCAGCTAATTCCTAATGTTTTACGGAGGCCGGCAATTCCAAACTGACCTTCTGACGACCTGAAAACGTCCCAAGCTTCACATCGGCATCAACGATCCCTTCCTCATCCAGCGTGATAACCTCATTGCTGGGATGGTCCTTCCACTTTGGGGAGGTGATGTCGTGGACGAGGTGGATTGCTGTTGATTTGTGCACAGTATTAGTGTTGGCCCAGTAGATACCGATTTGAAAAGGTTCCTGAAAAGAGAGGTGTTAAAACTAAAATTGGTTACATTTTCCCATTTTACAACAACCACAAATGACATTTGTAAAGCGCCTTTCATGTCGGGAGGACGTCCCAAGGCGCTGGACAGTCAGGGATCTGGACCCGAGCAGGGGTTTGGGATCAGGATGAGTGGTGAGGGTAGGGGTAGGAGGGTGGCCGATGGCACGGTCGAAAAGGAGCATCTTGAGTGAGGCGAAGGAGATGGAGTTCCAAAGGGAATTTACAGCAAATTCTTGAGTCACATTTCTTTTCTGGATTATGAACGTTTTAAAAAATGTAAGATTTCAAAACCTCTTTACTCCTTTTTAAAAAAAAACTCAAAACCTCTCCTCCGCCTTAATCTATAGGCTTCCAGGATGTAAGTTTAGTGTCACCCACCACGACAGTAGGTGCCCCTCTCTTACTCTTTCAAACCTCACAATTCAATTTGCATTAACATTTATACAGCGCCTTTCAAGTCGAGAGGACGTCCCACAGCACTGGGCATATGAGCTGGGGATGGGAGCGGAAGGATGAACAAAGGTGTGGTCATTTGGAGACAGATCCTAACCTTGTTCTGACCTGCACGGTGAGCTTTGGCCCTTCACCAAGGTTTCTCAATACAAGATATAAATGATCTTTGGAGATTACATTTTTTTGGTGTGTTGGCTTCTTAGGATCTTAAGTGAAGTGGGTCTGAGCGACCTCAAGCCAGTTCGCAAAGATCACAGATTCATACTGCAAAACTGCTCCCAGATCTGTCATTTAGCTTAAAACTAATTTCCAAACCCCCAAAAAGTGCATTTTTTAATACACACATATATCACATTGTCAAGTTTGCCTATTCAGGTGGAGACTAAAGATCCCATTACACATTTTCCCTTTGAAAAGAGAAGGGTAATGAAATCCAACAGTCGACAAAATGAAATTGGTCATTCACTTCATGGCTCTTTGTGCAACATTGATGTTTAGATTGGCTGCTGGGTTTGCCTACAAATTACACAGTCACTACATTTTATAGTAAATCAACAACAATTTGCATTTATATAGCGTCCTTCACGCAGGGTAGGGTTCCGGAGCGCTTGACAGTGGCGGAGTCTGACAACGAGCCAGGGGGCATGGAAGGTGGGAGGCGACCGTAAGCACAATCAAAAAGGAAGGTCTTTAGGCGGGAATTGAAGCCGGGGAGGGAGGGGGCCGGAGGAATTGAGGGAGAGAGTTCCAGAGTTTCGGGGCGTAATGGCTGAAAACACAGCCACCGATGGTGGAGCGGAGGGCACAAGCTTTGTATGTTTTTTGCAAAGAGCTCTGAGATGAAAGGGACTATATCAAATGGATTACGTTACTATTATTATGACATTTACCCGAAAGTTTGGTGGTACCACAACTTTCCCAGTAGGAACCTGCACAACTATCTTCTCTCCTTCGAAGAGCCAGAGGTCCCATTTGGACTTGTTGACGAGCAAAGCCCAAGGTAGCAGTTCGACCAGGAGTGTGTTCAGACAAGGTTTCCAGGCTGACAGCTTGACTTGCATGGGACTGTCCCATTGAGCAAGCTGCTCTCCACCACTCTTGCTGTGTATTTCAAGAGTACATTAAAAGAAACAGATTAGCTCTTTATGATCTTCCCTGGCAGTTATGTGATTGAACCAAGTATTTAAGCTGTCATGATTCCTCACATCAAAAGTGGCAGATCCTTCAAAATTGTTCTGGTTTTTACAGGCTGCCAGCGAATGTTTACATAGAGATTACCCAAATTTTTTGTGTTATTATACAATCGGCTCAGACCGATCTAAAATGACATTTATCTTATTAACTGCTGATTACCAAGTTGATCTAATGTTTGGATTCAGAACTTTACGAAGTAGTTTTGGGGGATTGAATGACTCTTAACAAAACCATGACTGAATTACAAAGAAAACATTCAATTTATAACCAAAGCATTGTAAGTGTATACGTTTTATCTCTAAAATAAATAATATTTGGGGGAATACAAATTAAACGGTAAGCTTTTGAAGAAGCGAGTCCATGCTGTTTAAATTCAGATTCCCCCCCCACCAAAGAATTATTTTTAATCCCCTGAAAATGCAAAGAATTCGATGAAAGACGGCACAAGACGCGATTTGAAACAATATTAGGCAAAATTGCTCCTATCTGGCAACAATTACTTGCTTGCTGATTAAAGGACAATCCAGTTTAACTTTAACCCAAAGTAACAGACATGGTAATGGTCTCTATTTAGCATCAAATGTGTTGTCCTGAATGGTCAGATACACAGTAAACAGAGAACAAAGTGGTTTATTTTCTTACCTGTCAGTTTGCTTTGTTATGTAGGGCCACGGTGTAGGTACATCAGCATCGCGATTGTAGATCTCGCGAAGCAACTTGTTGACAGCGCAATCACCTTGTGACCGGCCAACAATTTGTCTAATAAGAGCCGTCGAGATAGGGACGGCACATTGAGATGCTTCATCTTCCTCTCTACCAGCGATGATTTTTTTTGGAGGAATAGGAGGAAAATCCATTTATACTTCATTATTTTGTTACATGTAAGCATACTTACATACTTTGCTTCATTACAGAAAACCTTGGGATTGTAATTTCATTAAGGTTACTGATTGGAATTCAAATCTGTGGTATATTTTTAGACATTGCTATGTGCAAATTGGTTGCCGCATTCGCTTGCAAATACACAGTCACCACACTTTACAGTAACTCCCACAAACCGCTTTGAGACTTTTGACAACATGAAAATGCAACCCAATTTACACTTCTACAGCACCTTTCACGTCGGTTCAGAGCGCTTGACATAGCTGACTGGGTACTGGGGAGGGGAAAGACGGCTGAAAACATGGTCAAAGAGGTCTTGAGGTGGGCATTAAACAAGGGGAGGAAGTCATTGAGTTGGGAGGCATTTAGGGTCTCAGGGTTGGAGTTCCAGAGAGCGGGAGCAGAATGGCTGAAAGCCCGTCTGCCAATGGTGATGCGGAAAAGACAGGAGATATGAAGCAGGCCGGTGTTTGCTCAGCAGAGGGAGCAGCCAGGTTGGCGTCGTTATCAGAGGTCACGGAGGTAGGGTGGGACAATGCCGTGGAGGGACTTAAAGGTAATTTTGAGCTGCTGGAGGAAGGGGAGCTAAAGGAGCCAAGCGGGGATGAGGATGCTAAGTACCTGGCTTGAAATGTCAAGTGGTGCATAATTTCAGCTTCGACATTCAGAAGCGGCTTCTCTTGTCCTTGTCCAGCAATGAGCTGAGGGTCTTTCAATCCCAAACTGCGTTTCTCAACATGCAGAATAATGGGATCGGGGAGATGACTCCTCATGACAAAGAGGGGACTGAACACGAGCTGCAATCGAAACACACAATATTAAAAACAGGATGCGAAAATTAAATCAACTAGAATTAGAGAAGAGAATATGGCAAGTCCAGAAGGGATTTCAATTTGAGAATGAACCTTTTTTAAAACCAGTCTGGTTTGTATAAGCACAAAAGGAGCACTTTTTTTTNAAACAAGGAAATTCACAATGTACTCTGGGGAAATGGAACAAAACACTGCAGCCAAGCTATGTTTTACTTGGTGGAATTTTTGTTTTTGCCAATTTTTCAAGTTCCTCACACTCGTCTTCAAATCCCTTCATGCCTTGGCACCTCCTTCCCTCTCCGACCTGCTTACTCCCCAAACCACTACCGCTCGACTGGCTCCGGCCTCCTGCTTGTCCCTCATGGCCTCCGTTCCACCATCGGTGGCTACTATGTCCCGAAACTCTGGAACATTCTTCCTCTATCCCTCCGCCTTGCTCCTTTCTTCCTCAGCTTCAGGTCGTACCTGAAGACCTCCTTGTTGACCTTCCCCCCGCTCGGCGTTGTGCTCCACACTCTGGGACGCTCCCCTGCATGAGGGGCGCTATATAAATGCTAATTGTTGTTGTTGGATTTAAAGAAGCAAAAAGTGCACTCACCACCCTCTGCTCCACTGGAAAGTCTGCGTCCAGGCTAAGAAACGTGCACCACACGTGTAACATGGAACCATCTAAACACGGGACCTGTATCGATCGGTAAGTATGAGTCAATTGTTTTTAATGGAAAAATAATAGAGGCAAGATCCCAATGCAAGTTGTAGATTAAAATCACCAGGATTCTCAAAAGTATGGTTACACTGGACTCGTTTTCATTCGGAAGCTCCTTTGAGATCCAGCTTTCTGCATTTCACAAACTGCAGGATCTGAGCAACCAAAACCTTACACTTTCTCTTTATAAAGTATAATTCTCTTTACTCTTGCACGTCACATACAGTGGCCCCTTTTGTTTGCCTTTCCCTTTTAAAGGAATGTTTTCGATTCTACTCCCCAGTTCTTTCTAATGCCAGAATGTGCCAGACTCGCTCAGTTAGTAGCACTCTCGCCCCTGAGACAGAAGGTTGTCAGTTCAAGCCCCATGTTGAGAGCTGACTCGTTATGCAGTGGTGGGGGTGCACTACATTGTCAGAGGTACCGCCCTTTGGATAAAATGTTAAACCGAGGTCCCGTTTGCCTGTTCAGGTGGATGTTAAAGATCATAATGCACGATTCGCTAAGAGAAGAAAGTTTCTCCCGGTGCCTGGCCAACAATCCCCCAAATAAAATTGGTCATTCACATGACTGTTTGTGCACAAACTAACTGCCCCTCCCTTGCCTCCTTCAATGCCCTTTCCCTTTGATCGCACCTTTGGTTATTTTCCCACCACCAGCCCTCTTGCCCTCCACTCCTCGATTCCAACCCGCAGCTCAGATGTAAACTCTTGACTGTCCAGCACCTTGAGATGACCCAATATGAAAAGTGCTATATACATGCAACTTGTTGTCGTTGTTGAATACCTGGACAACTCTGCTGTCTTCAGAATGAGGAGGCTCCAAGCACACGTCGCTTGACCAGCCAACATCGCTGCCTTTGACCCTAAGGGACAGCTCGGTCAGTTCGCTGCTTTCAAGAACAAATGATGGCATCTTTTGTTTCGATGGTAGGCAGCCAAAATGTTCCTTGATCAGCGCCTGGCCATCCTGCCCAATGTAGCGCTGCACAACCTTCAGATCGATGTCCTGATTCAAATAGCTGCAGATGACTTGTCTGCCACTGATTATTATCTGAAAGAAAATCAGGCAAAATGGGTGATCTGTTGCCCAGGTCAACCGAAACATGGAGAATCACCATTTTGTTTATTTTTTGGTCACTCGGATGTCTGACACGTGCAGGAACCCATCACCGTGCTTAAGAGTATCCAAACCAAACTGAGATTTCCAATGCATCCGACCAACACATGGAAACCCCAGAGACAGATTGTTGGAATGGAATGTGCATTCTCTCCCTGGAGGGACACATCCCGCTTACCTAATTCTGGAAAATATTAGGCGAAGATTGGCCAAGGCTTCGGGACCCCAGTGTGTTGGTTGAAGTAACTGCTGGAATCTAACCAGCTAAACTGCATAGCTTACCTTGGTATTGCTGTCTGGCAAGCTTACCTGTGATTGTCTAGCTAGGACTTCCGTACCTTTTAGGGCTTTGGCTTGCAGGGTTAACAGGAGCTGATTGGGATGACTTCCTGCCCCCAGTGACTGGTCAGAATCACCAGCAAAAGGCTATACCTTCCTTGGGGATAATACTATGTGTAACAGCCCTGTGACTCGCTTCTCTTCGACCGTGCCTTTGGTCATCCTCCCACCTCTCTGCCTTCCCTGACTCCTACACCACCCCTCCCCCATGCTCAGACCCCGACACCTGACTGTCCACCGCTTTGTGACATCCTCCCGATGTGAAAGGCGCTCTATAAATGTAATTTTGTTGTTGTTGTTGTTCCTCACTCCCCATGTTCAAAGCCCATCTCAAGTTGCACCTGTTTTACTGAGCTTTGGGTCACCAATCCCCTCCCTGCCCTCTGTGTGACCAACTTCCAAGTATTTCAAGCACTTGAAGTGTGTGAAGCGAGAGGACCCAGGTTCGATTCCCAGGCAGGGAGAAACCTTAGGCAAGTTTCCTTACTCCACACAGCTCTGTTTACCTAGTAGTGAGTAGGAACCCGGTTGTTAGTTGATTGGTGGATCCCTTTTCCAGGGGTAATAATTAATTCCTTCAAAAAATATATAAATAAATAATAATTTAGTCACTTCAATCTACGATTGTTTGTGGGACATTGCTGTGTGCAAATGGCTGCGCGCAGCAATGCCCCACAAAATACAGTCAATCCACTTCATTGTATATTCTGTGAAGCGCTTTGAGACGTCTCGGAGACGTGATAAGGTACTATATCGAATGCAAGGATTATTATTAATGTTGTTGTAACATTGGCGGGCAGAAGTCAGCTGCCACATTTGCCTATATAAAAATAATTCACGTCACTTCCATTTAATCTCATCTTGTGAAGCACTTTGAGGCTTTACTTTTATGTGAAATGCGTTAAATAAATGTAATCTGTTTTACTAACAACCACCAATTATGCTTTCCCGTGCAGTGCAAGGCTGGTCTGCATAAAGTATGTCCGTTTTCAAACCGTCAGCACTGATGGCGAATGTACAATATTAACCTACTGAGTTGGAATCAAAGAGGTTGGAACTGCAAATGCGGTAACTAATGCCTTAATGTTAATGGGGTGTTGCGGCTTGATATTCTGTGCTGTAAGCAAAAATACCTTTCAATCGTTGCAGCTTACTTTACATTTCATAAAGAAAAGCTTGAGACTTTTTTGTGCGTTTCTTCCATCTGAAAATATTCAGGGCTCACGTTTTTATAGACTGCTCTTCCCAAAAGCACAATAAAATGGAAAACATATTTTATGAAACCACAACCTCTTAACATTTCGGTTTCTGTACTGAAGCGGAGGGGGTGGCGGGAGTTGATAAACTTTTGAAAAAAAAGATTGTGTCTTCCCAGGCAACCACATGAAAGGAACTCACTTGTTTTTGCACGCCATTAAATTGCTGCACTTTGATGATCAGTGATGCTGTTCTTCCCTTGTACTGGATACTTCTGACAAATGTGCCTATGTTGTCCACGCTGAATGGCTCGGACCAGCGCCAGTTTCCCCAGCCTTCGATACAGATGTGCAGCAGCTGTGCAGAACAATAGCATGTTTGTGTTTACAAGTGGTTCGAGATGAAACAGTGCAAACCGCAACATTCTGTGACAATTACAATTCGGTCTAAAATTAATCGCTCAAAAGCTATTTATAGACAGGAGAATATGAAACAATTTGCCTGGAGCAAGCAACATTTTTTTCCGGAGAAGAAACTAACAGCTGGCCACGTGCAGAGTATGACACTTTGCGAGAGCATTGATGTTACTTGGGCCTCAACTGTGCATAATGGAAGCACAACAAATAATACTAATAATAATCCTTGCCTCTGATATAGTGCCTTAGCACATCTTCGAATCGTCTCAAAGCGCTGCTAATATACTGTAAAGTGAATTGACTGTATACTTGTGGGTGAAACGCAGCAGGCAGCCAGATGCCCAAAGAGGTGTCCCACAATCAGGTGTGGATTGAGGGTTTGAGAGATCCGTGGATGACCTTAGATGACTCTTGTTAGCTAAGCAATGGGGATGGGCAGAGGAATGGCGTACAAGGAGGTCAGAGTGAGGGAGATGGCGGATTTGTACGTGTGGGCGAGGATCTTGCAGTCAATCCTTTTGGAGATGGGGGGCCAGTGGAACCTGGCAAGGATTGGAGTGATGGGTGTGCGGAGTTTAGTGAAGTTGTGGGCAGCAAAGTTTTGTATGAGTTGGACCTTTTAGATGCTGGCACTGGGGAGACCAGTGAGCAGCATGTTTGGGTAGCTGGTAAAACAGGTAAAGCTGCACAAGCACAGAAATACAAAGCAAATACATATATTTCGCTAGATATCATCGGCCATTTTTATGAATCAATCTCACCAACGGCAGGCTTCACTTAAACAAACCGCTCTAGGGAACGCTTGCTCGGGCACACAGTTCTCCCATACACTGTCTGGTATGCAATTAGTTTTGTTTAATTTATAAATATTAGTTAAAGTCAAAGAAAAACAGCCACAGCAGTTGGATCCAATTCAACTAGTTACAGAATCAGAGAGGAGGATAAATAGATGACCTGAATATTTATATTGGATAAACTAGTAGTCGGTGGTGGTGGGAATATGGGTGGGGGAGGAAATGACATTTGAGTAATGAGATCCCTTTAGAGCAAAAGGACACTTATCAATTTACTTTGGTCAAATGTTTCGCTGCTAAAATAGTGTGGTTTGGTGGTGTGTGGTTGAATGCATAGTGCTTTAATGCAACGAGGAGTTGTAAAATAGATTTATTCGATTTGCAGAGATTCTTCAGAGAATAAAGAAATCTCTCGCTGAAGCTTTCACCTAGCACTATAGTTTTATGTTTGGACGCTGAGAACAAATGAATATCGAATTTATGATTTAATCCGAGATACTTTTTTGCAATCTGCACTTTGCCCTTGACTTCTGGAAGTTTCTTCCGAAACTACTGTGTTTCATGTCCTTTCTCTCCACTTTTATAATTCTCATTTAAAAAAATTCACTATCCCTGCCACCGTGCCTTCTGCAAACTCAAAATTCCTCCCACTTTTTGTCAGGTGTCCATCGGTCCCAATGCTCCGAGATACTATCCTACGTGAATGACGCTATAAGGGTGAATCAAAAGTCCTAACTTATATAGGGTCCATACGAGGTGTTCAAAGGGCAAGCCATGTAGACATTTACACAGATCAACTCGGTAACAAAAACTTTCACTAATGATGAAAGGCATCTTCCTGTAATAGTTGCACATTCTCTTCAAATGTTGTAATTGGAGTTGAGTTACAGATCAGCCATAATCTAATAGAATGGCAGAACAGGCTTCAAGGGCTGAATGGCCTACTCCCGTTCCTATGTTCCTATGTTATCTTAAATAAAAACATAATGAAATATTAAAAACTCTATGAGTAAGAGCTTCTGATTCACCCTGTATAAATGCAAATTGTTGCTAAGCACTGTTTGGTGTAAATGGTAAAATAAATGCAAGTTGGGTATGACAATGAGAAATGTACTGGAAGAAATTTGCCTCAAAGTCTTATACTCTGAGGTGTGTGTGATCATTCATCAGAAGTGGAACTGGTCTCGGGAAGCTTATGCAAGTAAAACCAGAACAAGGATGTTAAAGACAACAGGTAGATTTTAAAGTATGAACCATTAAATCATACCAAAGAAGCAGCTAGTGTGCTCTGAACACATTGCAACATACTGGAATTTAGTCTTTAGGGTTGTACATGGTGTAAAGGCAATGCAGACATCAGCACAACAAAGAAATACATAAGACCTCGGAAGAGTGAGCACACAGAAAGCATGTTAAATCTGGTATAACTCTGTGGTAACAATAACTGGAGCATGAGCAACAAAGCAACAGGGAGTCCTGGAGCGTATTGGTTAGAGCACTCGCCTCGTGCAATTCACTTTACAGTATATTCTGTGAAGTCCTTTGAGACGCCTTGAAGACGTGGTAAAGAGTTATATCAAAAGCAAGGATTATTATTGTTATTATTATAATACGAAACATCAAGGTAAAGAGGGTAGATATTAAACTCAATATGCAAGAGGAAATTGAGATCCTGCTCCTAAAGTTTCACTGAAGAGAGGGAGAGGAAACAAGATTAATAATAGAAATCTTTGCATTTGGTACAGTGCCCTTTACGTCAGGAGGACATGTCGCAGCACTTCACAGGACTTCCAGCAATAACCTGCATTTATATAGCGTCCTTCACGCAGGTAGGATCTTGGGTAACTCCTGATCACGTCTTTGAGACGTCACAAAGCACTTCACAGAATATACTGTAAAGTGAACGGACTGTGGGCAAAACGCGGCAGCCAATTGCGAGAAGCAGTGTCCCACAAATAGTCGTGGATTGAGTGACCAAATTATTATTATTATTACCCCTGGAAAAGCAATCTGCCAATCAACTAACAACCAAGTTCCTGCTTACTGCTCGGTGAACAGAGGCGTGTGGAGTAAGGAAATTCAGGTCCTCTCACTTGCAAAGCGAGTGCTCTAATTCATAGGATTCCACATTGCAAGGATAACTATTATAAAAGGATTTATCTTTTTTGTTGTGTGCATGTACTGGGCAGTCGTAATGTTTTTTGCTCTTACAGTGTAATATCACTGTATGGTATAGCTTAATATCATTGTGTGCTCTGAGTAAAACATATTCTTTGTCAGTGCCCAAATAGCTTGGCCTTATGATCTCCCATTTCATTACCTCATAGTGGAGTCCAGTGTTCAACCGAATGCTGGGAATAAAAGCAGGTTGCACAAAACCAGACGCATTTCTTTTCATGAAGGGCTACACAGTTAAGATGGAACAAGTCGAGTGCATTCTGGAGAACATTCCTGGCCTGTTTTTTTTTTGGTCTTGTACAACCCGTCTGTAATTTTGATAAATATCCACCTCCTGTTCACTGAAACATTTACTGGACCTGCCCCCACACTTGGCAGCTTATGGAAAATGCTGGTCTGAATGCTCAATGGTAGAAACACAGCTAGATCAATCACGTTTTATTATGGAAACAATTCTCCACTGGTAGGAATTTACTCGGGAGACAATCTTTACTGATTGCACTCCTAATACCATGCGATTTCTCTGCAGGGAATCTTTAAACTGAAATGAATCATTAAGGAGAGAGGGATGGATATGTGACGGGGACGTGGGATTGAATTTAAAATATCTTCTTTCACGGAAAACTAGAACTAGCCATCTCCGCTTCAAGTGGTCGCAGAACGGTAGATTGTCCTGAGACACTGCAGAGCCAAATTACCCCCCTCGTTAAACATGTTATGACTCCATAGTAAAATCCTTTGAGAAGCGCATTGAGATATCCTCCCAATGTGAAAGACATACCAAATGCAAGGATTATTATTATTATAGCATGAATGGACCTACATCAAATGAAAGGATATCATTAAGAGGCAAAGAAGTCTAAATATGTAGCACTTTCTAACAGGATTTCTCACTAATAATAATAATCTTTGGATTTGATATAGCACCTAATCACGTCGTTGAGACATCTGAAATCACTTCACAGAATATAATGTAAAGTGAATTGTTCGTATATTAGTGGACCAAACAGTTGTGGATTCAGTGATCGATTTATTATTATTTCTTTTTGAAGGCACTATTACCCCCAGAAAGCGATCCACCAATCGACTAACAACTGGGTTCCTACTTACTATTAGGTAAACAAAGGCGGTGTGGAGTAAGGAAATTGTCTCATGTTTCGCCCTGTCCTGGGATTCGAACTCGGATCCTCTCATTTGCGAGACGAGTGCTCTAACCAATATGCAACAAGACTCCACAAGGGTAGATTCCTTCTAGAAACTGGACATACTGACTCATGGGGACCCTATTTAGGGATCACGTGGTGCGGATTTCGCCCAGTATCTGTATTACAAACTCCTGTTGGAAATGCAACAGCTGCTTATTAGACCTCCACATTTTTACTGTTGCGTTCTGTTCACCTGCTTCACTGTGCACGTCTGAGCTTGGGCAAATTTACCATTTGACTGATTTGACTCACATTTAATTAAACTGCAAGCCATTTTGTCAAGCATTTTTTAAACGATTTATCAGTCTCGAGTCGAACAAGCAGGAATTATTTTTAAAAGGACGCAGAGTTTCGTCAGAGTTTATAAGTTAAAGGTTCGCTATAAAACCGGGAGATGAGAACACGGCTTTGAACGTATATTTTGTGGGGGGGGCAATTTATCTTGAACAAAACACACACTCTGGAAGTTATGCAGTTTATTTCAGTGGTCTGTATTAAATTTCGCTGCCTTTAGTCATTTACAAATGTCGCTGGCATCTGCTTCTGTGCGCTTGGAAGGATAGCTTCACGCTGCGATTTCCAAGCATTGCTCTTTCTGTAATGTATCACCTTCCATTCATTCGCATGTTGGAAGAAGTCCGAATGAAAGGCAAAGCGCGGCAGCAGGCTGGGGAGTTCCGCGGAGGCTGATCTCCAAGGGGGAGAAAAAATGATCCTGAGCTAAGAGGAACTAGAGGGACAAGAGTTAGCACAGGAAAATAGGAAGCAATTCTCGTGACTAATTGCCCATTAGCAAGGTGAGGTCAGTCACTGGGAAGATTATACCAGCCTAAGTAATATTTCACATCATAATGTGTTTCTATCAGGGGTTTTCTTTAGTTTTTTTAAAAAAAGGTTAAAATAATAATTATTCATTGTGAAGACAACCTGGGGCTGTTGGTATTGCAATGTTAAGCTCTCAGTGTGGATTGCATTTGAACAAAACTTTTCTGTTTGGCCATAAATGATCCGACTCGGGAAGAATTAGGGTATTTTAACCTTTCGCCCAGAATCGGAAAGATGAGGGCAGTTTTGCCGCATGCGGCTCTGACCTCTGAACTCCAATTATTATCCCTCACCGGGCCGCAAAAGCAACAGGCTACCGGTTCTCTCAAAAAGAATGCATCCTTAACCCAGAGCTGGGATTGAATGTTCAGTGGCTCATTGCCAGAATCTGGAAGGGCAGACCAGTCACTGGGGACAGGGAGTCATCCCACTCACCTCCTGTTAACTCTGCAAGCCAAAGCCGTAACGGGTGCTCCTAGCTGGACAGGCAATGGGAAAGCTTGCCAAAGCAATATCAACGTCAAGCAATGTGGTTCAAGCTCCAGAAGTTACCCCAACATACACTCTGGTTTCCCCAACCCTTGGCTCTTGCCAACCTGCTCCTAATATTTTCCGGAATTAGGTAAGCAGGATGTGTCCCTCCAGGGAGAAAGTGCGCAATCCAATCCAACAATCTATCTCTGGGGTTTCCATGTGTAGGTGGGATGCATGGAATTCTCAGTTTGGTTTGGATACTCTTAAGCATGGTGATGGGTTTCCGCGTGTATCAGACACCCGGCTGAGCAAAAAAAAATATTAGAGGGAAGGATTTGAAAAAGTGCCCAGGTGCAACTCTGCTTAGATAACTGCAAAAAATGTTCTTCCTTTTTTTGGAAGAGAGTCTGAAAAATCAATGTAATTAAACACAAACCAATTAGATCACCAATCTGGAATGCTGAACGTCCCCAGTGAATGCGCACAAGCCGCTTAACATCGCTCCATTAGTGTAAAAGAAAAGGCTCTGTATTCACCATGCAATGGGCACAAGACATTACGCTTGCTGCCAGAGTTTCAGACAATTTATTATATCCTTAAACATTTTTACAGGAAAAATTCCAACCTACAATATTCTAAATCAGCCCCATCTATTTTACAGTTTGCAGCGATTAAGGAAACTGGAGGGTAGCAAGGCTTAATGTGAAACCAGAGTCCCCACTGCACACTGCAGGATTTGCTTACACACAAGGGTGGTAAGCGTGGAAAGTAGCTGACAGCTTGGCTGATATGGTGTCTGACCCTCACCAACACCCCCGTAAACGGTTTAACGGAGTTAAGCCCTTGCGTTCAGCGAGGGGTCATATAGAACGGATCGTTTTTTTTTGGTGGAGCAATAGTCCGTAATTGCGTAATGCCTGCATAACAAGAAACATGAGCTACGCCGAATAACTTCATTTTCTTTCCCACTATAAGTATGTGGTATCTGAGACCTTTGTCCTAACTCATTTTATTCCCTAGTGGAAGTCAAGTATGAACTAATGCCTTCAGGGCAGTTACTGATTCCAAAGGTACAGATTATTTCACATTTATCTTCAGATCTGGTTTAAATGTTCTGAAACTTCAGTAACTTGGCAGGTTCGGAATTATCAAGAGGAATGAAATAATTTCATAGCAATGAAGTCATCCAACATTCCTCTAATCTAACACTCCAAGGGCTTGTCCACACTCGAAGCTTCAATTCCATCTTTCATCCTCCGTGATCTATTAAACACTTTATTTAACATGGAAACAATTATGTCCAAATGCCATGTTTAACCATAACAAAATATTCAAAATCATCTCTTGTTGACTAACATTTTTGTGGCATATTATTTTTGCACATGGTACCTATTATGTCATTCTAGGTTTTCATATTAGTGGATGAAATGTGAATGTGAATTTTTTAACGCAGCTCGTGGCAGACTTCTTAAATGCATAAAAGCTGCCGTTCTAACGCCAAAGAATAAACTTTCCATCTTTAATCTGGATTTAGTGCTCTGTGAATCGAGTTAACGTTCCGCAGCTCTGCTTACACTTCCTTGTTAGAAACCTCCTGTGCATTTGCCATACTGTTTCTGCTGAAACTCTCCAAACAACCTACCATTCATTATATGCATATGACCCTAATGAAACTTTTCCAGCTACAATTTGTCCCTTAGGCACTCAATGTGGAGTCTGTTATTTTTTTTTGTTGGTCGGGGGAGGGGGAAGAGGTGAAATTGTATTTTCAAAGGTAATTTTCTGCTAAATTTCCTCACTTCTTAGTCTACATTGGGACTATGAACTCATACAGTCTAGGCTGATACTTCAATGCAGTGCTGGGGACGTGCTGCATTGTTGGAGGTGCCATCCTTTGGATAAGCATTAAAACGAGGTTGTGTCTATTCAAAACGTGTATTGAGTTTTTTCCCGGTCTACTGGCCAACAATTCCCAAAACAAAATTGATCATTCACTTCATGGCTGAAATCTCTCATGGTCTCAGCCTTAAGATGGTGCAGAATTTTGGAAATTTCTTAAACAGTCTTAATTTGGAAATTGATTTCCTGTAGGTCATTAACAGCTGAATATAACAATGTTAAAACATTTTGTATATTATATTTTAAAAAAAGGCAAAGTACTGCACATGCTGGAAATCTTGCAGGCAAGCAAAGATTGATAAAATGCACATGTTCATTTGTACACAAGAGGTATTAGAACCGGAGGTTACCAATAAGTTAGTAAATTTGCTGTAATAGCACACGTGAAAGCCGCTATAAATGCAAGTTGTTGTTCAGGTTAAAAAACATTAAGCAGTGAATCATGTCTGTAAGTTTAAGTTATTAGGGGTCCGGATGTCGAAAACACAGGCATTCTGCACCAGTTGTTTATGTCACAACTCTGTACCTACAATGCTGGCACATCTGGGCACTGATGGATGTAGTAGCAAGTTCCTTGGGCGGTTATTATTATAATAATCCTTGCATTTGTTATAGCTCCTTATCATGTCATCAAGACACAGGCTGGGCAAACCTGTTCAAATGCACATGCACAAAGGGAATAATAGGTGCCCTGGATTAAGTAATTAACCATTATTAATTATGGAATTAACAACTAATCATTTTCATTGGATTGTTAATGAAATAATTAAGGCCGCCTAGAATTTCCTCTGGACACAAACATTCACATACTCGTCCCCAAAGACATGAATGAAATTCAAGCGTTGGCCTGGGGATCTTGTCTGCATTGCCCATGTCATGGTACCTCCTAGAGGTCCTCTTTAATCCCTTGAGGACTGGGGTCTTGCATTGTGAAGAGCAACGCTCTATTCTGCATTATACCCAAGAATAAAAGAACATATCTGAATATAATTGTGTGCAAAAGTGCTCACCAATTCTACCTAAATTTATTTGAAAAATAAATGGTAAAAAACAATTGGCTGCCAGATTTGTCAACAAAATACATTCACTGCACCTCACAGTATATCCTGTGAAGCATTTTATGACCTTTTCTTGACATGAAAGGCGTTATATCAAATGTAAGGATTATTATTATTATTATATCTGATGGATGGGTCCTCAAAGGCTTGATCCCTTCTCCAGATGTTGAATTCCCGTTTAAGATAGAAACATCATCTTGTTTAGCAGTTTGAATCAAACTAAAGTAAGATATTCAGCCTTTAAACAGCGCTGGACACAGCGGTAATGATATAGGGCAACCATTTACGCACTTTCCGCTTCGCAAAAAAAACTCAAGCAAACAAAGAAAATAATGAAATTCAATTAATATTGCCTCAAAGGGCACCTACTGCTGTTATAACTGTTATTACGTGTATTTCACCTCGAAACCCTGCCAAATAATAATTCAGTGAACTGGGTTGTGTGTTACCTGTGGGGACTTGTGTGAACGCCAGCTGTACTGATGGCTATGCTGTGTAGCCAACAAAATATTTTCATCGGTATCCACCTGGCCAAACCGCAGTGTCTCCTGAGTGTCATTACAGATCACAAAGTGGCTGAAGACCAATTCCTCTGCCTCCGGATTTCGGTTCTGGAACAGAAAACATCAGCGTGTATTTAATCAGCCGTGAGATGTTCAGCTGCTGTCCGCCCAGCGGTAAACACAACGGCAAGGAAACATGAAGAAAGCACTGGTTCATATTTCAGGATGATTGACAAAGGACAGTTTCCATCAACAGGAGTATTTAAGACTCTGTACTGTGCCTGAAACAGTTGCGAGAAATTGTAACCCAATCTGACCGGGATAACGCATGGCTCTTCCATCCACTCATTTAGGACTTATAGTTGCCAACAGTCTTGGTACTTAATGAGTTCAAAGCAAACAAGTCCAATACTGAAGCTCAGCTTTCTACTTCAAAATATTTTGAAGTGTTTCATATCGCACACTTCTCAGTAAACGTGCTGCAGTTATGGGCCAATTATTTGAGTGTGAATATCAACACATAACAAAGAACTCAGGGAGTCCTGTATCTTAGTTGTTAGAGCACTCGTTTCATAAGAGAGAGGACCTGGGTTCAATTCTCGGGCAGGGCAAAACTTCGGGGAAGTGTCCTTACCCCACACGCCTCTATTTACCTAGCAGTAAGTAGGAACCCGGTTGTTAGTCGATTGGCGGATTGCTTTTCCGGGGGTAATAATCACTTCCAAAAAATAAATAAATAAAAAATAATAATTTGGTTACACAATCCACGAATGTATGTGGGGCACTGCTGTCCACAATTGGATGCGACGTTTCGCCCTCAAAATATACAGTCAATTCACTTTATAGTATACTCGATGAAGCGCTTTGAGATGTCTCAAAGACGTGATAAGTTGTTAAATGCAGGGATTATTATTAATATTATAGTAGCTCCCGTTAACTAAAAGCTGAATAAAACTATGAAACAGCATTGGGACTGTACATTATCTATAATATATATGAAATAACACATACCCCTGAGCGATTTTAAGGCAGTAATCTAATCCAGCGGTTCAAATGACAAGTTATAAACCACATGAACTTTCATGGTTGAGAACAGTCATCTGAACTCTGAGGTTAGGTTACTGCCTTGTAATCTTTCCCAGTTATCCATTATTCTTTATATCACGTGAAAAGCTAAGCATTCACACACAATGCTGGGATATAACCATCAGGGAATGATCCAAGCTGAACATTATATTACAGAAGAGGTTATTCACAGTACAAAACAGCAGCCCACAGATCCACATGGCCTGAGCTTTATAATTATTGTCTTAATACTGTATTTAGGATTGTGTTGAAATGTAGAAAACTCTTCAGCTCAGCCATTATTTCGAAGCCAGTTTCTTGCATTGCCCATAAAATAAATAAAGGAAAACCAGCTTGTAAATTAAGACTAAATCTAAGAATTTTCCCAAATCCTGCACAATCTTATACATAGATATTGTCTGGGCTGATACTCCAGTGCAGTGATGGGGGTGTGCTGCATTGTCGAAAATACCTTACTTCAAAGGAGATGTTAAGCCAAGGTTTTGTCTACCTGTTCAGGTGGATGTTGACGATCAAGTGATTGCATGAACCAATCTGAATTTAATAATAATAATAATCCTTGCATTTGATATTTTTTGAAGTGATTATTATCGCCAGAAAAACGATCCGCCAATCGACTAACAACCGGGTTCCTACTTACTGCTCGGTAAACACAGGCGTGTGGAGTAAGGAAACTTGCCAAACTGTTCGTGCTGCCCAGGAATCAAACCCAGGTCTACTATGCTACAGGACTCCACATTAAACCTTTCAGAATTTTTTTCAAAGAGTATTATACTGAGTTACATACTGGTTGAACTGCATTTTTATCTGATACGGGATTAGACATTGGCACAATTAATCTCTCAGCACAGTTGTATACGCTGAGTGTTTTGTTAGATATATGTTACACAGGGTTAAATTAACCGGGTTATAATGAGTAATAGAAATAAGAATAGAGAATACAGAAAGCTGATGTATTAGTGCCCCATTCCATATCAAATAACTAAACATTCACTACACTTCATAGTATATCCCTTAAAAAACTTTGAAACGTCCTGACGAAGTGATAAGGCGCTATATATGAAATGTAAGGATTATTATTATAACAAATATAGATCAACAGAAAGAGAGAGAGACTATCTCAGTGAAAGGAGTGCATTTTATGTCCAGGATACTTAATTTATAGAAATATAAAAATTACAAGCATAGAAAGAGAGCATTAGACACATCCACCTAAACTGGTGGTCACTCATCCACTGGAGCTAACTGCTCTGATTCTAATTCCCAGCTCATTTCCAGTGTTCCTTGCTTAAATGCTAAGTACAGGCACAATCACACTAAATTTTACAGGAAAACTGCATCAGTCAGCAGCATAGGAGAACAGAGCACTTATTAAATAGAGTTCTGTAACACATATGCGTTATATTCCTGCAGCCTATTAACATACCATGGTGATCTGAGACATCTCGAGTGTTTTGAGACCAATGTGAAAGTTGCTATCGATCTAAATGTAACCCGTACTGTATTGGGAATCAGTTGTAACACCTTGAAGGAAAAATTCCTTCGAAAAAAATGATAAATCGGTCACTTCAATCCACGACTGTTTGTGGGACGCTGCTGTGTGCAATTGGCTGCCGCGTTTCGCCCACAAAATACAGTCAACTCAATTTACGCTTTATTCTCTGAAGCTCTTTGAGAAGTCTCGAAGATAAGGCGCTATCAGATGCAAGGATTATTATTATTATTGTAACATGTTATATCACAAAACAGAAAGTGCATAGACAAACGCGCTGATGTTTGCAAATACAAAACAGGCAGTCGTCATTTATTTGGTTCGCTTGCTCCGACGTACCTGCTTCCAAGCGTGAACTGCCGTGTCCAGCGAATGAATCGCATGCTGTCCGACGTTGATGAAAACGGGATCCACAAACAGGTTTCCGTCGATCAAGCGTTCGATGGAGCTGTTGCTCAGGGCCACTTGCCCGCGGAGGGTGAAGGGTTTCACGATGCTCAGCATGGTTAGATTGCGGTACTCCAGCAGTTTACAGTCAGCAACCAAAGAGAACTGGAGTTCCTGGCAGACTGGGCCATCAGACCACTGCCGCACATAGAAACATGGGTTCTTCAGACACACGGCCATGTATTCCTGCTCCACAGGCACCTTTCTATCAGGGATGAATGGCTGGAGACGTCTGGGCTGCACTGTGATACAAAATAAATTAGATTTTCAAAATAACATCATGCTCTTGATTTGTGTAGGGGTCTTTTTTTTGCTTGGGAAGGTCAACTTAGCATTAATGTTGTTTAATAGTGAACAGACCTGTTCAGATGGAAAAGGAAGGAATTAAGCTATTTACAATTTACCTTCAATATGCTGCTGCCGATGTCACCGGCAATACTATTTACCACACACTGAGTTCCACTTACTTCAAAGTAAAAGATTTGATTTAAGATTGCGTTTGCAGGGAAGCTTGACTGCCGGAATCACTTGCAGACAGTACAAGCCCGCTTTGGTAAAAATAAAGCGTACATTCATGTGTAAAATCTGTATATTTCCATTTTTTGTTCAAACTGAATGAGGAGTAGTTAAATTAGGGACAGCTTTGAAAGCCCAAGCCTGAAATATTATGGACTCTTGCTTGCCTTGGTTGAGTGTTCTTAACCAATTCTGCTGCAGTTAGCTCAATGCACACCCTGGGGTGCCCGAGCCTTGACAACTTGCACCTTATACTCTCCAGAATTGGGTGAATATTGTGCGTCCCTCCCTCTTGGGAGAGAGTACACCTTCTATGCACAGGGGAAATGTCCATGTGTCGGTGGCATACATGGAACACTCAGTCTGGTTTGGATACCCTTAAGCAATGTGATTGATTGTATGTGCCAGATACCCAGCTGACCAAAACAAAAAATTATCTGATTTATATTATTCAACAAAAAGAAAGATAAATAAATAACATTGTACCATTGTGCAATTGAAATCTTCCCAACAATTGGATTCTGTGCAATTCACCTTTTTTGTTTTTGATTGTCAGCATAATGCAAAGACAAAAGTATTTTCTTAAACAAAAACACAGCTTGTTGTTGTTCTATCTTCGCGAGATTAATTTGGATGAAGCATGCCCTTCGGTCCATCTGATCTCATCCATCCGAGAATAGCCACCCTACTCTGCGCTATCACAGCATCAAGCTGATTTTTAAATGAGTTCCAGTGACCCGGCCTTAACCAACCTTCCTGACAATCAGCTACAGTCGTTAATAACCCTCAGGGCAAAGAAATACATAAAAACGTAAGAAATACTAGATGAAAAAAGTCCATCTAGTTCGCCTTCCATCTTTCTAGCAGTCACATGCACACATGTCCCAAATTACCTATGTTCTATATCCCAAAATGTCTTGGCTTGTGTCTTGAAATTGCCCTTTGCAATTCTAAACCTAAGATCCTCTTTGTACTGTGTTGGTGCAACCTAAAATATTTTTCTGGATTTACTTTTTCGATCACATTTCCAATTTTATACACCTCTCTCAGGTACCCTCTCAGTCATTGTCTCTTAAGATTGAAGAGTCCAAACTTGTCCATCTTACATAAGCCACTTTCCCCAACACCTCACTTCAAATAAAATAATAATGGCAGCTCAAAACAGGAGAAAACCTCTCAACAAGCCATAAACGCCACCGCAGCAATTTACCTGTGCCCAGTTGGTCCAAGTGATGGCAGAGATGAAGTTCGATCTGGGCAAACTGCACTGACAGACCCAGAGAAGGCACAAACCAAGGGGCAAAACATGAATCAATCCTGGTGCAGGCTGCCAATGCCATTGGAGATACGAGCTGGTCACAGATACTTTGGGAGCCAGACTCACCATCACAGCTAGAGGAAACACAAAGCAATTGTCTCAATATATTTGTGTAACATGCATTGTACAAAATACATTTGTATAGTAATAATCTTTGCATTTAATATATCCAGCACCTTATCACATTCATCAAGTCAGCTCAAAGCTCTTCACAAGAAATATTGTAAACTGATGTGACTGTTTATTTTGTGGGCGAAAATTGCAGCTACTTTGCACACAGCAATTCTCACAAGCACCCATCAACAATAACAACAACAAAATTACATTTATAGAGCAACTTTCACGTCGGGAGGACGTCCCAAAGCGCTGAACAATCAGGTGTCAGGACCCGAGCATGGGGGAAGTGTGGGAGAGGGGTGAGGGAAGTCAGAGAGATGGGAGGGAGATCAAAGGCACGATCAAAGAGAAGGGTCTTGAGACTGGCCTTGAAGGAGGCAAGGGAGTAAGCGAGGCGAAGGGACCGTGGGATGGAGTTCCAGAGTGTGGGGGCAGAGAGGCTGAAAGCCCGACCACCGATGGTAGGTGGGTCGGGCAGGAGACATGGAGCAGACCGGAGCCCGCTGAACGGAAGGAGCGGGCAGGTTGTTAGGGAGTCAGCAGGTCAGAGAGGGCAAGGCCATGGATGGCCTTGAAAGTGAGGACGAGGATCTTGAACTCTAGACATTTGAACCATGGAGTGATTGCCCAATATATTGCCCTTAAAATAAGGATAACATCTAGCAATGTTGTGCAGTGGCAGAGAGTGAGTGAGCGAGCGAGCGAACTTGCTTATCCCATTTGAAACATCTCAAAGAAATTTATATCAATTATTGTCAATTGTAGTGAAAGTTTTTGTGGTGAAATGTGGCAACTGTCTTGCAGCAACAAGGTCTCGCAGGTTAAGGATCAATTTTACCTGTTGGCAAGGACACTGCTTTTTGACCTTTAATGTCCACCTGAAGTTCAGACAAGTAAAGTTTCATCCAAAGGATAATACGACCAACAATTTGCGATCCCCCAATAGTGTGCTGAAGTGTCAGTCTAGACTGTGAGCTCAAGTCTCATGGTGGCTTTTTAAGCTCTAAACCTTATGACCCAGAGCAAAGGGGCTCGTAGGACCATACTTCCCACCTGCCTCTTTGTCCTGGATAATTCATGGTACAGATACGATTCAGGGAGAAAGTACTTTAGAAAGTAGAGGAAGTCTCACTCTTGACCTAAAAATTGAATGATATGTAACACTATATTTTCTAATGGAAACCAATTCCATCTGAATTGTTGCAAAATTCTAACTACTCTACAGGGAGATAGCTATACAGTTACCGACCGGTGTCTCAGTATATTATGCCACATCTTATGTTTTTAATTTGTCGATCGGACGCAACCTGGGAACAGATTTTTGTGCAAGATTTCCCTGCAGTGACATTATCAATGAGCCATGTTGCTCAGTGCTCCTATTCATGGGCGGAATGAGGAGGTAATTCTACACAATAAGTCTGTTTCTTGGTTACCTCTAAACGGACCTTTTTAAAGCATAAAGGAGAAGAACCAAGAAGAATTTGGTAATAGCAGCTGTTTCCCTTCACAGCATTTAGGCTCAAGTAGCAATTCAAATCAATACATTACCCCTTTAAAGTATTATACTTAAAACGATTTATCAACACTGCTGATGGATGGGGTATCAGTCTGTACTTTAACAATACAGTCAAACCAGTGAGCGAAACACGTATTTGATTTGGCTTGATTTGGCACTTGAGAATCCATGTTCAAATGACTGAAAATGATCATAATAATAATAATAATCCTTATACTTGATACAGCACCTTTCATGTCAAGTCTCAAAGCGCTTCACAGGAGTTACTGTGAATTGGAGTGAATGCACATTTTGTAGGCAAACACAGTGGGCAAGATGGAAAATCGATTGGGATGTTTGGATAGGTACTGTGCTTGGGAAGCCAGGGGAATGAAGAGATTATGGAGATTAGATGAGGAAATGGGACTGAAAGATCTGACAAGATCTAATAAAGGCTCGGCAGCATAAACGGAGAAAAGTGAGTTAACGTTTCAGGTCGATGACCTTTCGTCAGAACCTTTCGTTCTGACAAAAGGTCATCGTGCTGAAACATTAACTCACTTTTGTCTCTTCATAGATGTTGCCTGACCTGCTGAGTGTTCCCAGCGACTTCTGTTTTTATTTCGGATTTCCAGCTTCTGCAGTATTTTGTTTTTTGTCTAATAAAGATTCAATGGGATGAATGAACGGCTTCCACTTGCTCTATGTTCTTATGGGAGTGAAAGAGTCAACAATGCTGCCCGAAAATGCCAGCTGGGGTATTTCAGTATTGTGCCATTGAACCATCAAACCTTGTGCACTCACAGCAGAATGGTAACTTCTGGCTCGGTTTCAAAAGTCATGCTACCAAATGCCTAGATTTACAAACGCTTGCCTGCTCTGCAGAGCCAGTACATTCTGTCCACACTACCAATATGTCTAAGCACCCTAGTCTAACAAACAGATCACTTAGCAACAATTGAACACACAGAGAAATTCAATATGTCTAAGTTACTGCATTCCTTTACATTTAAAACTACATTCCTGATTTCTTAATAAGAAGCCATCCCTGCCAACTCATTTATCCTAATCGAAAACAGATAAAAGTGTTTTTCTAATTCCAAGTCCGGGCTTATATTGCATCGGGTAAAAATGAATCCTGCATCTCACTGTAAAAGAGACAAAAGCTCGCTCTGGGTTGGCAGCAAGGCCCTGTCATGCTTTTATTTAAGAGATTAAAGGTTTATTGATTTCTCCTTTAAGCACTAGCCTAACCTAGACAGTCGCAAGCTATCAGACAGCAGCACTACTTTGATCAACATGTCCTTCTGTCAAAACAGAAATACAATTCAAGCATCAATATCATCTATGGCGCTGGTTCGTTCAATGAGGAGACTTTTTCCAGGCCCCAGATGAGGCAGAGAGGGGTGTTCTCTGGAATGAGAAGGGACACGCAGTTCCTTATTTGTCCAGATTGCTGGGCAGATGATGTCTAGAGGTTTCGCTTTGCCCCGAGTAACCCCATTGATGCAATTCTGGGTCTCAGGGTTGAAGCTGAATCTTTATTCCATTCTCAGTTCCGTGTGTCAGCCCTGGCTCAGTTGGTGACACTTTCACCTCTAAGACAGAAGGCTGTCACTGTGAGCACCATCGGGACTTTTAACCCATATGGTCTAAGCTGATATTCCAGGGCAGTGCTGGGGGGATGATGCATTGTTGGAGGTGCCGTCCTTTGAATAAGACCTAAATCCAAGGTCCCGTGGCATTGTTCAAAAAGCGAAGGGCATGTCTCCCGCTGTCCTGGCCAACAATCCACCAAATAAAATTAGCCATTCACTGCATGGCTGTTTGTGGGACTTTGCTGTGCACAAATGGGCTGTAGTGTTGACAACAACAACAAGATTTCATTTATAGAGCGCCTTTCACGTCGGGAGGACGTCCCAAGGCGCTGGACAATTGGGTCAGGACCCGAGCAGGGTCGAAATGGTCAGGGTAAGGGGAGGGAAGGGAGGGAGCAAGGAGGGGGAAAATGGTGAGGGGAGGGAAGGGAGGGAGCGAGGAGGGGGTAGAGAGTCGAGAGGGGAGCTGAAGGCACGGTCGAAGAGAAAGCTTGAGACTGGCCTTGAAAGAGGAAAGGGAGGAAGCGGCGAAGGCACTGGGGGATGGGGTTCCAGAGCCTAGGGGCTGAGATGCTGAAGGCCCGGCCGCCGATGGTAGGGTGGTTGGGGCGGGGGATGTGGAGCAGACCGGAGCCAGAGGAACGGAGGGTACGGGCAGGTAAGTAGGGGGACACTAGGTCGGAGAGGTAGGAGGGAGCGGGGCCGTGAATGGCCTTGTAGGTGAGGAAGAGGATCTTGAATTCGATCCTCTGGGGGATGGGAAGCCAGTGGAGGCGAGCGAGGGTGGGAATGATGTGGTCCCGAAGCCTGGTGCGGGACAGTACACGAGCTGCAGAGTTCTGAATGACCTGCAGCTTGTGGAGGGAGGTGCCGGGAAGGCCGATGAGGAGAGAGTTCCCATAGTCCAGCCTTGAGGTGATAAAGGCGTGGACCAGAGTTTCAGCAGCGTGAGGGGTGAAGTAGTGCCGTAGTCTGGCGATGTTCCAGAGGTGGTGGAAGGCGGTGCCAGTTGTAGCGCGGATATGAGGAAGAAAGGACAGCTCAGGGTCGAAAAGAACGCTGAGGTTCCTGACTGGCTTTGAGAGGTGGAGAGTGCAGCCTTAGATGCTGATGCTGTCACACACAATCACCAGACTGTACAGTATATCCTGTGTATGCACTGTTCCCCTTTGGGGAAAGGTTCTGTACCAAATGTAAGAATTACTGTTATTATTTTGGTCTGTGGGAATGTGATCTTCCAATATTTTTGATGCAAACAAGCATCAATCCCAAGAGAGATGTGCCTGGGTTTCCACTTCCTGTTCATACATGCCTTCATGTCCATGGATGCCCACCCGACAGCAGAATCATCAGCTTGGTTTGTGCTGGCTTTAGCTGCGGGCTGGGAGGATGATCATTTCAATTACTTTCGCAGGTGCCTCCCTCCCATTGTGAAATGTTTATTTTAAGGGCTGTGGATCACAGCAGGCCACAAGCTTTGCACCAAAGATCATGCTCTGGAACAATGCTTGAATATGGGCCCCCTTGTCAAATGCTGCATTTATATTTATTGCTGGAAGGGAAATGATATTGCTTCCAGCAGTAGAGCAAATGTGGAGTGGGAAGGCTGATTTATGCTGGCTCTGACTTGTGCCTCCAGCTGCACAAAGAGCGACGTTGACAAGGAGGTGCTGACGCTCCAGTCCAGAGTCACTCTCGGGGTAACAGCTGACACTCTTACTTTAAAATGTCCTTGGTTTGCTTCCACATGATGACACCACACACACACACACTCCTATCAACGTACATTGAGAAACATGGGGAAGCCTTTATCCGATTGACTAATTCCTCTTAAAAGTAGCAATGGAAATGAATCTTCTAATCATACTCTGTGTGCGTGTGAGCCTAGCCCCAAAGTAATAATAAGTAATAATAATAATCCTTGCATTTGATATAGGGCCTTATTACGTCGTTGAAACGTCTCAAAGCGCTTCACAAAGAAGATAAAGGCAGGTAATTGGATGGCTATGACGATGTAGTTGAGATCCTGGGACATTCTTATAAGTTCTGGAGCAGATTGATCTGTACGTAATGAGCAGATTACACCTTACCAGGGCTGGGACCAGTCTCACTGCTGGAAAATCATTAGTGTTGTGGATTTGAACTCATATACCAGGGGAGCAGGGAGACGAGAGACAAATTAAAACAAGCAAAATGGGAAAGGGGACAAAAGCTGAGAAAAGGTAAAGGAGGATGTCATAAGAACATAAGCATTTGCTAGGCGAAAGAAGACCAAGGTCCATCTCGTTCACCTTCCACCATCCTGTCAGTCACTTGACATGTCGTGTCCCAAACTATATACTGTATCCCGAGATATTATTTTGTAGCAGAAATCTATCTAATTTGTTCTTGTAACATTTTCGGCTTCCACTGACTCCCTATGGAGCCTGTTTCATAAGTTTACTACTGGCTCACTGAAGTAGTGTTTCTGTAGATATGTTCTGAATTGACTCCCCTACAAGCGTGTCCTCTGGTTCTGCTGTCAGTACAAGTTAAAACAGTTTATCATGATCTAAATTATCTATTCTCTTCAGAATCTTAAAGACACTATAAATATACTGTAAATGTCAGGGAGCTAACAAGGAATAGACAAGAGGAGAGAGAGTGTAAAGAAACCCAAAAGGTCAGAGACAATAATAATAATAATCCTTGCATTTGATATAGTGCTTTTCACGTCTTCTAGATGTCTCAAAGCGCTTCACAGAATATACTGTAAAGTGAATTGACTGTATATTTGTGGGCAAAACGCAGAAGCCAATTGTACACAGCAGTGTCCCACAAACAGTTGTGGATTGAAGTGACCAATTTATTATTGTTTTTTTCTTGAGGGATTATTATCAGGCGTGTGGAGTAAGGAAACTTGCCTAAGCTTTCGCCCTGCCGGGAATCGAACCCAGATCTCTCGCTTGCGAGGTGAGTGCTCCAACCACTGAGCTTCAGGACTCCACAAGATCTGAGGTGTATAAGGAGTAAAGTACAGGGAAAAGGCAGGTAAATGGGACTGAAAGAATTGCTCTTTAAAAGAGCCAGCACAGACATGGTTGCAAGACTGGGTTTAGTTTTCTTGTTGGCCTGCAATCCTTTTATCTGTCTTCCACCTTGAAGCAGGGTGCATCCCTAGAGAGAGAGAGAGTTTGCATTCCATTCCAAATACAGAGAAATTCCCACGTGTAGGAGCAGACATATGTGGAACTCTCAGTCCGGTGGGAATACTCTTAAGCACGGTGATGGGTTTGCTCAGGTGTCAGAATCCCAGCACAATTAGATTTATGATTATGACATACTAACTAACTCACGGGCGAATAAGTGAAGTGACAAGCAAGTTGTACATCCAGTCTCATGAATGGGAATAGAGAAACAGAAACGAAGGGTGGTTTATTGCACTCCAGGATGTTTGGATCACCTTTTTCGGTTTTGTAACCCACTTGCTTGTTCTCTCAAAAGCAGATGAGAGAAAATGAATGCAAACCCATAGGGTTCTCATCACTCAAGGCGCTGTGTGGAAATATGGAAAAAATGCCCCAAGCTGCCAACCCACATAAGTGCCATCAAAGCATAGTTCCAAAAAAACACATCCAATTTATACAGCTTTAATTCCTAAAGTTGACAGTGCAACTATTCCTGTCATTCTACGATTTGTATACAATTTGTTCACGCCATTTGGCCAGGGTAGAAAGCATAATTTAAATGGCCTGTGAAGAGCTAAAGTATTCTTCCTTACTTTGCTCAGCTGCCCTGCCTACTGATCCTGGCTCCAAACCAGGCATGAGATCGCCAAGTGTTCCATAGCGCAAGTGTCTGAGAAATCTCCAAAGAAGATGCAATCGTTTCACAACAGTGGAAAATCCTACAATGTAGACATCTTGTGTAAATTTCACCTTTAAATCCCTCTTCAGTCTCTCCCTGTCCTATCCCTGAGACTTCCTCAATTCCTACCAACCCAGCCACTGCCTTCCTTCACGTCCCCTTGCTCTACCTGTCCCACCATCAGCAGGTGGCCTTTCTACCCCCACTCTGTGGAACTCCATCCAAGACTTGCTCTCTCACTTACCTCGTTCAATGTCTGTCTCAAGCTGACCGAGCTTTCACTAATCTTTCCGCTTCCCAACCCTCCTCGGTTCCCACCCTCAGCTCAGGAGACCAGCCAGTACTGTCACAAAGCTTTGGTACATCCTCCGACGTGAAAGGCCCCTTGTAAATGTAAAGTAGTATTGTATTGTTTAAACCTTCTGAAATTGGTCTACTTTGTCATCGAATCCCATCCGATACATTATTGCCTGAACCTGCCTTTGTCTAATTCAGTATTTAGTTTTTACTTGTTCTCCTCAGGGAGAGAGAAATATAAGTGTTGGGCATAGAGCTAATTCCATTCCAGCAGAAGAACTTTTTAATTTACCACAACAATCCCTCTGAGTTTGCTGAGTGACTCGCAAATTAGCATAAAAAAATTAGTGCCAAAATAAATTTGTGTGCTAGGCTCCACCCATGAGGTAATGCACTGAGACTGGCCAACTGCATTTCATTCAAGACCTGTGCAGCCATCAGAGAGATCAGATTGGCAGCCCATTAATCTGGGCTGAACCGAAACCCAAATCCCACAGCTCAAAATCCTGGTTTTGATGAAAAGGTGCAGCAAAATAGCAAAAACAAGCAACATTGGTCTTAGTCAATGGGAAACAGAAAGCAACCAGCGCAGAAGAGTAATCTTTCACATCCGTGTTCCAAACTAGAAGATCGCAGTTAGAAATTCCGTTGAGAGTTAATATGTGAGACGCCTTTGACACTGCGTGATTCTAAAGGGAAATCCCCAAAATTAGAATCCTTGCATTCGGTACAGCGCCTCTCACATTGGCGGGACATCCCAAAACACTTCATAGGATATATAATATTGTAAAGTGCAGTGACTATGTGTTTTAGTGGGCGAACACGGCAGCCAATTTACACAAAGCTTTGTCCCGCAGCCATTGATGCAAGTCACCGATTTTTATTTGGCAGATTGTTGGCCAGGACACCAGGAGAAACTGCCTTCCCTTTTCGAATAGTGTCACGGGATCTTTAACGTCCATAGAAACAGGCCCTCGGTTTAATGTCTCAGCCAAAGGACGGCACCTCTGATGATACAACACCCCCAACACTGCACTGGAATGCCACGTTAGACTGCGTGATTCCAAATCTGGGGCTTGAACCAACAACTATCTGACTCAGAATTAATGCTACGAATTAAGCCAGGCTAACACACAATAGTGGCTGAGATGTATATAAAGCCGCCCCCACCTCCTCTCTCCCACCCTCCAATTTTTTGCCCAAATACCATCAATCTTATATAGGCGCCAGAGGTGAAAGACAAAAAAAAACTGTTCTAAAACATCATTCCTCTCAGCCGCCATCTGAAACACGATCGTGATCTTTACCTCTGTTCTTCTGTGACTTCTTGATTGCCATTCAGGACAACTCTCCAAAGGTCAGAGGCAATAAGTTCTTTCTGGTCATTGGCTAAGGTGATGCTGGGAAGCTGAAGTTCACACGCTTTGCTTTCAGAAAGGCTGAACTCGCGGTAATTGACAAACATTTGTTGGAGCTCATCCCAGTACTCAAGACTGCACGGCACCTGTTAATAATAAATAATAATCCTTACATATGATATAGCGCCTCATCACCTCGTCCGTACGTCTCAAAGCGCTTCACAGAACATACTGTTTATTTTGTTTATTTTGTCAGCAGAGAACATATTTCCAGATTGAAATAAACTGGAATAAGATTCCTTTCAAAATTCTGCACAAAAATAAATCTTTTTATTCTCCAGTCGGGGCAAACAACCTGAAACAATCTGATAAATTCTCTCGAGTCAAGTAGCTTCAGATCATCACTCTGATACAATCACTGTATGAAGAACTCATAGTGTTACAAAAATTCTTCTGTTGAATGCTGATACTGATGTTTAATCTGAAGTATTTCTTAACTAATAATGAATCAGAGTCATTCAAAAAATATGATTCTTCTGGTTACCATAAATACATCTCAGTGACCCTTAGGATCTCAGCTCTGATGGTCTTTAATTCCATAGGGGAGTTCTTCTGAGTCGACGGGAATTCTCTCTTTGAGATTGATTCTTTATACAGTGATCCTGTTAAGAAATATCTCAAGCTAGACACACCACTGCTGCTTTTTTTTTAAAAAAAAGAAAACATAACATAAACGATGGATGAGCGCAGCTCAGGTGCAAGAATATAGGATACCAAAGAAAAACTAAATGTAATCTACTCTTGGGAAACAGAACTGAACTCTCCACAGGAAAACCTTTGCCTACCATTGCAGCATTGACTTTTGTAAAGACGACACAGCTGCGACTTTTTCACCTGTGGTCGCCCCACAAGTATTATGGAATACTGCACTGCTTCAACATGATCTTCCTGTCCGGAAAGGCAGGCACGTATAAACACTGCACTGAACCCAAGCTTCATTCTCCCTTGGTAATGGGAAATTGTAATGTTAGAGCCCTGGGAAATTTTCACTAACGTTTTCTGAGGAAACGTGAAAAATTCTGATTTCAAGAGGGGAAGGAAAAAAAATAATAATTTGCAATAGGATTCCGTTTTACCACAGCTTCAATCCAGGCTTTGCTCTATCAGTACAATCAGCAGAATTCTCTTTGGGACTGATTGTCCAAGTTGAACTATACCGTCCATATGTTTGCTTATTCCGAAAAGATTGCTAATCGGTTAAATAGCTACTCGGATTCCTTTGACTTAATGTGAAACAATTTATTCATAATAATAATAATAATGAGCCTTGCATTTGATATTGCACCTTTCACCTCAGGATGTCCCAAAGCACTTCACAGGATATATTGTAAAGTAAAGTGACTGTGTGTTTTGTGGGAAAACCTGGCAGTTAATTTGCGCAATGTCCCACAAACAGTCATGGAGTGAATGACTAATTTTAATTTGGGGTTGTTGGCCAGAACAGCGGAAGAAACTTTCTTCTCTTTTCGAATAATGCCATGGGATCTTTAATGTCACTGAACAGGCACAGTCAGGGCCTCAGTTTAACATCTCACAAGTTTAACAGCCCATAAAATATAGTCAATTCAATTACAGTGTATTCTGTGAAGTGCTTTAAGACGTTTCGAAGATGTGATAAGGCACTATATCAAATGCAAGGATTATTATTATTATTATTATTATTATTATCATCTCATCTGTAGGATGGTACCTTCAGCAATGCAGCCTCAACCCAAGAACTGCATTGGATATATATCCAAATTATACCTACTGTTTTTCAAGTGCTTAATGCTTAAGTGCTTCTCAAGTGCATGAGAATTTTTTAAAATATCCATGGGCACATTATTACACTCTAAATACCAAACACACGGGGATCTAAGTTACTGGTCAGGTTAACAATCAATTTATTTGTGGGCCGGGTTAACCACGTGCAATTGTGCCCTTAGTTGTGCAGTTAACAACCAATGTAAAGGGACTCCAAAAAATCACAGAGAATCCTTTACACCGATCCTCTGAATTGCCTCAGTTAAAAAGCATTTGCACTTATTGAACACAACCTGCACATTTTGAATATAGGTTGTTAACCCCAACCTGCAAATGAGGCAGACTCCTTTTATCTCCACTGTGATCAAGGTGTGAGGGTTAGATGCAATTTTAACCAGCAAATATTACCATCATCCTCACCTGGCTCCACTGGATCCCCTTCCCCCATTTTCCAAGAGGATCAAGTTCAAGATCCTCGTCCCTATCTTTAAATCTCTTCAACTATCTTGCCCCACTCTACCTCTGCGGCCTCCTCAAACTGTATTGGTTTGGCTGCTCACTTCACTCAGTCCTGCTTCACGGCCCCCCTCACCCCCCACTCCCGTCCATCTACCCCACAATCAGCAGTCAAGCTTTCAGTCTATCCATTCTCTGGAACTCTGATCCGGAGTCCATCTAACTCTCTAACTTTCCCCCTCCCTTACCTTCTTCAAGGTCCATTTCAAGACCTACCTCTTCACCCGTTCTTTCGGTCATCTTTCCTCTTCCCACCCCTCTCGGTTGCAAGCTAGGTTAAACACCTTTAGACATGTTCCCGACATGAAAGACGGCATAAAAAATGTCAATTTGTAGTGCATTGCTGCATCCCCTCCCACCTTTGTAAGTGCCCATTATGACTAAGATTCACCAGAGCTTACAAAATGAGCATTGTGGCTAGATACTAATGACAACCAAGTTCACTCTCACTGAAGAACAAATCCGCTAAATTAACACTAGAGTACAGACCTGAAGGACGTCTCCAAGATCAGCTGTGCTGATGTCTGGATCTTCCGTTGTGTTGAAAGGAACCGGGTTGATTCTAACAAGAGATAAGGCCCGGGGCTCAGGATACCTCCACATCATCATTCCAGGCCGCTCATCAGTCTCATTGTAAAATACCACTTCGTAGGGGTTCGGCAATTTCTCGACATCTGAGAGAACACAATGCGTATTTATATCAAAAAATTTGCAATAATAAAGCATCTTAAAGTATTTCCAACACCATTGACCAGCATTTATGCAGTGCCCTTCACGAGGGTAGCGTCGCACAGCACTGAATAATACTAACAATAATCCTTGCATTTGATACAGCGCCTTATATCTCATCTTTGAGACGTCTCAAAGCACCTCACAGATTATACTGTAAAGTGAATTGACTGTATATTTTGTGGGTGAAACGAGGCAGCCAATTGCGCTCAGCAGTGTCCCACAAACAGTCGTGGATTGAGTGACCAATTTATTATTTCTTTATTTTTTGAAGGTTATTACCCCAGGAAAAGCAATCCCCCAATTGACTAATGACCGGGTTACTGCTAGGTTAACAGAGGCGTGTGAAGTAAGGAAACTTGCCCAGAATTTCGACTGCCAGAAATCGAACCCAGGTCTCTCGCTTGCGAGGCAAGTGCTCTAACCACTGAGCTACAGGACTCACCTACATGGCAGAGCTCGACACTAAGGGAGAGATGTTAGTTTTCCTGTAAACAATATCACTTTATACCATTTGAGTGAGTATTTTATGATGATAAAAAATAAAGGGGCAGTTGTGAAAACTAATAACCCTTGCATATCAAAGCGCTTCAGAGGACTTACTGTGAAGTGCAGTGTGTACTGTAAAGTGCAGAACGTCTATTTTGTAGGCCAACACGGCAGTCAATTCGATTACATCGATGTCCCTCAAACAGCCATGAAGTGAATGAACAATTTTATAAGGAGGATTTTTGTCCAGGATATCAGAAGACACTCCTCTTTTCGATTATGGGATCTTTAACATCGACCTGAGCATGCACAGAGGGGATCCTTTGTTTACCTTCTCATCCGAAGGATGGCACCTCCAACATTTTGCATCTGCCATTTCTAAATACTGTAAATACTAATTATTTCTTTGTTAATACCTGTTGAAAATTATTCACACTGAAATGCTGGCAATTCGAGGATTCTTTGGAGACCTGAGCTGTGCAACATGAACCAACAAGCACTTGGAGAGTGTCTACATCTAGTAACTACCATCAGTCCCGTCTGCCTGATCAGATGAAAGTTAAAAAGAAAATGGCACTCTTCGAAAAGAGAGTTTCTTCTGGTGTCTTGGCCAACAATCTCCCCATGACAAGCTTATTGGCCTTTTGAACAACAGTTAAATCCTATTAGATCAATGTTTATTTTTTAATCCTCTCTTTGGCTGGGTTTCACATTTCAAGATTCTACATATACACCGGTCAAGCACAGTTACTGCTTTGTCTTACAACACAAAGGAAAAATATGAGTGATACTATTTGCTACAGGAAATGGTCTTGGAAGTTGGTTATGCAGAAGTCCTTCTGGCTCATCCTGTCGTGTGTAGTCCTGTAACGTATTGGTTAGAGCACTCGCCTCGCAAGCGTAGAGGACCGGGTTCGATTCCCAGCAGGGCGAAATGTTGGGCAAGTATCCTTACTCCACATGCCTCTGTTTACCTAGCCATAAGTAGGAACCCAGTTGTTAGTCGATTGGCGGATCATTTTTCCAGGGGGAAATAATTCCTTCAAAATAAATAAAAATAATTTGGGCACTCAATCCACGACTGTTTTTGGTACGCTGCTGTGTGCAATTGGCTGCCGCATCTCGCCCACAAAATATACTGTCAATTCACTTCACAGTATATAATTTGTGAAGCACTTTGAGTAGTCTCGAAGGCGTGATAAGGCGCTATATCAAATGCAAAGATTATTTATATTATTATTATCTGCTCCAGATAATACCTCCTATATTCCAGCGCTCTTACACTGAAACTGGCTTCAATGTTCCTCCTCTCTAAGGAAGTGATTATCTCGAAACCGCAATTTATGTAAATTTCTGAGCCTTGGCTCAAAAGACCTACCAGATGCATTTAACGCCTTCTCAAATAACAAATGTACAACTCATATTTCTACAAAGTTAGCGTTCCATGATGTAGTTTCTAAGCAGATATCCGTCCATTTGGGCTTGCTGTATTCTGTCGAGTTTTGAAATTTTCTTAGAACTCATTGTTACATTCTTCATCAAAAGGCCAAAACCTACTCATTAAAATGTAGGCCTAGTTTTCTTGGTGGGTAACAGTATCGCCTGATGTAGCATTTATGTCATACACAGAGTCACATTATAGTTATATCAAGTCTGTGTCAACCTGGCTCAGTTAATGGTACTTCGCCTCTGAGTCAGAAGATTGTGGGTCCAAGTTCTATGTCAGGAGTTTGAAATCACATCGTCTACGCTGATGGTTCCATCCTACAGATGAGACGTTAAATTAAAGTCCCATCAATTTGCTCTGGTGGACATTAAAGATGCCTTGCCACTGATCAAAAAGAGAGGGGAGTTTCTCCCGACATCCTGGCCAACAGTCCCTGAGATAAAGTTGGTTTTTCATTTCATACGTTTGTTATTTGGGGACTGATTTGGGGACATTGCTGTGCGTAAATTGGCTGCAGCATTTACCTACATAAATACACAGTCACTACACTTTACAATGAATTTTGTGAAGCTCTCTTTGAGACGTCCTCCCGGCGTGAAAGGCTGCATATCAAATGCAAGGATTATTGCCATGCTGCTTGTTTGATTCTTGATCTCTGCAAGGTTAGCTGATCTCAGGTGAGACAGCAGTTTGAGTGCTACCTCAGGCCTCTGTGCCTTAGGCTAAGGAAGGCACATGGAAATTTATTATCTCTACCTAGGACTGCAATCCTGTCCTCCCCAAATACCCATCTACTTCTCTCTTAAAAATTGTTATTGAATCGGCTTCCACTACCCTTTCAGGTAATGCATTCCAGATCCAAACAACTCGCTGGGTGAAAAAAAAAAATCCTAACCTCCCCGGTTTCTTTTAACAACTATCTTAAATTGGTGTCCTCGGGTTACTGACCCAAATGCCAATGGAAACGGTTTTTCCCGGTTCGACCTATCAAATCCTCTCATGATCTTGAAAACCTCTATTAAATCCCCTCTTAATCTTCTCTGCTCTAGGGAGAATAATCCTAGTTTCGCTAACCTCGCCTCAAAACTAAGGTCCTTCATTCCTGGTACCATCCTTGTAAACCTCCTTAGCACTCTCTCCAGTACCCTAACATCTTTCCTAAAGTGCGGTGCCCAGAACTGAACGCAGTCTCCAACTGAGGCCTAATCAGAATTTTATAAATATTCAACATAACCTCCTGACTTTTGAATTCTATGCCCCTATTTATAAAACCTAGTATCCTGTATGCTTTTTTAATAGCTTTATCTACCTGTCCTGCCGCCTTCAGAGATTTGTTTATGTGGACCCCCAGGTCTCTCTGTTTATTTGCCCCCTTTAAGAGTGTATCATCTAGCCTCTCCTCATTCTTCCTACCAAAATCCAACACTTTGCATTTCTCCACATTAAACCTCATCTGCCACATTTCTGCCAATTTTACCAATCTACCAATCCTCTTGGAGTATGGTGCTATCCTCCTCACCATTAACTAATTTTCCTGGCTTAGCATTGTCTGCAAATTTGGAAATTGTGCTCCCTACATTTTGTGGAGTCCTGTAGCTCAGTGGTTAGAGCACTCTCTTTGCAAGCGAGAGACCTGAGTTCAATTCCAGGCAGGGCGAAACCTTGGGCAAGTTTCCTTACTCCACATGCCTAATAATAATCCCTCCAAAAAAACAAAACTATAATAAATTGGTCATTTTCAATCTACGACTGTTTGTGGGACATTGCTGTGCGCAATTGGCTGCCGCGTTCGCCCACAAATATACAGTCAATTCACTTTACAGTGTGTTCTGTGAAGCGCTTTGGGACGTCCTCCCGACGTGAAAAGTGCTATATCAAATGCAAGGATTATTATTATTATTATTACATCCAGATCCAGATCATTAATATAGATCAGAAAGACCAGTGGTCCCAATACCGAACCCTGAGGGTCAACACTACACACCTCCCTCCAGGCAAAAAAGCAACCGTTTACTCTGCTTTCTGTCTCTTAGCCAGTTCTGGATCCATGTTGCCAAAGTCCCTTTAATACTGTAGGCTCCTATTTTGTTTATAAGTCTCTTATGTGGCAATCTGTTAGATGCCTTTTGAATATCTAGATAAACTACGTCTACTGCACTGCCTTTATCCACCCTTCAGTCATTTCAACAAAAAATTCTGTTAGGTTTGTCAGACACGATCTGCCTTTAACAAATCTGTGTTGACTGTCCTTTATTAAACCATATTTTTCTAAGTGAGAATTTATACTGTCCCGGATTATAGCCTCCAGAAGTTTCCCTACTACTGATGTGAGGCTGATTGGCCTGTAGTTCTCAGGTTTATCCTTTTGTCCCTTTTTGTACAGGGGAGTAACATTTGCAACCTTCCAGTCCTCTGGCACCACTCCAGTGTCCAAAGAGGATTAAAAAGTGGCCAGAGCCTCCGCTATTTCCACCCTTGCTTCCCTCAGTAATCTAGGATGCATCCCGTCCAGACTAGATGACTTATCTGAGCATTGACAGCCCTTTTAGTACCTCCTCTCCATTGATTTTTATCATATCCAATTTCTATTCACACGTCTGAGATATTGTGGCATTGGTTGCATCGTCTTCTTTTGTGAAGACAGTTGCAAAGTACTTATTTAGTACATCAGCCATGCCCTCTGCCTCAACAAGAAGATTTCCACGAGGGTCTTGAATTGGACCCAACCTACCTTTGAATAAGAACAGGGTCGAACTCCTGCAAATTCAATTCCAGCTGCTATCTGTGTTCAGCTAACTCATTTTTAGACTTACCTCTTGGCCTACGCCTTTGTCCATCTTATGTTTCATGTACTTGTGTGTCTACTTGTAATAATAATTATCTTTGCATTTGATATAGCGCCTTATCACATCATTGAGATGTCTCCAAGCTCTTCACAGAATATATTGTAAAGTGAATTGACTGTATTCTGCAGGCGAAATGTGGCAGCCAATTTTCTCAGCATTTTCACACAGCATTTTCTCACAAATAGTCATGGTTTGAGTGACCAATTGTTTTAGGGAGGGATTATTACCCTCAGGAAGTAATCCACCAATTGACTCACAATGAAACCCACAATGGCCTCTGCTTCTACCATCTTACCTGGCTGGGCATTCCTAATAACTGTGTTTCTTAAATGAAACTAGTGTCGCAGACACCCACACAACATGGTACACTCATCAATTACAATCTGAATAAAGTAATACTTTCCAGATAAAGAAATACTTCCCAGCATCTCTACTGAAACTGTCCTTTGTAAAACCCAGAATCTATGCCCTTATAGAGCTACTGACTTGACATATCCATGTCGTGCAAATTTGATGCTGGTAAAATGTTGCGTGCGTAGTTCTGAAGTGACCTTTTATAAGCATAAGTAATAATTAATGACCACACTTCTGAGATATTCCTAAATATCCTCCAGATACGAATGCAACTGTAACCCAATAAATTCAAGGTTAGCGCTATCCAACAAGCAATCAAAGAAATCAGCCACATTCTTTGGGGATTGGGTGGTGCAGATTTGAACATTGGCCTCTCAGTTCGGGGAGCTGTGTCTGAATGCAAAGTGATAGGAGAAAAAAATCTCCACTCTGTTCAGGCTTCAACTATCTAAAGTGAAATGGGTTTGGCTTTTTTTTCTTTTTTTCATCCCAGTTCTTGGATTTTGACCTCCATTTCACCGTATTATACAGAGATGCTTAAGGGCAGTGTCTAGAATGATTTGAAAAGTAAGAAAAAATACTGTAATAATAAACAATCCTTGCCTTCCATATACCATCTATAATGTCAAAACATCTCAAAGTGCTTTACAGGTCATTCCTGTGAAGTGTAGGCAAACACAGCAGACAGTTTGTACAGAGCAAGGTCCCACAAACAATCATTAGGTGAATGGTCGATTCATCTGGAGAATTCCTGGCCAGTTCACCAGAAGAAACTCCTTTCTTTTTTCAAATACTTTCATGGGATCTTTAACGTCCACCTGAATAAGCAGATGGGCCTGTGGTTAATAGGCTCAACCAAAGTAAAAATCTGGCCTATTCTTCTGAATCTCTCTTCCAAAACCACTTTCCTTAGCCTCCTCTCTCTCTCTACTCCCCCACCCTCCCTCTGTGCTTGCAAAAAGCTCCTTAAAAAAATTTCAGCTCCTCAACCTTATCTTTGATCGCCTCTAAATTTATTTCTCCCAACTTGATTTCACTGCTCCCACGGTTAAGTGCATCGAGGCGTTCTTTTGAACAAAAAAGATTTTAGATAAAAGCAAATTGTTGCAACAAGTGTGCTGGGAAAATAAAAAGATGTTATATTTTTATGTGGCAGTGTAAAATGAAATTCAGGGTCTCTCAACAGTATGAGCTAAACTTAGAACTGGTGCTATCTCTGAGGCCAACTATGTATGAATATACACATATAAAACTCTTGCCCAATTCTTACCCAAGGAATGTCGCTTGTAAATACCTTTGTGCCAGTCAAGCAGTTGAACTCATGCATCTGCTCACATCACAATAATATATCATGTTACTATTAAACAGGGCATATAGAGAACTAGGGAAATGCTTGTGAAAATTGCAGGACAAATTGACGCTGTGCTCTGATCAATAAGAATCTCATAAATATATATTTTCTGTGAATTTGGAAATGTTATTAAGCGGCACCACCCTGAGGCGCATTTGGGCCTTTACTGACCCACTTGAATGACAAATCCACTTGTGGAGTCCTGTAGCTCAGTGGTTAGAGCACAGTGGTTAGAGACCTGGCTTTGATTCCAGGCAGGGCGAAACCTTGGACAAGTTTTCTTACTCCACACGCCTGATAATAATCCCTCAAGAAAAAAAAACAATGATAAATTGGTCACTTCAATCCATGACTGTTTGTGGGACACCGCTGTGTGCAATTGGCTGCCATGTTTCGCCCACAAATATACAGTCAATTCATTTTACAGTATATTCTGTGAAGCTCTTTGAGACATCTAGAAGATGTGAAAAGCGCTATATCAAATGTAAGGATTATTATTATTATTAAATCATTCTGTTGCGAAGGACTGATTGACGGACGTGTTTCAACCCGTGAGACAGTGGAATGGAGGTTACAGCACGGATAGGTATGCAAATCAAAACTGTACATTAAGTTGTAGTTTTTGCAGTCAGATTAGGTGGATATTTTAAGTGAGGGAGAACTACATGACTATGTCAATAAATATGGCTTACGATGGATTTGTTTTCCGGGGATAATAATCCCTTCAAAAAAACAAAATAATAATTTTTCATTATCAATCCAATCCCTGACTGTTTGTGGGACACTGCTGTGCGCAATTGGCTGCTGCGATTTGCCCACAAAATACACAATCAATTCACTTTACAGTATGTTCTGTGAAGCGCTTTGAGACAATGATAAGGCACTACATGAAATGCAAGGATTATTATTATTATTATTATCAACTGATACAAAACACACTATGGGCCAAATCGCCTCCGAGTCTGACACACACTTGCATGGTTCTGTGGGTTGGGCCAGGCTAATGTGATGTGGACACACCACACAATATAATGTTCACATTTATAATAATAATAATCCTTGCATTTGATACAGTACTTTTCATGACTTCGAGACGTATGATTTATACATTATATTAAGCATCGCAATTCACGTCCGGAAGACACTTGACAATGCCAAGCTGGAGGTGGGAGCAGAATGCCCGAAAGCATGGATAAAGAAAACAATTCAAGTAATCAAAGTAATTCATTGTGCCGTTATTTTACAACTGTGGATGTTGCAAATCCAACGGAAAAATTATACATTCACGTAGGAGTCATGGAAAAATAATGATCTGTATTTTTCAGTCAAAGACCATCATTTTATTTTGTTCAGCCAAGTGTCCGACATGTGGAAACCCGTTACCATGCTTATGAGTATCCAAACAAAGTTAATAATAATAATCCTTGCATTTGATATAGCGCTTTTCACGTCCTCTAGACGTCTCAAAGCGCTTCACAGAATACACTGTAAAGTGAATTGACTGTATATTTGTGGGCGAACTTGAGAGTTTCATGCATCTCATCGACACATGGAAATTCCTGTGTCCGAAATGGAATTTGCACTCTCTCCCCAAAGGGACCAAAATCCAGAGATTATTAAGTGAAGGTTGGCAAGAACCAAGGCTTGGGGACTCAAGAGTGTGCGTTGGTTTTTAATCAGCTAAAACCACAGTTTGCCATTCAAAGCACTGTCTGGCAAGCTTCCCGCTGCTTCTCCAGGAAGAATCAACCTAACTGCTAGTACTTTAGCTTGCAGGGTAACAGGAGCTGAGTGCAAGAATCCAACCCCAGTTATTGGTCTGGCCCTCCAAGTCCTACCAATAAGCCAGGCTGGTTGAACCTTCATCAGCAATGTCCCTATCACAGCTTCAAACTATTTTAAAAGTCCCAGCGTCCTGGCTACTGAGAACCGTCCTGGCTCAGGCAACAGGCTACCGAGACAGCCACAGAGGACTATCTTCGACGTTCTGTTCCCAATCACGTTACCTTGGAGTTCATCACTAAGGAAACTCCTTTTACCTCTGTCCCAAGGAAAATTGTCGGAGACCGTGACAGCCTGCATTTATTTATTGATGTCTTAATGTCTACAAAATAATGCCTCATTCAAAGGACAGCCTCTTAAGACACTGCAATACTCCACCAGTATCAGCTGGGTCTATGAGCTCAAGATACTCTTCTGCAACAGCAGAAAACAATTGTCATGAAGCTTACAGGAAATGATACCATCAAACATGATGTGAGGATTTAGCTTGAGGACCAACTGAATATCATGCACTGTAATATGGAATGGTAGGATGTGTGCTTGAAATGCCATTTGCCCCACTGAATCCATGATAGTTAGGTGGACCATCAAAGAAGCTATTCAAAATAAAATTCCTTCAAAATAAATAATAATTTGATCATTCAATCCATGACTGTTTGTGAGACACAACTGTGTGCAATTGGCAGCTGCGTTTCGCCCACAAAATATACAGTCAATTCACTTTACGGTATATTCTGGGAAGCACTTTGTGAGGTCTCGAAGACGTGATAAGGCGCTAAATCAAATGCAAAGATTATTAATATTATGCAGAGACTAATTGCTTTCCTAACAGGGGCAAGCTATCCCCTTGACCCTACTCGTTAAGATGGCACAAATCAAACACATTCAACAAAGACAAAATGAGGGAAAGCAACTTTGAGCAATACAGCAATACATTTGCATACCTGCATCTTGAATGTACTGTAACTGGCCTGTTCTCAAGTCATCCAAAGTGTGCTCAGTCTTGGAAGCCTGATATCTACTCACAGCAGGTGACGGTTGATGTCTGTGGTCTGGTGTTCGAGTCTTGGCCTCTCGCTGGAGATAGGCTTGGAGCAGTTGTTGTACCTGGGTCAGGCAGTTCAGATGCTCTTGGCCCCAGAAGACCTGTTTAAACACACACACACACACATACATACATACATACATACACACAGACACAAAATTAATGAATCAACATTGATAAGCCTCAGAAGAACAAACCATAATACAGTATCAATCCTAGATATGCAACAACAGAAACACTTGTATTTATACAGCACTCTTAACAAAGAATAGTATCTTGGAGCACTGCACTGTAATGGGGTTGGACCCTGAGCAATGGAGGAGAAAGAAGGGGAGGTGACCATAGGCATAGTCAAAAAGGTAGGTTTTCAGGTATGATTTAAGCCAGATAAATAGAGGGTATGAGGTGGAGAGATTGAGGCAGGCAATTCCAGAGGTTAGGGATGTACAATTAGGGCAACTCTTATGATTAAGTGCAACTCGGGAGGGAGGTAAGCTGAACTGGCTCCAAGGTGACATGTTTGGCAACATCACATCAGAATTGAGCCAACCCTCTGTGGAGGTCTCAGTAATTCAGTTCCTGAGCCAGGCTGGCCTGCAGTACTCCGGGACACTGCGGCTGAGAGACCAGCCAGCCTGGCTTATTGGCAGCACTTGGAAAGGCAGACCAGTCACTGGAGTCAGGGCTCAGACACTCAGCTCCTGTTAACCCTGCAAAACCAAAGCCCTAACAGGTTGGGTCATCCTCACTGGACAAGCAGCAGGAAAGCTTGGCAGACGGTGCTTTTGGTGGCAAGCTATGAGCTTTTAGCTGATTAGAATCCAGCAGTACCCTAACTCATGCTCTGGGGCTCCCCAAGCCTTGGCTATGGCCAATCTCCACCTAATAAACTCCAGAATTACATAAGCAGCGTGCGTCCCTCCAGAGTGCATATTCCATCCTCTTTGGATTTTCCATGTGTAAGTGGGATGCATGGAACTCTCTCAGTTTGGTTTAGATACTCTTTTAGCATGGTGATGGGTTTCAGCAAGTGTCACACAACTGGCCGAACAAAAAAAGTTCAGCTTCAATGGGTTTTGCATTATATCCTTAAACAACAATGTCTTCTTTGGAGTCTTTATAAATATATATCTTGTGTTACATTAAAGTTCTAAAGCGCTTTGAATAACAGGACAGTGCTAAACACCAGAGACTAAAATTCGGAGACATTGGGAAAACCACCGAATGGCTCTGAACTCTTGGTCTCCTGTGAAATAACAAAATAGTAACATGAAGGGCTTGTACGAATACTCCCACAGTCCTAAAAAGGGATTAAAAAAAAAGTGGAAGAGATTTACGTTCCCGTTTAACCCAGACCAGTCATGATGATCACCTGCCAATAACAGATGCCAAAGGTCGTGAATGAAATAGATTGCAAGAACCTCAGCTCGATCTCACAAGGACCCTTCAATACAGGAGTTGCCTAGGCACAGAGGTACACTTGCCCTGCGCTGTGACAGCTAAATGAATTGTGTACATTTCTAATTATTTCTAAGTGACCTGCAGTATTTATGGTATTGTTGGTTTCATCTTATTGGTCTTCGGTTATTTGTTTTACTCTGATCTTTCAGGGAGAAAAAAAGTTTATTGCTCGAGACAAAAATCAAGTGCTTCAAATGGAAACAGGGTTGAGCTTTACCAGATAAGGCGATCGAGTTACAGGGTGCTCTTTGCATGATTTAAAGCAGTGGAATTAAAAGACGTTTGGGTCAAACAAGGAACAGACTCATTAAAGCCAGACTCTCCCAGACACCGTTGCCACCCACACAAACCTGGATCAGTCCAGCTTTCAAGTCAACCAGCACTTTCGGAATGAAGTGATGTGGGTCGGGATTGCCGCTGTGCCTGCACCATTTGGCTTCCACTTCCACAGTGCAACAGAATGGTCCAATTAGGGTTCTGTTTCTGTCTCTGAGGCATGTTTTTATGAGCAGATCTTTCAGCTGAAGTGCAAATGTGGCACCTTGGATCATTCCTAAATGGATCGAAGAAAAGGATGTCGGGTTTATCCTCTTTTTAGACAACTCGCAAGACTGCACACGGAATGAAATGCTGGAGAACTAAAAGAAACATTTGTCTTAGCTTTTTTTTCCTCCCATTTCTCTCCTACAGTTCTTGTGAATCAGTTCTCTGATCTTTACATCTGTACATAATTAATACAGGATGCCAAGCTCCAAAGCACTATTGTGGAATTATGAGCAAACTGTTAAAGGGACTGAACTCACTGCAATAATTCATGGAACCCAATACATTTTGATGACTGGCTGATATGCCTTGTAAAGGAAATATAACATGTTCTTTTGCATTCAACTGAATATTCTGCATACCTGAATGTTTCTGAAACCTGCATTTTAATTCTGTTTTACGAACAAATAATTTAACAGCTTCCTCAAACATTGCTCAGGGGCATAATAACTATGAAAATGCTTCTTTCAAATTGCGTGTTTACAGATGTTGACTGCAGCAAGTAATTTAGCTCCAGAACATTACTTAAGACACATGTGGCTGTCCTGTCTCCTCTAATGTTGGAACATTCGAATACTTCACATACAATATAAAGACATTTATATACAGTCCAAAACAAACAATGGAAAGAGGCTGTTGCCTGCCGACATGATTACTGAGGCTTTAACTGCGCCAATCCTTTGGCGAATTGTGGAAACAAACTAGGCTTTATTGCACCATCGAATAAATTAGTGTTTTCAATTTAGAATGCTATTATGAATATCATTGACATCTCAAAACACTTTGCTCAATAGAGCACCGACATAGAGGTAGGTAGCTGCCTGTGTGTGTGTGTGTGTTACCAGCAGTAAATGCAACCAGTGATCTTAAACAGATGAAATCCTTGTGCATGTCATTTATAACCTTTCCTGTTAACATCATTACTATATTGTCTGTTGGAAGCCATATTTGCTGCATTCACTTCAAACGTAGAAAAGCAGGCACATTTATTATTTTAATCCAACACAGTACTTATTTTCACTTTATTGGGGTACTGTGGTGTTCTTTTACACATCATTTCTGTAGGATTTAATTAAATTTTATGGCTTCAGCCAAGAATCCTGGATGTTTTGTGTCTAACTAGGTTCAAGTAGAGTTCAGGTCAGAGATGAATCAGAAGAAAACACAGAGATGGTTATCAATTTGGATGATCTCATCTCACTAAACCACAGAGAAGGCAGGTAAACAGACATCAGTACATTGACGAGTTGGAAACATAAGTCAGAATTCTGACAGCTATAATACTTATGCCATTGACCACCTTGTTTAAAAAAAAGTGAAAACATGGCAAAAAAAGAATTCTGCCTTTTTTTTCAGGGGGGGGGCAACAAATTTACTAAAGGATCAATATCTAACCTGATCTAATGTTACTTTTATGCTTCATTTTCATTCTCTTTGGGATTTTGATGATTTTTTGGAGCTATTAAGAAACTGACCAATATGCGCTACACATTACAAAAAGGTGAATTTCTGGAGACTGCAAAAACCAATGCAGTTTTGCAATTTATTGCAGGATTTTTAACCCAGGATTAGGTGGTGTCTTGTTTCTTGGACGTTAAAACATCTGTTCTCTCCTCCTACATTTTTGCTTTCAGGGGATGGCAAACACAACCTCTGCCTCGGGGATTGAAGACAGGAATCAGGATTCTACTGCTTTTCATTATCACAAGATTCAGTAACTCAAGTTTTGTGTCAGCTAAATCCCCCTTTTACTTTTCAGCGAGAGGTATGTTGTAATGACATTTAAAATCCCAGCTGTTATTTAGCCAATATGGTCGTAACCTCTTATTGAGTGCTGGAAATCGAGAGGGTTTAAGCTACTTGTGACAAGGTGTCAAAAGTGACAAAATCAAGGCACATACACCCAATATTCTTGCAGCAGTGCCAGGGGAAATTTTAATGGCGATTTGTATTCATCTCCACAAACCACACTTACCTTCAATCCCCAATGGCCTATTTAATGTTTAATTTGTCCTCTGGCTTACATTGACAAAGAATTTATTTCCTGTGGTGTAACCAGTGGTAAATCCTTGAGCTGCCTTCCTTGAGAGGTAAAGAACTTTGATTCTGTGTAATGTAGCTTCTGGCTATTGTAAATGACTCAATACCCTAGCAAATTAATGCCAAACAATGCGGAGCATTAACATTGGTATTATACTATCAATCTGAAAGCCCTTGAGATTTGTTTTTTTTTCTTTCGGGCAATCATGAATGAAATACTGTACATTAGACCACAAATGCAAGATGCAAGGCTAAAGCTATTCTGCAAAACAATACATCAATGCCCTTTGTATACAAGCGACTTCGGAAGGTAGCGGAAGCCATTGCTATAATTGCTGGTTCACTGGGTTAAAAACTCCCCTTAATTTACGTAGCTCTGAACTGTGCGTGGATATGTGTGATGTGTACAAATGTGAGGTGAGGACAGGCTGGGCGAGACTTTCACGTCTTTCTCCCTTATGTTCAAATAGCTCAGTGGTACTCGCTTTCCAGGTTCCTCCATTAAGAATGGCCACTGAGGAATGCACAGGTCCAAATCGGTGCCTTCAGAGACGATAGGACAATGTAAAATAGTACAAGAATACAAACAGTTCACTTAAAAATCGAACAGTAAAGAGGCACATCACATTACAGCAGTGCCGGATGTAGAGGCTATGTGCTCTGCATGTCAAGTGTAGCCTATTGATCCTGCTTTCCTGAACCAAATGTGCTCGACTGTCATCAGATGCTTGTGAGAACTAGTCCTAGGTTGACATGACAGATTTCACTCCCAGAGAATAAGTGTATTGCACTAGGATGGCAGCAATCCCATAAAGCTTCAATATAATAATAATAATCCTTGCATTTGATACAGTGCCTTATCACGTCTCCGAGATGTCTGAAAGTGCTTCACAGAATAATAATAATAATCCTTGCATTTGATATAGCGCTTTTCAGGTCTTCTAGACGTCTCAAAGCACTTCACAGAATATACTGTAAAGTGAATTGACTGTATATATGTGGACGAAACATGGCAGCCAATTGTGCACAGCAGTGTCCCACAAACATTGGATTGAGTGACCAAATCATTGTTGTTTTTTTCTTGAGGGATTATTATCAGGTATGTACACACAAAGCCTCTCCCAGTGTCTCTCACTGTATATACACAGCCTCTCCTGTATACACACAGCCTCTCCCAGTGTCTTTCACTGTATACACACAGCCTCTCCTATATGCACACAGCTTCTTCCAGTGAATACACTGTAAAGTGAATTGACTGTATATTTTATGGGCGAAACGTGGCAGTCAATTGCGTACACCAATGTCCCACAGTCGTGGATTGAGTGATAAAATTATTATTTATTTATCTTAAAGGATTATCCCCGGAAAGCGATCCACCAATCGACTAACAACCAGGTAAATAGAGGCATGTGGAGTAAGGAAACTTTGCCTAACGCTTCGCCTTGCCCGGGAACCAAAGCCAGGTCCTCTCGCTTGTGAGGCGAGTGCTCTAACCTTGTTACAAACTCAATCTTGTTACAAACACTTGGTTTTGGCACGTGACATTTTTGCATCACAGTGAGATGCAGCCTTCATAAAAGCAATGTTTCTTATAAGATCGCAGGGTGCGTGGAAGAATTACATACACACCGTTTCTATTTACTGATGGATTACCTTCTCGGGGAAAAGGTCGTCTAAAAGTAATTAAGTTACTAAAAATGCAGGAAGTGGAATCAGGTAAACTACTGTAACATTCATCACAATCGGCAGAAGGACTTTCAGCCTTTCTGCCCCGGTTCTCTGGAGTCCCTCCCTCCCCTCTTTCGAGGCACGTTTCAAAATATACCTCTTTGACCACACTTTCGGTCAAAGAGGTACACTTCGACCGAAACCACCCCCATAGCTCCAACCCTCAGATCAGGCATCCATCCATCACTGTGAAGCTCTTTGAGACGTCCTCCCCGATGTGAAAGGTGCTGGATAAATGTAAATTGTAGTGTATCGTGAACAGTTTGCTCAGACTCTGTTAACAAAGGGACCTTCAATGCTAGGCTGTAAAATGTTGCCTGGAATTCGGACTGCTCGACTCTCTCACCCAACCACCCACCAATAAATACCTTACGTTTACACACATGACTGGAAAATGTATTGCACAGTCAAACACACGAATGTGTTCTCTTTTCCAAACGTATGAATTTACAGTGAAAGATAATCCCTAAATCTGGTTAAAAGTGAGAGCTCGCTCTTCATCTGCACCAGCTGCACGAAGCAAACTGATACGACTCAGGAGATCGGCAGCTGGATTGCGCCGTTCACTTTACAGTTGTTCTGTTTTAGTCGCTTTATAAAACCCATTGTTCCTTTCGCTTCCAGAAGACCTTATGTGAGAATTTCCACCAGCATTCAGGAGCTCTCAACGTCGAATCAAGCTCAGCAGACGCCACAAATTTGAGGGGAATGACTGGCTTTTGACCTGAGAGTGCTAATAATAGTGTGCGAGCAGGCAACCTCGCTGTGTTGCAGATCTGTTAAAACGCACTGTATTTTGCAGGATTTGAGCTATTTTACTTCTATGTGAGTAAATCTGGACCTCCCAACCCCAAATGGATTCTGAAGACTATTTATCAAAGTCCCAATATAAATAACAGTGGAAAGGGGAGTAGGAAGATGGGGAGGTTAGAGAGGGCTGTTTGGCAACCCCCAGAGACATCATGTGAAACGAGTATTTTGAATACACAGACGTTGCCCCTGAACAACCCTGCAGGGAAACGACTGAAATTAACATGGTCACAATCGGAACATTACTTACAATTGCAATTCCCAGCTCTGCAATCTGCGGGGCTGCTGTTGCCCTTTAAATCGAAGCCAGTTCTCTACCTGGAGAGTTATTTCCCCCCCCCCCCCCCTCGCTCTCAAACAAATACTCACCTGTGCTTTTGGGACCTGCTTTTGTATACAGGCTGCCTTTCAGGCTCGTGAGAGACGCCAGAAGGCAAGGGCTGTTGGGGTGAGGCACGGTCTCCATGATGACGACGATCTGAGCTGTGTGGACGGAAAACTTTTGAAAGAAAGACAAAGTTTTCCAAACGCTTCCATGGCCCATCAGCCGCTCCGCGAACGAGGTGTATCCCTGCGAACCGGATTCAGCCCTCGTACCGCATCCTGACGCAGGCGTCTTCTCTTCACTGGGAAAGGTTTCCGGGGGCACAGCGGCTTTGGCTGGGATTTCAGAGCCGTATCTGGGTAGAATCCTCTTCAAGAAATGAGTTACTTGATCCAGTTTGACAAGGCTGAGGTTTGCTTTCCATGGACGTGAGAAATCCAAATGAATTTCAGCTGTGTTTTTCAAAAAGAAATATGGAGAGATGTTTAAAAAAATGTGTGCTCCCTGAAAAACACTTACCAAAGGCCATAGCGCACATGTCAAAGCAAAAGGAGGGTTATTAGTTAATTTGCTGGACATGTTTTAATGGTCTCCTGTTCAGCATCGTGCAAACGTTTTTCATTTACAACCGGAGAAACCCGGGTCAACTCCCTTTGGAAACGGGACCGAACGAGCGATTTTGAACGCTCGCACGACACATGTGCAACACGCGAGAGCACGAGCACACACGCGCACACTGAACCCCCACCGCCACACACAAACACACTCACAAATCAAATGCATCTGCTCAAGAAAGAGAACATAAGAAGGTTAGAATTTGCTGGCGAAAGAAGACCCAAGGTCCATCCAGTTCGCCTTCCACCATCTCGGCAGTCGCATGACAAGTCGTGTCCCAAACTATACATTCTATACATGTCCCCTCCCCTTCAATCGCAGGCCGTGTCCTCTGGTTCTATTGAGAATCAATAATATTTATTTTGCCCCCTCTCCCTTCCTCTGTGCTTTCGGCAACCTTTCCCCCCACCCCTCCCCCACTCACACTCACATTTCACGTGAAGCACTTTGAGTCAATTTCCCCACATGAAAGACGTTTGATACGTTGTGAATTATTGCTGTAGTAATCCATTTTCAGGTTTTGTCAGAAATGGGAATAAATGTTCGTTTTCAAAAAAACTTAATAATCCTTACACTTGGTACAGAGCCTTTCAAGTCAGGAGGACATCCCAAAGTGCTTCACAGGCTATACCATAAAGTGAAGTGACTGTGTGGTTTTGCAGGTGAAATTTTGTTACTTAGTCGAAAGGACTGGAATGATCACATAATAGCTTGAGCATCAACTATTCGCCCTCTCACTAATATAAAAACAATGGCTAAATTTCGACTTTCATCGAATTTATTCCTAACACTTCTCAACGCGGAAACGATTCTTTCCATCTGATCTATTGTTATAAAAAGTGGCTTGTAACTTGACCTTCATAAATTGAGTAATTTATGTCTGTGTAATCCTCAATTTAGCCGAGAGCCACAAGAAGCAAAAAATAAGGGAGCGTAGAGAATCTTCTTGTTCTGCAAAAAGCCATCTGCTCCCAGAATCTATTTACCTTCTTTAAATAAAACACTGGAAGAAAATTTACTCACGAACACATCTTGCATGTATTAGTCAATTTGTCAAATCCACAGGCTCCTTACCAACACTGAGGAAATACAAATCAACTAATTTTTAAACAATACAGTAAATGCCACATAATAAATCTCACGTTACAATTACACTGTGTGGCACATTGAGAAACGCACGTTTGGGGTGAATTACTGAGGTGTACACAGTCCTGCAGTGGCTCTAGGCCAACTTGTTCCACAACTGCTGATATTCAATTAGGAAACTCCATGCACATCTGTACTGCACCTTTCAACCATCTGTTATTCTGTGGGATATACATATATATATATATATATAGGTTTGATTTGTTGTGTTGCTGGTCTTTTCCTTTTTATAATGATAGAAAAGACCACATTAGGGCAAGCAGACTGTGGAGACCAGTACTGTGTTGCTTCTGCAGTGCAAGTTAATGGAGGTGCTGTTGTGGGATGTGCGATACAGCAATGGACTTGAGATGTCAAGGGTGCAGTGGTCCATGCAATATTGTTTTGATATAACGCCTTATCACGTCGTTGAGATATCTCAATGAGGTCCACAGAATCTACTGTAAAGTGAATTGACTGTATATTTTGTGGGCGAAACATAGCAGCCAATTGCACACAGCAGTGTCCCACTAACAGTCGTGGATTGGGTGACCACATTTTTTATTTTTAATTTGAAGGGATTATTACCCCCAGAAAATCATCCCCCAATCGACAATCGACTAACAACCAGGTTCTTATTTACTGCTAGGTAAACAGAGGAGTGTGGAGTAAGGAAACTTGCCTACGGTTTCACCCTGCCCAGTAATCGAACCCAGGGTCCTCTAATCTAGGCGAATAGGTCAGAGGTGTCAGTCTTGTTGAGAAGATACAGTTTAGGATTAAGGCATATTATAAGGTCAGACTAAAAGATTATTTAGTTGACCAGAGAGCACGTAAGGATGGGTGCAGCACATGGCAATGGTATTCTATTCCCCACAATGTAATTCTCCACCACTCGAATTTGACAAACCACACCAACAAAGATAAGGTGATTTACCAGTAAATTGCAAAAAGTGAGGTAGATGGATTTCAACACGGAAGATTTCAAGAACTCAAGAACAAGTAACCCCCAAAATGTACGTAAAAAAGAGGGGTGTCCATTATCAGAGATGGCAAAAGGATTGGGGTGTGACTCTTGGTCATTCACTGAATCTTTGCAATCAATGTGAAGCTGCTGTCCAAGCAAATCAAATATCTGCTGGCACTGATAGCAAATCTGTGAAAATTCAGTTGTATTTCCATTTGTAAATTTTCCACGGTCCTAAACATCTCAAACTCACTGCCTACCCACCTCTACCTCACCTCTCTTTTATCTCTCTTTAAACCCCACTTTAAGACCTGCCTCTTCCTATCGTGCCTATAGTCACCTCCGCTTCCCCTTTCCTCCCTCGCTCGCCATCCAACTCTGCCACTGTGCAGCGCTCCGAGAAGCTATCATGGAGTCCTGCAGCTCAGTGATTAGAGCACTTGCCTCACAAGTGAGAGACCTGGGTTTGATTCCCGGCAGGGTGAAATGTTGGGCAAGTTTCCTTACTCCACATTCCTCTGTTCACCTAGCAGTAAGTAGGAACCTGGTTGTTAGTTGATTGGCGGATCGCTTTTCCGGGGGGGGGGGGCAATAATTCCTTAAAAAAATAATAAATTGCACACTCAATCCACAACTGTTGTGGGACACTGCTGTGTGTAATTGGCTTCCGTGTTTTGCCCACAAAATAGCAATTCACTTTACAGTATATTCTGTGAAGTGCTTTGAGAAGTCTCGAAGACGTAATAAGGCGATATGTCAAGTGCAAGGATTATTATTATGGATGAAGCGCAGTATAAAAGCAAATTGCTGTTGTTATCTGTGAAAAGCTGAAACAGTAGCAGACACTACCTCCTGGGGTGGTCTTCCTCTGCTTCTCCTCACACAAAACAATCTTGTAATCAGAGTCTGCAAGTCAATTGGAAACTGTTTTCATGAGTCAGATCCAAAGTGTGCAGTAACTGGTTTATGAGGAAGATGCTTTATTGAGAGGGATATTTAGCAGAGCACCAACCTGTGTGTAAAAGCTCTCCCCTATATCCCCTTCTATTGAATATATGAATATGTAATATATTAAAAAGAATATGGCATCTCTTACTGAGATATTGAATCATAGAAATTAAATTAAAGCACAGAAAGAGGTCATACAGCTCATTAAACTGAAGAAGGTACAAACTTATCCACTGGAGTTAACTACGGCGATCCCAACTCTCTGTTCTTTCCCTGTACCCTTATATATTCTCACTCTTCAAATGTCTCATGGTAGCACTCTCACCTCTGAATCAGAAGATTGTGGGTTCCAGCCACACATTGGAACTTACATTCCAGGCTGAAACCCCAATGCAATGCAAGGAATGTGCTGCGTTACTGCAGAGTTTCCAAAATGCAGTTTTCAGTGAAGTGGGAGGCCATTTGATCCATCGTATCACATCCACTGCTATTTTCTTAAATTTATCCCAATCTTTTTCTCCATATCCATGGGGAACATGCACAAATATGAACCTTGGGGGAAAGAATCTTGCCACAGCTCTGAACAAATAACTATACACTTCATGAGCAGGTAGAGAAAGTTGTAGCAACTTTGGTTGGAAATCAGATGAACTCCCTTGTCCAGGCTGCTGTGATAGCGCAGATAATGAATACTGAAGGGAGCAAATAAGTTTTAAAAGGATTCAAGTAGTTTGGCATAACTTAAGTCTGGTTACCAGAAGTATACCAGAAGCACTTAGGTGACCTGATAATTATCCTTACATTTAATATAATGCCTTTCATCTCAGGAGCAAGTCTCAAAGTGTTTCACGGGATATACTGTAATGGGTAGTGACTATACATTTTGCAGGCAAACACGGCGTTGAGGAATATTGAGGAATACGGACATAAATTGTCATACATCAGACCCAATAGGTTTTAATTTATTATAATGCTCAAGGACCGTGCCGGCAAATAATAATAATAATAATAATCCTTGCATTTGATATAGAGCTTTTCACGTCAGGAGGACGTCCCAAAGCGCTTCACAGAACACACTGTAAAGTGAATTGACTGTATATTTGTGGGCGAACGCGGCAGCCAATTGCGCACAGCAATGTCCCACAAACAGTCGTAGATTGAAAATGACCAATTTATTATTGTTTTTGGTTTTGGAGGGATTATTATTAGGCTCTGTGTGGAGTAAGGAAACTTGCCCAAGGTTTCGTCCTCTGCCTGGAATTGAACTCAGGTCTCTCGCTTGCAAAGCGAGTGCTCTAACCACTGAGGTACAGGACTCCAAATTTACTTTCATAGAATCGTAGAATATTACAGCACAGAAGGAGGCCATTCAGCCCATCGTGCCTGTTCCAGCTCTTTGGAAGAGCTACCCAATCAGTCCCATTCCCCTGTTCTTTCCCCATATCCTTGCAAATTTTTCCTTTTCAAATAAATTTTTACTTTCAGCCAGTTTATTTTTCCGCAAGATTTAAATCCAAACGCTTTATATACTAATTAAAAACAACAGTTCCTCGTGTTTCAATCCTTCAAAATCTGCATATTAGCGATATTTGTGCATTAGTTATGAAACGCTGTGGTTCAACACAGAGAAATGGCTTCAAACCACAGATCATTTGGGGCGAATGCTTCGGGTAACCACAGAGGTTTAATTCTGCAGTCAACAGGGTGAAAACCATCCAAGTCTTGCAGAGCAAAAGCCAACAGATTCCTTTTGGCAAGAAAAAAGGTTCGCGCAAACACCCGAGACGCGTTACGAATCTCCAAGTGAAATCATACTTCTGGTACCATGTTTTATTCAAACAAAACTGAATCTGGAGGTAGAAGCCACATGCAGTCTAGAGAGAGACAGAGAGAGATAGGGGGACGCACTAACTAAAACTACCGAGGCAATGGCACTGCGTAAAAAGGGTTCAGTTGTGAATGAATTGCAACAGCAAAGCACCTTGTGAAATTCCAGATGGCCTGAAAAAACTGATCGACTCAGCCTTCCACGTCTTTTAATCACCTAGTCAATCTTTCACTGTGGGCCCAGCGGTAGTCAATGGCATTGAATAATGGGACTATAATCTGGTGCAGGCACACTTTAAAGTTCCTGTGTTCGCTCTCCTAAATACGGGAGTAATGCAACATCAAATGGATCTCTGTCTAGCCCGCGCTATTGGAAAATTGAAACCCTGAATTTCGGTGCTGACTTAAATCGTTCCACTAATCTCGTGAGTTCTTTTTTCCCCATCTCTCTCTGAAAGCAGAGAAATGTATCAAGCAACGCGAAGTGTGTATCTCAGCGAAAAAAATAGTCAAGGCTACACTAACAATTGACCTTCTGAGCAGATAATAACATTTTGGCCAATTCTCTTTTTCGCACATCAGCTCACTTTAAATCAAAAGTGACAGCTTTAAACGAGTGGCACCACGGGTACAGGGATAGGGTAAACGTGGGATCAGTTGGGCACATTCCCGGCTTTTCCATGACGTCACAACGCGTGGCACACATCCGAACTGAATGAACTGTGAGATGTTCAGTGTGCGTCTGATCTCACCCTCCCTCTCTCCCTTCCTCTCTCACTCACTCCCTCCTCTCTCTCTCTCCCTCCCTCGCCATAGCTTTCTGCAGTAGGAACAGGTGGCCCCCGCTTCCAATTACGAAGGACCAGCGTGCCAGTCTGAAGCCCGGATCAGTTCACCTCCTCACAGTGGGGGGGGTAACTGCACCAGTTGGGAGTGGATTTATTACCGTTTCACACATGGAATGAAGCTCGTGTCAGCTGACGCCAGTGACACATCATATGATTCAAATTAACCTGCTCTAGGTGTTCTTCTGGCCTGCCACCGTGTGTGTGTGTGTGTGTGTAAAAAAAATGACGACATTCATAAAAGCGCTTGATGAAAACCAGAGATGCCAGGCCATAATGGCTCCAATTTGTTCCAACTAATCTATCACCTGCTGGAATTATTGCTCTGGTGGGTTTCTGCTCGCGTTTATTTCCCAGCTTTTCTGGAAGCTGCTGACCTGCTTAATGGACAGAATTATATCCTTTGCTAAATTCAGGAAAATTACTTATTCAGGATCCTTAACCAGTGGCAGTGGTGGGGGCTCCATCAATCATATACTAGTCTGCACGGCAGAGAGGAAACAGCCAGCAGGCCTTTTATTTGAGTTATGTTACGTTAACTTTTCAGGTAGAGCAAATAATAGTTTAATTGTTTTTTTTGCACTCTTCAGAGCAGGACAACGCTGCTACTTTTAAACAAGCAGTGTGCCATACCTTTTGTTTACTGCTGTTTTCTGGAGCCCATTTATGAAGCCTTCACTCTCCCGCTGATAGGAGACCCCAAATAAGTCGCAGAGAGGATTGATAATAATAATCCTTGCATTTGATATAGCGCCTTATCACATCGTCGAGACGTCTCAAAGCGCTTCACAGGATATACTGTAAAATGAATTGACTGTATATTTTGTGAGAAAAATGCGACAGCAGTGTCCCACAAACAGTCGTGGATTGAGTGAGCAGCTTATTTTTGAAGGCATTATTCCCTTCAAAGTAAGGAAACTTGCCTAAGATTTTGCCCTGCCCAGGAATCGAACTCGAGTCCTCTCGCTTGTGAGGTGAGCACGCCAACCATTACGCCACAAGACTCCACAGTCTACGTATAGGGGACTGAAGCCGAGCAGGGTGGTGGATTAGTAAATGAGCTCGATCGATGCCCTGCAGAGGCATAGCCGCATGTTGCACAATGACTATTCATCTTCCTGTGCCTTTGAATTACATGGGATTACGTTTCTGGTAAATTGCTTCACTATCTCCTTCAAGTGCCAATTTACAAATTGTTTAAAAAGTATAGTTCACTGGAGCACATGTAAATCTTCACCCAATTCCAGTCCTTTGAGGATTATAGCTCCATCTTCTACCCCATGTAAAGAATGTATAAATGACTGAGGTTCGAACTTCGTTTAGGGTATACATATCGACCCGTCCGTCCCCTCCGCTCAGCCTATTCCATGTTCCCCATCTGGCCTGCCCCACCATCGGCGGTCGGGCCTTCAGCCTCTCTGTCCCCCACCCTTTGGAACTCCATCCCATTGTCCCTTCATTTTGCTCTCTCCCTTGCTGTCTTCAAGGCCCGACTCAAGACCCTCTTCCACTGCGCCTTCGGTCACCCTCCTACCCCTCCCCTCCCTGCCCTTCACCCCTTCTTGATCTCAACCCCTTGCTCGGGTCCAAATCCCTGATTGCCCCGCACTTTGGGATGTCCTCGCAACGTGAAAGGCGCTGTGGAAATGTAACTTGTTGTTGTTACACTAATTTGCAGCTGTTGAACTGCGACACGGACAATGACGATCTGCAAATTCCAAAAGGGTCAAAGTGCGTACAGAGTCCAACATGTTCCCATAACACCTGTCCGGCCTCCAGGATTCACTGTTAAGATTTTGCGAATCTAGCAAATACCTTTCGACATTTACAAAACTGGGCCAAACAAATCTGCTTTACAAGCCCCGGGTAATAGACATCAATAGGTGACAGCCTGGCTCACAATGGAATTGAGGCATCATAATATTAATAATAATCATTGCATTTGATATAAGGCCTTATCACAATTTTCAGATGTCTCAAAGCGCTTCACAGAATATACTGTAAACATGAATTGACTGTATATTTTGTGGGTAAAACGTGGGAGCCAATTGCGCACAGCAGCGCCCTCCAAACAGTCATGGATTGACTTTTTTTTAAGGATTATTAACCCCGGAAAAGCGATCCGCCAATCGACTAACAACTGCTGGGTAAAGAGATGAGTAAGGAAACTTCCCTACGATTTTGCGCTGCCGAGGAATCGAATCAAACCCAGGTCCCCTTGTTTGCAAGGCGAGTGCTCTAACCATTACACTACAGGACTCCACAAATGCTATGCTATCATAATGCTGTGCAATATTTTGTGACGGAATCATTCGGTTAACAACCGTCTTGTGGGTTGTTGTGGTTCCGTGGTAAGATAACGTGTTTGCAACAATAAGACTTACCTGGCCCGTTGAGAAAGTCTTTAAGTTGCAGAGAGATGAATGGTGGAGGAATGCCAGCTTTGAGGTCAACCTCACCAGCAACAGTCTGCAGCCAGCATACACTGTAATCCAGAGATTCTGGTAGAGTTTTTCCAGCATCTGCAAAAATCATGAACCAAATTACATCTCATCACTTTTTTTTAAAACTACGAAGACTTAAACGAAGATCTCTCCAGGGCACTGCTGATGAACAGACCAGCCAGCCTGGGTCATTGGCAGGCCTCGGAGGGGCAGGGAATCTTCCTACTCAGCTTCCGTTAGCACTGTCAGCCGAGGCCCTAATGGGTAGTCCGAGCAGGTCAAACAGTGGAAAGTTTGCCAGCTTTCAATGGTAAGATATATGGTTTTAGCTGGTTAAATTCTAGCAGTTATTCCATCACAGACTCTGGGGTCCCAAGCCTTGGCTCTTGCCAACCTGTGCTAATACAATCCAAAATTAGCAGTGTCCCACTCTATTGCATTCCAGACAAGATAATTTCCATGTGTAGGTGGCATTCATACATAGAATGCTTGGTCTGGTTGGGAGACCTTTGAGTTTGGTGATGGGTCTCCCCTTACGTCAGACACCAAAATAAACACAAACATTAGAACTAGGACAATGAGCATCTCGAGCTCAGTGCACAATGTGTTTATTTGCTCTAAAAGCATCACATCAGTTTTTTTCCCTTGTGAAACGTTTCCATGTTAAATAACATTTGGTGCTCATGTTTAATGAAAAATGTCAATTTAGTTAACCACACAAATCTCCTGACAAGTTCAGCCCTTACACCTTGCAACAGCTGAGTCTTTCAGTACGATTGCAATGTCAGCAACATTGACAAGATCTCCCACGTAGGCAAGGGCTGTTACATGAAACATATTATACATCAAAGGAGCAAAGTAACTGACGCCTAAAAATCCTGTGGTCTTGCCCTAAAGGCCACTGTCGTAAAACACAAGAATTTGGGAAAATTCATTTCAATCTTAATTTGGCAGTAGGTTTCCCTGCAGCCCTTCTTAAGAACTGAATTGAAGCAACTGTCTTGCATAATTTTGCACAACATTAACTTTGAAGACAAAGGATCTAAAGGTTAAGACGATGAGACATCTCGGGTCTCAGATAATTGTAGGATTTCATTACAATTGGTCTAAAACCACATTGAAATGCGATACAGATTTGTTGCACTATGAAGATTCCTCTTGACTTAAGTAAAAACTTAAGTTACTCAATGGTTAGCAGTTTACAGAGATTGAAGTAAAACCAAATATTGTGTTTGCCTCGCACTCGTCTGTTTGCACGTTGGTGGGAAGGAGCAAAACATCAACAATCAAACTCATCACATAGTGAGACTCAGTGCTCCGAGATGCAATCCTGTGTGAAGGGTACTATATAAATGCAAGTTGTCATTGCTATTGTCATTTCCGAGATGATCTCAGGGCAAAGCTGAAGTCTCGAGACTCTAGTGATGTACAAGAGATTTTCCGCAGAAAACAAAGGTTATGTTGTAAGACGCCTCTTTCAGTAATAAGGCACCAGCAACACCATGGCTCCATCTTGAGAGGTAAATGTGAACTCCCATAATAATCATCATCCTTGCATTTGGCTTAGCTCCTTTCATGTCAGGAAGCCATCTCAAAGTGCCTTGTAGGATTTACTGTGAGTGACTGTGTATTTTCAGGCAAACATTGAAGCTGAATTGTACAGCAATGTCCCATGAACAGATGAACTATTTTATTTGGAGGACTGTTGGCCAGGTTCTGGGAGAGAGAAACTCCCTTTCTTTTCCAGTAGTGCCATGAGATCTTTAACATCCACCTGAACAGGAAGACAGGGCCTCGGTTATAACGTCTCATTTTAAGAAACACCTGAGCAGGTATATAGAACCTTCCTTCATCTGAAAGACAACTGAGTTCAATTCCAGGCAGGGCAAAACCTTGGGCAAGTTTCCTTACTCCACACGCCTAATAATAATCCCTCCAAAGAAAACAAAACAATAATAAAAATTGGTCATTTTCAATCCATGACTGTTTGTGGGACATTGCTGTGCACAATTGGCTGCCGCGTTCGCCCACAAATATACAGTCAATTCACTTTACTGTATATTCTGTGAAGCACTTTGGGACGTCCTCCCGACGTGAAAAGCGCTATATCAAATGCAAGTATTATTATTATTATCTCCAAAATGCAACAGGTCACACTGCCCCCAGTACTGCATTGGAGTGTCAGCTTAGACTATGTGGGTTTAATTCCCGATGTGGGACTTGAACCCACAACCTTCTAACTCACAGGCAAGAATGCTGTCACCTGAGCCAAGCTGACAAGGAAAGTTTAACGAGGAACATTTAGGAACAACCCATGACATTCCCTTCTCAACAACAACAACTTGCATTTATATAGTGACCTCCAAATGGGGTAGTGTCCTAGAGACTTTTATAACAAACTAAAATAGCTTCTTCTCAGTTGCATCATAGTCATTCCCATCTTTCCCTTTTTGTAAAATTTACGGATTGTCAAGCATTCTGTTGAGCTACTGTGAAAACATCTGGCCCGCTGCAACCGAAATGTATAAATCACCCACGCTAAATCATGCACACAAATCTTCCACATCCTATTCAATTTATGTTACCTCCCAGTGCATTTTTAATGATTGTTATCAATGTTCCTAAGCAGCCATCTTTTCCAAGCTTCCCCCAAAGACTGCTCTTTAATCTCCTAAAAGTTCAGCACAGAGTTCATCCTTGCAGTATTTTCTGAATTTGTGCTGAGCTGAAGATAAATACGACTCTACAGTTCAGGTGAAAGATTCAACATTTGGAAAGAAAACTGCAGCAGAGCTGTAAAGGAGTCCTGTAACACAGTGGTTAGAGCACTCGCCTTGCAAGCGAGAGACCTGGGTTCGATTCCCGGCAGGGCGAAACCTTGGGCAAGTTTCCTTACTCCACACGCCTGATAATAATCCCTCAAGAAAAAAAAGCAATAAAATCGGTCACTTCAATCCACAACTGTTTGTGGGACGCTACTGTGCGCAATTGGCTGCTGCGTTTCTCCCACAAATATACAGTCAATTCACTTCACAGCATATTCTGTGAAGCGCTTGGAGACATCTAGAAAACGTGAAAAGCGCTATATCAAATGCAAGGATTATTATCATTATTATTATTATTATTATTATAAACGCAAACTGTAGTGTCTCACAAACAGTCGTTTTGTTGTTGTTGTTGTTTCTAAGGAATTAATACCCCTAGAATCTCTCTTCAAAGCCCCATGGCACTGTCAATTGCAGTGTCCCCAACTAGTGCCCTGCTCAATAACTTATTTAGCAAAGACCAAGCATCGGATTTGATCTGGTAAGTTCCTGGTCTGGATGGCTCAGTAACATAGCAAGTGACATTTAGATTAAACCTCATAAGGGAAACCTCATAATTGGCCTATTTTGGAAGAAATCAACCTGAGAATGAGGAGTCTGCATACTGCATTTGTGAAATTACAATAAGATTCTTAAAAAATCTTATTGAGAACTACCTTCAGTATTGTCTAAAGTGAAGTCTCCTAATGGTGAAAGGACGTTGATACAAGTCCCTCAAAAGCAATTGGCTAAAGCCATGGACAACGCTGACAGACACAGAGCAGTTTGTTGCACTCTCAGCAGTTTGGTTTGGATATACTCAAGCATAGCAATGGATTTCCGCATGTGTCAAACAGACAGCTGACCCAAAACGTAATTTGCAAATCCCGTTACCAATGAACGTAACCTCTTCCAGGTTTCTGCAATAATAATTCTTTCGTTTGGTTCAGCGTTTTTCACGTCGGGAAGTCATCTTGTATCATTTCACAGGATTTACTATGTATTTGTATTGTAACACCCCTTCAACCTGCTGCTAAATGAAGACTAATACATTTCCCTAAATTCTTGTGTTTTATGACAGTGGCTTTAAGGCCAAGACCACAAGGATTTTCAGTCTCGGTTACTTTGCTCCTTTTATGTGTAATACATTTCATGTAATAGCCCTTGTCGATGCAGGAGATCTTGTCAATGTTGCTAAGCACAGCAGCCCGATTGCCCACTGCAATGTCCCACAAACAGCTACGAAACAAATGACTAATTTTATTTAGGGACTCTCTTTTTAGGGATCCTTTGTGTCAAGGGATCCCTAGCGTCCAGCTGAACAGGCGGACGGGACCTTGGTCTCATCTGAAGGACAGCCCTTCCGACAATGCAAATAACATTTGCAGGCAGAGGGCGAAACCTTGGGCAAGTTTCCTTACTCCACACGCCTAATAATAATCCCTCCAAAACCAAAAACAATAATAAATTGGTCATTTTCAATCCATGACTGTTTGTGGGACATTGCTGTGCGCAATTGGCTGCCGCGTTCGCCCACAAAATATACAGTCAATTCACTTTACAGTGTGTTCTGTGAAGCGCTTTGGGACGTCCTCCCGACGTGAAAAGCGCTATATCAAATGCAAGGATTATTATCATTATTATTATTATTATAACATCCTGAGCACTACCCTGGAGGGTCTGCTTAGACTGAGCTCAAGTCCCGACATGGGTTTCGAACCCACAGCCTTCTGACTCAAGAGGCATGAGTGACTACCACATGAGCCAGGCTGATCCCAGTTGCTTGCATTGCAATTTAACAGCAATCTGAAAGTATGTAATGTCTCTTACCCATGCATTTGTAATCTGGTGCTACCGCCTTCAGCGTCGCATCGAATAGCGACAGTTCCACCTTCTGTTTTCGATGGTGGCAACTCAACAGCAGCGAAGGTTGGGACAGCACCAAGTACAAGAAGGGCTCCAGTTGAAGATCGCTCGCGCCTCTTCGGCCTGGCTGTCGGACTATGGTGATGCCGAGGGCTTGTCGCGCGGAGGACCTGCTCGGTGCAAGAAGGCTCTCAAATGACAGGCGAGTGGCAAGCTTCTCAGAGGGAAGTGAGCTGTTACTGTTCAGGAGGTCCTCGGCAGTCAGCACTGCGATCCGCGACGGGGAAGATTTTCCCTGTGGGGCAATGTCCGCTTCAACAACCTGGGGCTTTGCCACGCTCTTGGCCATTTTGTCGCCCTCCTTCTGCTGCCTCACTTGCTCTTGGACTTCGGAGCTAACCGTGCACGAGTATGTCATGAATGAGATACGGCTGGCAGTGACGAACACGTCAAAGGGAATAAAGTTTAAGTTCTTCACGATGGAAGACTGGCGCGAGGGTCTGGCGAGCCGGTGATGGCTTGTGCCACTCTGCTGCTCGATCTGAACGATCTGAATTCGGGCGCTGTCACTCCCGATACCACTGTCCTGGGCACCACTGTGCCGTGAGGAACAGTCCACACCACTGCCTTCTGGAGTGGTGCTTTTCTTCCGCTCTTGTTTACAGATCTGTAAGAAAATAAAAAAATTTATAATAATCCTTGCATTTGACATCTCACAGAATGTACTGTAAAGTGAATTGACTGTATATTTTGTGGGCAAAACGCGGCAGCCAATTTCACACAGCAGTGTCCCACAAACAGTCGTGGATTCAGTGAGCAATTTTTTTTTTTAAATTATATATTTTTCAAGGGATTATTACCCCCAGAAAAGCAATCCATCAATCGACTAACAACCGGGTTCCTACTTCCTACTAGGTAAACTGAGGCGTGCGGAGTAAGGAAACTTGACCAACGTTTTGACCTGCCCAGGAATTGAATCCAGGTTCTCTCGCTTGTGAGGCAGGTGCTCAAACCAATCTGCTACAGGACTCCACAGTAAAGTGTAGTGACAGTGTTTTGTAGGCTAATACAGAAGCCAATTTGTGCACAGCATAGCAAATTGCAAAAACAGCTGTGAAATGAATGAGCAATTTTATCTCGGGGATTGTTGGCCAAGACTCTGGGAGAAACTCCCTTCTCTTTTCAAGTAGTGCCGCAGGATTTTTAACGTCCACCTAAAAAGGCAGACAGGAGGTCGCATTAACGTCTCATCTGAGAAGAAGTTACCTCCAACCTCCAACATTGCAGTATACCCCAGCACTGCAATGGACTGTCAGCCTAGACGTTAAGAGTTGAAAGCCCCAATTTGTGGCTTTGACCCACAACCTTCTGACACAGAGACAAGAGTGCTCTAAACCGAGCTAGGCTGACACACCAAGGAATGACAAACAATGAAAGAGGGCTGAGACTGTTAATTTTGCAAAGTTACGACAAGTAATTGAAAAAAAGCAGCCAGCTGAAACTATCAGACACACAAAAAGATTTATACAGTTCAAAGAACCTAAAAAATTAAAAATTTGGCTGCAAACACTTCCATCTGAAGATTGTTTTTAATGAACAGTGCCAGAAACTGTAGAATCTGCTTTGCAATTTTTTCCTTAAAAAAAGCGGTTTCTTAATAAGAAAGGTCTCGTTATCAAATTTCTAAAACATTGAATGCGCTGAAGCATGCGTTGAATAATATTTTAGAAATACAATAATCCGTTCCTCAGCTCGTTCGATGTTTTAGGAATTCGAGAATTATAGTTTTTTTTTAAAATAAGTAACCTGTGAAGGGGCAGCTCTCCTGATAGTGTAGTGGAGAGAGCTGCAGCACACGAAGCTGGTTCAGTTCGAATTGCAGTCCGTGGTCAATGTACTGGGCCTGCGTGAGAGGGATAATTGGCCTCACCCTTCCCAGGGTTAGGGAGGAGATGAGCAGCCTGGTCACTCCACAGCATCTTATACCTGCTGTAGTTTGTGGAGTCCTCTCGCGTATTAGTTCAGGCAGGGCAAAACCTTAGGCAGATTTCCTTACTCCATACGCCTCTGTTTACCTAGCAGTAAATAGGAACCCAGTAGTTGGTTGATTGGAGGATCGTTTTCTGGGGATAATAATCTCTTCCCACAAAATATAATTTGACTACAAAGCTAACTTAAATATTCTTTTCATCGCTATAGTATCAGTATTAAGCGCTCTGGGACTCTACCCTGCATGAGGGGTGCTGTTTAAATGCAAATTGCTGTTCTTGTATCACACTGCCAGCTCTTCACTTTCTCTTGCTAACTCGTTCTTTCTCACTCAGACGTTTGTTTTACTTTCTTTTTCTTTTTTTACATTTCCTCTCTCTCTCTCTCTCTCTCTCTCTCTGTGACTCTCTAAACTCTTGCCATCTCTTTATCTGACTTTCTGCATCAACTATCCCCTATCCTGCATACACCATTGAGGCTCACAAAGGAACAATGACTATTTACATAAGGTACAAGACGGAGCTGGGCACCTGCAGACCTTGGCACAAGTCAGTGCCTTCGGGACAGGAAGGGACAATTATGAACCGATTCCTCATTCGCTTCATTCAAATGTTGGGCTACCTCATTTTCTTCCTCGATATCCTGCTCTGCTTTACCCAGGTTTACAACCAAGTTCGACCAGCTGTAAAATAATATTTGTGTAAGATTCAGGATATTCCTGAACCTCTCCATTTTCATTCCCCTTTCCCCCAGACCTACTGCCGTCTGTTGCCCTTTCATCATTCAGCAGCTCATCCAGACTCAAAGGGCCTTACTACAGAGGTCAAGATTTTCCACTAACAAAGCCAGGAAAGGTGGTTGAGGCCAAGACACTGGACTTGTTTAATAAGCAGCTTGATGCTGTGACAGAGGGACGGTGGGGTGGGTGTTTTGGAGGGATGGGATCAGACGGATCGAAGGGCCTTCTTCATTCAGACCAATCTGGTGTTGAACAACAACAACTTACATTTATATATCACCTTCACGCAGGACAGCATCTCGGAGTGTGCACAGAGACCGGATTGGGCGCCGAGCATGGGAGAAGGGGAGGTGACCCCAGGTGCGGTTGAAGCAGTAAGTCTTCACGTAGAATTTAAAGATAGATAAAGAGGAATTGAGGCAGGAAGTCCAGAATTATGGGTAAAGTGGCTGAAGAACTGACAATATTTCACCGCATATGTGCATGGCTGAATTAAGCCTCAACTTGCTGGTTTAAAACCATCAACTATTGCAGTTTATATAATAATCCTTGCATTTGATATAGCTACTTTCACATCAGAAGGATGGCCCAAAGCCTTCACAGGATATACTGCAAGGTGGAGCTACTGTGTGTTTTGGCAGGGAACGCAGCATCCGATTTGCACACAGAGGTGTCCCACAAATGGAGTGAGTGACCAGTTTTATTTGGGGATCGTTGACCAGAACATGAGGAGAATCTCCCTTCTATCTTCGAATAGTGTCATGGGATCTTTGGCGTCCACCTGAACAGGTGTAACATCCCATCCGAAGGATGGCACCTATAACATGCAAAGCAACCCCAGGACTGCATTGGAGTGCCAGCCTTTGACAGTTCCAAGTCCCAACATGGGGCTTGAACCCTATATAAAGAGAGTGCGTGCAAAACAAATGCCCTGGTGTGGATGTCACTGGAATTACCACAATCACACATAAAACCACTCATTTCACATCCTGCCTGGGTTCTGAACATCAGCAAATTCCTAACCAAAAAACCTGTACGTGCACTTAAAACTTTATTGTGCAAATCATGCAGCAGCAACAGGAGCAGCAGAATAACACATTACTTTGTACTCTTTCCAAATCCGAGCTGAATGAATGAGAAAATGTAATTAGCTACTGGTGTGGATTAACATGAATGTGATTAAGTTATAAAGGTCTGCTGCACATTTATTCATTTTAATCGCTCCAGATGTTCCAAATTACTGTATTTGAAGAAAGTATTTTCTCCTCGCTTAAAAGTACGAAGCTTCTGCTGTGAACACTTCAGAGAATTAAATACATATTATTGCAATGTCGCAGATAAAATTTCAGACCCCCAGGCACATCTTAAATAAGCTGGCAACGCATTAAAGAAAATGCTTTGCTTATTAGATACTTCCTATTCTAAACAGTGTCATCAAAAAACTTAAGACCAATCCATATAAAAAGCAGCAGAGTGTTTCCACAAGAACCTGGTGCCAAAAAAATCCCGTTTCTTCCAGCTAATGAGGAAAGGATGTGTCCTTTTTTATATGAATGTAAGATTTTCCAAACGGCCACATTAGGAGGCAAAAATGTATGTTCCATATGGGTTATATTTCTTCGAATTGTATTGGCATGATTCTTGCAGATCAACAGCATGATAACATTTTATAACCTTTCAGATAGCTGAGCCAAAAACCAAAAGCCCTCTTTTTTTCAATTGAGACAAAGTGACTGAAATCTACAGGTTTGGATTAAATCACAGCTGTAGAAACATAAGGGGGTTTTAAAGAGAGTAGCTGTGAACTTCAAACTGCAGGGTAACTTAACTTTCCTCATGCCCTTTATGTACTATTTTATATATTAAAAAACATGCTTAAATTTGACATAGCACCATATCACGTCGTTGAGATGTCTCAAAGCGCTTCACAGAATATACTGTAATGTGAATCGACCGTGTATTTTGTGGGTAAAATACAGCAGCCAATTGCATACAGCAGTGTCCCACAGTCGTGGATTGAGTGATCAATTTTATTATTTTTGGGGGGGATGGTAGGAGCCAAATTCACATTTATTTGCTGTAGGACTTATTCAACAAACTATTACTCCATTTGTTGAAGAGCATTTGTGTTCACCACACCAAAAAAACAGCATTTCGTTAATAAAAGCAATTCTACGTTTACGTAGTGCTTTTCATATAAGGAAGACGTCTCTCCTTCACAGGAGTTACTGTAAAGTGAAGTGACTATTTGTAGGAGGGTGTGTCAGCCAATTTGCACAAGGCAATGTCTCACAAACAGCCATGAAACAAATGACCAATCTTATCTGGGGGATTGTTTGCCAGAACATCGGATTATTATCAGTAGTAGTAGTATTAATAATTAAAATCTGAATATCTGTACACCTCCATCTTAGTTTAAGTCCATGTTCCTTTGTTATAGGTTTTTGATTTGTTAAACATAATTAGGTAATTATCCTATGGCGCTATTCAAACAGATAAGGGAGTTTCTGCCAGTATCCTGGCTAACAATCCCACATCTCACATTAAAAAATTGGTCACCTGTTTCCATGGCTGCTGTTTGTTTCTGTGCTCAAATTGGCTGCCGTGTTTACCTACAAAACATAGAGTCACTGTATTTCACAGTAAAAACCTGTGAAGCTCTTTGAGACGTCTTCCCGACATAAAAAGAGCTGCATCAAACGCAGAATGCTGGTTTACGTCAACGTCACTGGGTAAAAAGGTTTTAAAAAAGTTTAAATTAGGTGTTTTTTTTTCAGCAGATAGCTAAATGGAATTCCCCGTCTCTCTCTCTTTCTCTCTCTCTTTCTCTCGTGATCAATGACTTGAGTTCACCATTTCCTGGGCACCAGTAGGTGGAGTGCTGCGCTGCTGCAAAGCAGAGATTCCCTGTGAAAGCGACAGCAAAGGAAAAACTATAG